GGGGTGGGTGAATCACCGATCTGCCGATAAACGGTACCGACATCGGTGGAGACCTTTATCTCGACAAGTCTGATCAAGATCATGACAGGACTTTGATCCAAGATTTAAAAGATCTACAAAGTTTAGTTCAATTCAGATGTGTATAACTGGGGAGAAAGCAAAGTATGAGAGGGATATTATCTCGGCAGACGAAAGACATGAATATTCTTGGACATACAGAAACTCAGATAAGAAGTAAGGAGTGGACGATTGCTACTTACTGATGTACGCTTTTTGTGGCATTGTTTTTTGTAAGTTGCGTTTTTGTGTTGTGCCTAAAATGTACCATAAATTGCTCTGGTATCCAGCTGGCTGCTTTCAGGATGGTGCTGTGGACAGTGCTTCCAATACACTGCTGTGGTGCTTAGAGGCTTGGGGTTCCAATCTCTGTTTTGACTTACAGCTAAAACCTGTTTGAACTTCAGTGAAATGAACATTGTTAAAAAAAAAAAAATTCAGCAACTCTGCCAATAAGAAATTTCGTGACAAAAGAGCATGGGGTTTGTTTTTGTAAATTTTCTAATATACCCCTGAAATTAATATGAGTAATTTCTAATTAATAGGTTTAGTCCAGTCGTAACACATGTGCCAAATTCACAGATTGACTACCCATAGACTTGTGTGTTACTGCCAGTCATAGTTACAAGTAATTCGGATGCAGCTTTAACCACAAAGGAAAACTGACTCAGTTCCATATTATTGAATACAAGGTTGAACAAACAAATTGACTGGAGCATGAATTTGAACCTCGCGACCTTCTGGAAAATTATTGGATAATTGTCGGAGGAACACAGAAGCACCTTACCCAAGCTACGGTGCTCCCAGATTTGTTCTGTAGCTTTTGCCCCCGTCCTTCCATTAGATAGAAATTACACCTGCTTCCAGCCCAAAAACCCACCCACTCTTTGGCCCTCACTACCCCTCTCCATCTCGTGGGCTCAATTTGGTCCATTTACACACAAAGTACATTACCCCTTTTTGTCCAGTCCGTGTCCAGTCCATATTTTGACCGCAATATATTTCAGTAATTTTGACAACTAGTAGCCAAGGTCTTTAGGCAGAGATCATAAATTTCCCTTGTTTGGACTTCAGCTCAAGATATTTGGTCCTGTTTCAACCGCCCCCCCCCCCCTTCCTCTAGAATCTCTTTTCTGTATCCTTGTACTTCATATTAGGAAGTTGAAGAATTGGTCCTGTTTCTGTTGGGAGGAGAGACTATTCTTCATGGTTTTGTGGTTGTTTCTGGCCCATTTTGGTTTGATTTGCAGTTTCCTGATGGTTTACTACTGTAGTGTCCCCAGATGGTCTCGTTCTTGGATTTGTCCCATCTGTACTTGAGGGAGCAAAACCTGTCATTGTTTTTGTTGGCAGAGTATTTTGCTGGGAATAAATACATACATTTTGTGCAGGGTGTGAGCAAAGAGCCCTTTCAAAAATATTTTAAAAAAATATGTGGGGTTGATTCAAAATACATTTTACAAAATTTTGCAATTCTGAATACAGAAACTGCTGTAATCATTTTACTTCCTGTATAACTACGGTCTCAGTAGTGACATGATAGACACTTCAGTGTGTCCCTGCATGGAAAGATGCTACAGAGTACGTGCATACGCAGTTTAAAAAATTGGCCACAGACACTAAGTGCCACTCACATACTCTTGTTTTACTATACTCTCGAGGACAATGCTTTGTGTTTCCCTTTGTCCCTGTAATACTAATTTAACACTCTCCCATGGACTAAGCACGCAAACTTACTACAGAGGGCCGTCTCCAACAAAAGACCCAACTCCTGAGGACTGAAAGGATCTGTTGTTCTCCCTTTGTGTTTTGGTCCTTGAGGGGTTATGTAGAACACGTACACACAAACGTGTGTTCACCGTCGATCGCGGACGTCCTTCTTTTGTCCCTCTTTTGTTTGTACTCTTTTTAGTAACTTTTTAGGAAGACTCCCATAGGTTTTGTACACGACTTCAATCGTGGCCGTACTGGTATGCTGGGAATCGTGGACGATAATGTTCTTTTTTGTTCTCTGGTATTTTTCGTCCACTGTTTGAAAAGATGAACACGTACACATGTGCAAACGATGTGAACATGTATAACATACATCCTGAAGACAGCAAGACAAAGAAAGTGTTCCTGGGGTGTAAAATGTATCAGGATTAGAAGATGTGCCAATCAGCAGCTTCATTTACTCAAACACCAATGGGCCACCATATGCAACAACTTGTCATACAATATTGTGATGATACATGTGTTTGAGCTGAAACCGTGTTCCATCCATAATTTGGAATCATTCATAACTGGGGACAAATCTTTTTCAATAGCAGGCCCCAAACTATGGAACACTATTCCCATCAACATCAGGGATGCCCCATCTCTCAGTCTCTCACCATTTTCAAGAAACGTCTTAAAAGTTACTTATTCATAACATCCTAGTCCTCTCTTGTACAGCGCTGTGATCTATCTTGTAAAAGCGCTGTGTAAATACTTTATTATTATTATTATTATTATTATTATTAACTGTGTTGCATGCTTGTGTGGCCCCTACATGTTTGATTCTGTACCACTGTCGTCTGCCTTTGAAAAAGGTCTTGCTTAAGTCCGAAAGGTTAGGCCAGCTAATATTGATAATTGTTTTCCTGGACCACTTGACTGCTACAAACAAACCTGCTAGTGATAGCCTTGATTTTGTTTAGCATACGTTTCCTAATTGTGCAAGGTTTCATTATCTGGCCTCTGTGATGTAAAACACTTTCCTTTCCCCTTTGAAATAAGGAAATGATCGAAAGCGTTGCATCATCGTCGTCATCGTGACAGTCGGTACTTGCCAAGGACAGTCTGGTCATCACATGCCCATGACGTCATTGTCTCTTCTTTTGTTTTGGCTCCAGAATAACACTGACTCATCAGTGTCACCCATTCAACGCCGATATGATTTTAGAGTATCTCTTGGCTTGCCACATGCACTGACTCATTTGGTGACAATAACGTGGAAGGAAACTTTCCACATTGTGGTCATTTGCAGACTTGTGTAAAAGTTTTATGAACATTTTTTTTTTTTTTTTTTCAAAAGTGATCCGAACTTCCTGGAAACGATTGATTTTATCAGCCTTCTGTGCACACAAAGCACACCGATCAAATTGTGTAAAAGTACCACAGAAATATAAAACAAAGCAAAATAGAACAAACAAAAAGCATTGCCGGGATTTTTTCTTGCAAATGGGAAATGTTGAAGAAGAGAAAATAAGGGAGACGTGTGTTCCTTTGACTTACAAAAATGCTGGAGCTAAAAAACAGGAGTTCCCAAAAATGCCTTACATGTTGATACCACCCCCTCCTCCAAGATTATTTCGCATTGACATGATTGCAACTAATGAGGAAATAAGTGTGTGCTTGGGAGGATTTAAACACCCTATTTAAGACCGGTTGGAGTCTGGATGCTGATATTTACCCCAGCCGAAGGAATCGGTAAACTGCCTTAGGTATTTATGAATACATCAGTGGAACAAAGTCATATTTATTTGTCCTTCTGGATACTGCCTTGACAGACCTTGACTGCCTGGAAACCCAACATTTTCACCCCAACGTCTCCTGCTGACATGTTTTCAGTAATATGAAGTGACTTACAATGGCATTGTTCCTTTAGGTTGGCAATTTTCATTTAAAGGGAATATACATCATTTGCTTTTGCTGTAATTTTCAGAAATGGATGGAATTGGGGGGTTGGAAATATATAGCAAATATAGTTACACTGACTTTTTTGAGGTTTTGGGTTCAAAAATGCTATAAAAACCAAGAAAAACAATCATTTTCCTGTGGTCTGGTTCCCTGACTCCATTTAAGAAGAAACAGAGCAGTTTACATACATTGGGGAATTGTAAGGTCAGGGAACCAGTCTAGCTGGCTTGTACCCGTTCATAGGTGTGTAATCGATTGCAAACAAGTGCGATGGTCAATTGGGGCCAGTATTTGAAAAAAACCCAGTTTTTTCCAATGCTGATCGGCCGATCAGCGTTGGAAATTGATACAAAAATACCACTTTTCTTGAAAATGACAGTATACCAGATGCCATGATTTTACAGGATGCTTTACACTTGTCATTCACTAACAGTCCAGCAAGGTATTTTAAAATGATTTGGTAGTTTTATTTTTTGATGTTTGCAAATGTTGTATTTTCCCTTTAAAACAGAGAAAAAGTTGTGGTTATTGTTTGAACTCCTCTCTAGGAGGTGATTGAGGACTGCCTTGAGTGACTACACGTTCACATCTGCTACAGCTGTTCCAAAAAATACCCCTATGCTTAAATGAATTACTTACAACTAATCCCCATAAACCCTTTCTCAAAGTGCACAAGTCACATCAAATTGTTGCACTGTCATTTGAAAAACAATAAATTACAAGGTGATTGTTATACAGGGACCCGTTCAAATCCGCATGAGTAAAGTCCATTATCACCAAGCGGATACATTCCGATGGGAGTCACACGCACCACAAACAGCCCGTCAGCCATGCCACTGGTCAGGACCAATCCTACACTCCATCATTCACGACAATTCCCTGGGAGATTTTGAGCAGGTCATGCTGGTCTAAACTCCTCCAAAAAAACACGCTGTTTTAAAGATTTGCTCGTAGACTAAATTAATATCTCTGTCTATATCAATTTTATTGTTAAGATTTCTTTTAGTGGACTGGAAAAAGAGAAAATGGAGCGAGTTTTCAGTATTCTTTCCAAGGTCACTAGTTGATCTTTGGATCGAGGTTGCATAATATCTGGTATTTACCCCCATCTGACCCCGTGCATTTTTTTCAAACTGAAAATAGCTGTTTTATTTATATTACATTGTACTTTATTAATGCTGCATGTAGTTTGTTGTTCCTGGGACTGATATTTCCTGAAATGGCATCATTGGTTCTGGAGCCAGTAATGTCATAGTTTGTATTTATTTGGGTTTTTTTTACAGCGGCAAGGCTCTTCTCCGAGAGCAGCCAGCAAGCCATCCAAGAAGCCCTTCAGCGTCTTGCCCGCCGCCAGGCCGTCAGGCAGTACTCGGCTTCCAGCAGTCAAAATCAGAACGTAGTTACCCAACAATACCTGCAGCATTACAATAGCGGTGGCAGCGGTGGGATCAGCCCAACCCCTGCTGGTCCTCACCACCAAGCAAGCGTAAATCTCACCAGCGCGGCCAGGGCTGCTCACGGGTCGAGGAGTGCCAGCAGCCTGACCAACCCTCACCAGCCTCACCATCACAGCAGGGGGAATACATGGGATGGTCTTAAAAGCCAGAGCAACAGTGTCTTGGACAGCAACGCTGGGGGATCCAGGACCCCCAGCCAGTCTTCTCTTAGCCAATCAGCCAGTGCCATCCAACTAAGACATCAGCTCAGTGGCCAAGACCTCCCTTTGAACACTAGCGCAGACCCCATAGGGGCCGACGAACTCAGGAATGGGGGCAGCGAAACCTTATGGAGAAGGGATTCCACCAGTGCCCATCAAGCTCCATCACAACAGAAGCCATACCATCCTGCGGGAAGCCAGCATTTTCAGAGCATTCTTCAACAGAATGGGCTGAGGTCTCCGTCCAATCAGAGTAGCGATGAGGGAGGCAGGGCTGCCCAGAAGCAACCGCTGAGCCTTCAGGAGAAGAAGCAGATATCTCACGACATGACCCAGCAAAGCAAGGCTAAACACCAAGAAAAGGCAAGTAGTAACGTTCTTTTGATTAGTTTGTTGAAATAATCTTGCAATTTATGTAGGACCATTTTCAGCTTTCGACATAAACTTTCAGTAAATTTTGGCCCAGTTTCACCTTTTCCTAGAAAAGCCTAGTAGTTTCAACAGTGCATCTTTCATAAATTTACAGTACCAATTTGCACAAATTTTGAAAGAGAAAACTTTAAAAGACCATGTTTACACACCCTCTGAGGCCTTGATTTTTTTTAAAAACTTTTCTTGGGATTGACCTTGACTTCAAACAGCTCTTTTCAGCCTGGATAAAATCTTACTGGCACCATAACTATAGAGCACTGTTGTGGAGTATACACATTTCTTAGCATGTTGCACTGCGCGTCATGTTTCACACTGCACTAAAAGTCCTGACCGTGAAAAGATCTTTAACACAGAGCCATACATGTACAAATAAATCCCGGAATTTAAAATAAACTAATACCCCTCCCAACCAAAAAAAGTCTTGGAACATTCCAAATCCCCCCCCCCCAAGCTATGTGCTATTGTATGACGCAACCCTCCCAATTTAGTTCATCCCGTGGGTAGGTGAATACGATTTTAAGCACCACCGGTTGTCATCAGTACATTAACAACAATCGCCCAAAGCCTTTGCCAAGTATCAATGGAGTCAGCAGGTGTCGGTATTCTGACCCGATTACCGGGGGAACAAATCGCGGGGATTTGCGAAACAATTCTGGACACAAATAGAGGGAAAAAAAATGAAAGGCCCTATCCAGGGGATAAGCCGAGGGATCCGGTGACATTGTGGAGCGTTGTATAAACTGGAATCGCAGGATTACCAGTTACACGCTCATTGGAATTGGCAGACTTTCGGTGACTACCAGTTTTTGCGACCTATGATATCTGTTTGTTGAAAAGTGCCATAAGGATGCGAGAGATGCATGCAATTTAAAGGGAATGTACATGTACAACATTTGCTTTTGCTGCAATTTTCAGAAATAAATGGATTTGGAGGGTTAGTATACAGCAAATATTGTTGAACTGACTTGTTTCATGTTTTTGGCTTGTAGATGCTGGAAAAACCAAGAAAACCAATCTGTTCTTGTAGTCTGGTTCCCTGACCTCACTTAAGATGAAACAGAGAAATTTATAGACTTTGGGGAATTGTAAGGTCAGAGAATCAGTCTAGCAGGCTTGTACTCCTTCACAGGTGTGTGATCAATTGCAAAGAAAATGCGGAATAACTAATTATGAAAAATTAGGAGCAGTTTTTGAAAAAAGCCAGTTTTCTCCAACGCTGGTCGGCCGACCAGCGTTGGAAAAATGCAATTTTTCTTGAAAATGTCAGCACACCAGGAGCCATGATTTTCAGGATGCTTTAGACTGTCATTCCCTAACAATCCAGTAATAGTATGGTATTTTGTGATCATTTGATCATTTCGTTTTGTGATGTTTGCAAATGTTGTATCTTCTCTTTAAACATCAAACATGCAGATCACATTCACATGTAATTTACATCGTCAAAATCTCTCCTAATTTAAAATTGTGTTCACAAAAGTAGTACACGTACTTTTTCAATACCCGGATTTTTGTCGCTGACCTTAGCCAGCCCTTACCTTGTTTGTTTGTTCACTTTGAAGTTGCCAATAAAAAAAACTGCACCGTATGGTAAGCTAATCAAAGAACTCCAGACTGCCAGTCACTGTAGTAAATCTCCTTCAGCCCTGCCTTGCCCCTAGGTCCCCCAAGCCCCCTCAAGTCCCCTGTAGTCCTGGAGTATTGTCTGAATACCCGATCATCATTGGGGCATTAAAAGAAAAGTCATTAAAGCAAGAACGGTACAAGCAGTTGTTATGAGCTGATGGATAAAGGTCTGCACCACTTAGGGTTGATCATAATCACATCACGGAAATTGGCCCTAAAAGTGCCAGATTTTTTTCTTCTTCAGGTCTTATTGAAGTGGCTTGATGAAAACCTTGAGGTGTAAAATTACCATCCAAAGTGTTTGGGATTATGTTTTGCTCGACCGCAATGTCAGGTGTGAGTTAAGCCAGCAACATGATGCAAGGGGAATGGTTACTGCCTGACATTAGATTCAAAGTGAAGTTCACTAGATTTCTCCAAGTGTGAAAACATTGGCGTCGTTTCATACCAAGTCTGAGACATGGATTTTCTGGACAAATCTCGACAAACTACTTGTTAAGGCCACTTTATATTTTCTGTCTGTATTTTCCCTGTCTTTGTCTCAAGGTTGTCAAGCCTCATCATAGAGCAACAGAGCAGATTGTGCTGCTATTTTATCAACAGGGCAAACAAAATGTAATAGCCATATATCAGTCAGGAGGAATATTGAGTGGCTCAGAGTAAAATGGGAAGACTATTATCGCAAGGTAAAATCTGGACTTTTTTATTTCACGAGACGAAGCCAGGTGAAATAGAAAAGTCCAGATTTTACCGAGCGATTATTATTATATGCTTCCCATTTCACAATTTAAAGCCACTCAATATTTGTTTTTTATAACTGACATGTAGATCCTTGTCATTTGATTTACAGTTAAAACGAACGTCTATTTTCAATACAAAACTGGTGGGAAATGTATTTCTCTCTTCCAAACCACCCCTTCACGAAATGTTTGAACCCAACTCTGTAGCCTACTGGCTCTTTTGAACAATACGCGCAACGCTCAACGCTCACACCAGCATGCATTTGGACACTGTTCCGTTATATTGGCCATGGAAAGAGGATGATCCTAACTGTTGAAAAGTAAATCCTATTCACCATGGGACTTTTTGAGCCCTGGCATGAATGGGAGCAATAATGAATGTCTTGTGATGTGCATTCCACCAATCAAATGACAAGGAACTGCATGTCAGTTATAAATATAAAATACATTATATTTTGGCTGGTGAAATTTTTTGGCTGAAATTATTTTTAAAATACACTGAATTTTGTCTGTGCTCAGAAGATCTCAGACCTGGCTCCTAAACCTTGAGTAAGTTTCAATTGTAGTTTGAGTCTTGAGTCACAAGTGTCATTATCCCAGTAAAACGAAATTCAACAATATCAAGTGATACCGCATCACTTCTAGTAAATTCAACTTTAAAAGATTACTTATTGTGATGAAAAAGTAAGATTGAAACAAAAACAAAATATTACAGGCAAATTGATCAAGGTGCAAAGTCTGGAAAGCACTTGGGAAAAAAAAGAAAGATTGCACATTCATTCATTGGTCACTTGCCTGCCAAAATGTCATTGCAGCCATCCGAAGGCGCTAGTCAAATCTTCTAAAGGCCAGCCCTCATCAAAGGCTGTGAGGGCATTGGTTCACTGACCTCTTGCTGGGGGGCACACACCGAAGATAAAATAAGATTACTTCACTTTTGCAAAAGACCTATTACACAGAGTCGGACATGTCAAAACACTCATAGTATTCTTTGTCCTGGTGACTTCTCACTTAATCCTACAAGGCAGGTACTTGTTACACCAAGTACTGCCTGCAGGCACCCAGATAAGTCCTTGTGTTATACCTGCTCATTTTTAGCTGGGCTGGAGACTATTTTGGAAAGTGATCCCCACTGCCAATTATCAACAGCTCATTCTGGGAGTGCTTGATATTGTGAAGCTAGGGCTATAATATAGGATAGTTAGACTGGTGGGACATTGATAGGGGTGGGCTGGTTGCTCCAGGGGGGGTTAGCTCCTCGGAGAGTCTGTGTCAGTTTTGGAATGATAAGTGAGAAGTTCCAGTTTTGGAGCCAATGCACTTGTGAGATTTGTGAAGCTGTGGTCTGCGTAAATCTCCATGGCGTAATCCACCATTCTATCATCCTTGCCCTTCAAGGCAGTAGGAGTGTTTGCAATTGCCGGCAATTGCTCGGAAATGTATACCAGACAATTTAATGAGAAAATCCTTGCTCAAGTCAAGTTAGGATTGGCATTCGCAAGAAAACAATAATTGAAGGCGGTTTAAAGCTATAGTCCATCATTTGTAATTAGTGCATTTTGTTGGTTTGAAGCAACAAAAGTGTTCAAAATCTAATGAAGGATACTGAACAACTTACTTGATGAAGTTTCAGCCCAGCTTCAGCTTCATATTCCGAGAAAAACAGCATTCTAGGATCTCAATTTAAAATCAAAAGTTGCTAAATCATGTTTCGAATTGTTTTGAATTGCAGCTATACGCGATGTTGCGCACTGATCCAACGAATTACAGCAACCGCGCGCGCCTGTGCGTCGTTCGAATGCTTGTGCGCGCTGCGCCGAATAACAAAACGAACAGCTAATTTAAATTTTCCTACGGTGCTTCTTAAGAAGCACCGTTGGAAATGCCTTCTTTCGTTGATTTCTTCAAAATGAGAGCTTGCCAGAAAGGATAATTTTACAGGGAGTTTAGTCCCCTTACTATCTTTCAACCAGTTTGTTTTTCAACAATAATTACGCCGGTTACTTTTTTGGATAGCTGCAAATGATGGACTCGGGCTTTAAGAAAATGTGCACACGGGCCCAATTTTCTGACATGTGCATTGGCAACGGAATCCAGTTACGACACCCCAAAACTGTATAGTATCCACTGAGCTGAATATTTTTGTTGTTTTGTTGTTATGCACCCTTCTTAAAGTTTTTGAGCAATTTTGTTGCTTCAAACGAAAGAAAAAATTCACAGAAAGCTAACGATCCTGAGTCGTGCATGTGCATTGTCATTATACTGTACTCTAGACCCGAAAAACAAGAACACAAAAACTCAAAATTTTCAGGAAACACGGAAATCCGACAAAAACCTTCGCCTTCTTGGTGGACAAGCATTCAGAATGTGTGAATCATTTCTTCAAACTTTAGTATGAGAAGCAAACTCCAACAAATTTGCAATGACGATTTTTCTTGCAAGTTATGAACACACTTCACCAAGATCACGTGCTTCTTGTATCAGACCATTACACGTACTTCGGAAGGAATAATCAGTTTTTATGACAATTCTACAAGACTTACATAAACAGATTGTATTGATATAAATGTACTTTCTCAATGCCAGTGAAAATATCGAGTGTATTTAATCCTATTTTAATAAATATTTCATCGTAAGAAATCCAAGCCTCTTGCTTTTCATTTGATTTTGTAAACATTCAACATTTCTCTCCCCCCCCCCCACTTCACCCTACTGAATGTACCGGGACTATCAATCTTGCCAGCTGTAAAGTTGGTTTGTGTAAACCAAAGTTGTTGGCCTGCATGATGCCGGAAACAAAAATATTTTTAAGTGTGCTGACATAAACAACAGGAACGTTGCACAATTCCGAAACCCAGACACTTCCATGCGCATAAATCAGTGGCAGTGTACTAATTGGCAGGCTTGACAGAAATATTGGCACAGACTTCTTGTTCTCCAAAAGTGGGAGGGGGGTAGCTCTACCACCCCCCTCCCACAACAACAGGTGGAACAATGTACTTGAATTAAAGGGGACAACTTCAGGAAGATGCAATTTTTTTCCCCATTTTCTAAATTTGTCGGGTAATAACCAGATATTTGAGCCTAAACCACAAAGTCTGGAGACAAAGTAATTCTGGTTCCAGCGTACCGTGGGCATGATTATTTCCCTAACCGAGCATTGATTATCAAATGTCCATTGACTGGTTCAAATTTCTCAAGCGGTAGGGGCCGTAAATTAGGTTGCCCGGATCAATTTCATTGTGTTGTCAGTATTGATAATGTTGAAGGGCACTAGGGTGTTGTTTTATTGTATGTGGTACACCTTATGGGTATTCATGTACTGTATAAAAAGTACTTTCTACATTTTTTTTTGGGGGGGGGGAACTATATTTAGGCAATTCTTGTCAGAAACAAAAACAGTAGGGCAATTCCATGCAACAGTGGACATGGCTGAAAAGTGGACAATTTATGAATCTTCAAAACTACAAGCACCACAACCTCAAATGTGGTATCAAATTAAAGGATACAACAAGACCTTTCATTTGAGTCATGTGTCAGTGAGATTAAATATGTTAAGTGTATTGCTTTTGTAAAAAAAATGTATTTTGGCTAAAATTATGGATTTTAGACCTCATTTTGGCATCTTGTTTTCACATGCAAAATGCAAGTTTATTGTGAGTTTTTGTTTTTAATAAAGAGAAAAATATTGTATTTTTAAAGCATATTTAAATTTTACGCCAAAGAGTTTTTTTATTTGATTATTAGTTTCTTATGTGTTTTAAAGAGGTTGTGTGTGGAATGCTTGAAGACATTTCCGTCATTTTTCGGGTATACATGTATGTAGCCTAAGGTGTGATGAAATAAAAACGACTATTGTGTCTGTCATGAAATGAGTACAAAAGGTACTTTAGAGAGCTGTTTTTCAGGTCCTGTTTCGACCCGAACGTGCAATGTGTGTAAAAGTCATCGTTGGGGGCAGCAAACAAAACATAGTAAATCGTGACTTAATAAACAGGACTCCCGATGCAGCGTAGTATAAACGAGTCCTGTTTATTACGTCACGATTTAGCAAACAAAACATAGTAAATCGTGACTTAATAAACAGGACTCCCGATGCAGCGTAGTATAAACGAGTCCTGTTTATTACGTCACGATTTACTATGTTTTGTTTGCTGCCCCCAACGACGACTTTTACACAAATTGCACGTTTGGGTCGAAACAGGACCTGAAAAACAGCTCTCAAAAGTACCTTTTGTACTCATTTTTATGACAGACACAATAGTCGTTTTTATTTCATCACACCTTAGGCTACATATACCCGAAAAAAGACGGAAATGTCTTCGAGCATTTCACAACCTCTTTAACTTGTACAGTTTGCATTCCAATTTACCAGACTTTCCTCTTTATGCATGTGTGCTGTATGCTCAAGTTGCATGTTCAGTACACCATTGTGATGCTTTTGTGGTGCTGCTCATGCAGTGGTCTTCAAAGTTGCATTTTAGACTGAATGGGAATGGCGTCCGGTGCCTCAATGTAATGACAGGCAGTGGCGCAGGTGGGGGGGGGGGGGGGGTGGGGGGAGCTTGATTTGACCTTGGTGATATGTATGTGGCCTATTTTCGAGTAGTACAGTATTTGGGTGTAAGTGGCGCCACCAATGTCAAAATAGTCCTCCCCCCCCCCCCCCCCACCAAAAAAACAAAAAAACACGTTATTTTTGTTTGCGGGCAAAAATTGTGGGCACAATTTTAACTTCTCACAATTTTTGGAAAAAAAACCAAAACTTGTGAGCCTCTCCCAAAGCCAAATCCTGGGTGCGCCACTAATGACTTGCCCTGCCAGTGTTTTGTAAAAAGGCTCATAAGATGCCGTAACAGGATAGGAATTGGTCGTGGAGAGCCAAAAGTTTATGTTGGAAAAGTCATGCTCTGTAGCTCCAGTTTGTTGGCCTAATAAATCATAACAGCCTCCCAACAAATTGTTTTTCCATGAAGTTATGCCTAATCAACTCGTTACGGTTCCCTGCATGGCATCACTCTGCTGTTAAACAGTTGCCCCCACTTCAGAAATGTAAGGTTGAAGTAATCACAATTCGATGATTGATTCATGGAATTGTACACATACATGTACATGTACAATATATTATTATCTCTTGCCTGCTGTTGAGAAGGGACACTTTTTTAGGTAACCCTTTTTTGAACCTATGACACCAAAGAGGACAATATTAAAAGTAAACTTGAAATATTTGTCGTTCTGTTTGTTGTTTGTTTTATGATTTTCATTTTCATTTTTTTTAGCAGTTTGTTTTACTACTTGGCACTGTACTCGTACACATGTACTGTTTAAAAAAAATATTGTACTCCATACTTTGCGAATAGACTTTATTCACAAGATGGCCATATTAAATTAAAAGCGAGGTAAAATCTTCATTTTTGGAACTTGCGAATAAAAATGAAATTAATGAAATAAAGTTAGTTACAAAGTTGAGGCTTGGAACACAAATAGTCTGGCACCAACCAATAGAACAGTTTACAATTGATAAAATACATTCAGGGAACATGATCAAAAATGGCTTCATCCTGAATAAGGTGTATGTCTGATTTGAACGTGCAGTTTCCAAGGTTTCTGTGACGAATTCTTTGATTGTTTAGAATTGTCAACAAAGAAAGAAACAAAGAAATTTACCCGGAGTGGGATTTGAACCTCTGACCATCAGAACACCGTATCAGTGCTCTACCAACTCAGCTACTGCTACCTGTGGTAGCCCTTTGTTGATGGTCGTTAAATTTTTCAGTGCCTTAATAAATAGGGTTATGATTTTGTTATATACATCAAACATAAGAACTAGAATTTTTGCAACATTACACTTCTTTAAAGGCAGGCCAGTAGGAGCATTGGTAAATACCTAGAAAAGCACCGACTGATTCAATGAGAAAAAAAGCTTGCTCAAAGTAAAGATGAGGATGATACCAAATACTCTGTGAAATTTTTCCAACAGAAATGGTTTTGATTGAAGGAAAACAACCGTAGATGGTGGTTTTTTAAAAAAAGTGTGCACGTGGGCACACTTTTTTACATGCGTCAGCAACAGAATCCAGTTACGAGACCTCAACAAATTGTGCATTTTTTTCCTGTCATAATGTGAAACAGCCACTGAGATTAAACTTCAATGTGGTAGTTCTGTGATTTTAAGCAAATTTGTCACTTCTAATGAAAAAATACACCAAGAATATAATGATCCTATAGATGTACATGTACCTTTAGCCCATAAATGATTTTTGTGGTTTTTGATATCTCAACAGATTGCCCAAGCTCACTCCAACGCCTCGGCCCTGCGTGAGGCTCTCCAGCGCAGTGTGGCCTCCAGCGGTCATCCCGCCGGTCAGCCCACTGGCCATAACCACATCAAGCCCAGGCCTCCGGTCAAGTCCTCCAATGCCCGCAAGCCTATTAGTGTCCAGCGAATGGCCAGGTGAGCTCAGAACATGAATCAGACCTCTGTAAATTCAGAACTTTCTTGAAATTTTCTTACCGTACCCCCTCATTGGCAAGACGGGGAGAGTTGGAGGAGACCATCGGGAGAGATATTCGAATGTATCGCAGATGCCGCCTGACGTTCACGCGAAGACGGCATGGCTTTGTGCACATTCAAAATAAAACAAGTCTTGCATACTTCGCCCTATATTCGCGAGCCAGTACATGCGCGCGGTTAAAAAAACCGCCCTCTCTTGTTGGCGCACGGAGCCCATTGACTTTTGCATTGTTCCTTTAACTTATTTAAATGGAAAATCTTTAAGCGATATGATGTTTGGGGTTGGTATACTACTCCCCCCCCCCTTCCAAAACAAAATCCAATTAGGAATTGAAATGCATGAAATCTTAGCAGAATTCCAATGAGCCGTCACATGAAATGTGGCTTTTAAAGGTGTAATGCTACTGTGGGGTGCTGTGGTCTAATGGTTACGGTGTTCGACTCGTGTGCCTAACGGGGGAACATGGTGCTTGTGCTCTTGGGCAAGGCACTTTACTACGATTGCCTTTCTCCGCCCAGGAGTATAAATGGGTACCTGTGAAGGTCTTGAGCTGCTGCAGAAAAATTGGTCTCGTTCCTGATGAACAGGGATAATAATTGTGATGCGCATTTGATCATATTCATATTTGCGCAATAGAAATGTATAAATGAATAAATTATTATTGTTAATCCAAGACCTTTATCTTCAAGTGAAAGAAATACTGTGAAATGTGCTTTTTATCTCCCCCATTGACATTTGTCATGTCATCATATTATGTTAATTTTCAAAAAATTCTCCTTAGTAAAGTGCAATCTTACTTGCTTAAAGTAGTTGCGTCTTTCTTTTGAATTTAAGATCAGAGTTTGCAATTTAACGGCATGAACTGGCTATGGAAATATTCCTGAACGACCCTTTAAGATCTCCCCACTCACACATTCTACGGTTCCAAAAACTGATCCTATCTTAAACTGGCAATTCCGTCAGACTGTGAAGTCATCATCATACCATGGATTGCAATTGCCTGGACCAGACATTTCTCCTGCTGCAAGTTTAGCATTCCATCTTGCCAGCTTTCCATCTTTTCATATTTGCCCTCTGCGAAATCCCCTCATTAGTCCCTGGTTGTAGTGTCAGGGAAGACACGCGTGCATCTGGTCGTGAGGCACAAAAGGGTTCTTGCTACCTGGGGAGTTTGCGGTCTTTTACATGTAGTTTATTTTATCTACATTTTCACTAGGTTTTGTTGAGGGTACAGAATTAAAAAAAATAATAATAATAATTACAGTATTTTTTTTGGGGGGGGGGGTGTTAGTGAGAAAGTATTTATAGGTTTTCTCGGCCAATTTCCTAAAATGTTCATTCGCTTCTGAATATTGGTCATTCTTTTCCGTCTGAAATTGAATGCACGTCTTTAAGCCCATTTCAATTAAACTAAAGTTCAGTGGTTTTCATTGTCCATGCATTCGGTTTTGAGAAACAGATGGCCAATTACGTTACCTGCGCATTCATTTACGCAAGCATGCCTTTTCTAAATTGACTTCAGGTACAGTTAATGAAAAAGAGACCCCTTATTGTGGCTTATCTGGTGCCGATGGCATTAAAGTAAAAGTGAAATAGAATGATGAATGTTCAAAATCACCTTCTAAAAGGGAAAGAGAAGTCTGGTAAGCGAATCTGAATGGACATTAACGAAAGGTGCTGCTCAATCACTCATTTGATTGAACTAAAATGGAATCGAACGCTCTGGTAGCAAAAATGAAACGCGTGTTCAGAGCGATTCTCAAATTCAGACGAAAATGAATGACCGATTTTTAGAAGTGAATGAACATTTTAGGAAATTGGCCGGGAAAACCTATATTAAAAAAGTATTTATTAAAAGAAGTTTTAAACATTCAATACATATTATCAAATTACCATATTGTCCAGGACAATTGTACTTTTCCAGTGTAATGCCTAAAGGCCAGTTCATACTTCATGCGAATGCCAGTGCGATGCTGATTTGACGTCACGAAGCACTCTCATTCTCGAAGCATTCGCCGGAGTTGAAATGTGTTTAACTTTTGCGAATTTGCACAGCAAAAACTTGCCCTGACATCACAAATTCGCGTTCGCGTTCGCGCCGAGTATGAACCTGCTTTTAGACTCATATGTTGGCGGTTCCTTCATACTGTTCGTCCATTTAGATTAAACACGCTTGGGACTTGCAGCGAAGCTGCCTCCCGCGTTAAAATATTTGCAAAGAAGCATCACATTTCAGTATTCACATTTCAATTTGTGGATTTCCCTTTGAATCGGTTAATCGCATGGAGGGAAGGAAATTTCAGACACCACATGTTAATATCACAAGAAGCTAATGTACATGGCTGGACTGGACTCCCACGTCTGGAATTTGTGAGCAGATTGAGGTTGAATTGTTTCACAGCTTTAACAAAGATGTGCTGTGGTGGTACATTTTTTTTTTCAAGGCGCTGCCACCGGCATGCTTATGATTGGCTAATTGGTTGATACCTGAGTGGGATTGGATGACAGTTTGCTGACAGTGTCATGTCATGACGAATAACATGGTACTGTAAAACGTCGCTTTAGAATAGACCATTCAAAACCTCCAGCACTCTGGGTTTGTGCATAAGAGTCTGAGCTGCGTTCTGGTATATTTAGCTCTGGCTGGATGCCTATCAATCCAATCATATGTGGGTCATTCTATAAATTCAGGCAGTGTTTCCCCTGTCTAATGAAATGAGCGAGGTGGTAAAAATTCAGATCGATGATTGAAACAAAATTGATGCAGTTTGCAAACTCAAAAGGATGCTGCCCTTACAAAAATGCGAGATGATTCCATTTACACATCCATATTGTAATTTGTGAGTTCTTAATACATACCTGGTAGAGGTCAGGGAAAACGCTCAAAAATTACACAAAATGAAATATTTTTCAATTAGTATTCCTTTATTCAGCAAATCTTCACAGCAAGGTGGTGATATTGGCAAAAATTGAGCGAGGTGGTCACTGAAAGTAGTGAGGTGGGCCGCCTCACATTTGAATGGGCAGGGGAAACACTGAATTCAGGATCTAAAGTGTGACTGTTTTCCCTGTCCTGCCTTGATACTTTTTAAGTTCAAATTTAAGTATATTTAAGAATGACTTAAAGGAATATACAACATTTGCTTTTGCTGTAATTTTCAGAAATGGATGGATTTGGGGGTTAGTATTTTATAGCAAATATTGTTTCACTGACTTGTTGGAAGGTTTGTGTTTGTAGATGCTGGAAAAACCAAGAAAAACAGTCATGTTCCTGTAGTCTGGTTCCCTGATCCCACTAAAGATGAAACAGAGTAAATTAGAGGCGTCGGGAATTGTAAGGTCAAGGAACCAGTCTAGCTGGCTTGTACCCATTCATAGGTGTGTATGTGTAATTGATTGCAAACAAAATGTGGACTAACTAAATATGGTAAATTGGAGGAAGTATTTGAGAAAAGCAAGTTGTTTTTCCAACGCTGGTCGGCCGACCAGCGTTGGAAATTGATACAACTTTTCCTGAAAATGACAGCACACCAGGTGCCACGATTTTACAGGATGCTTTAGACTGTCATTCACTACAAGTCCAGTAAGATATTTCATAATAATTTGGTAGTTTTGTTTTTTGATGTTTGCAAATGTTGTATATTCCCTTTAATGAGTGTGAAGAAATTGCTTGATCTTAAAAAAAAAAACCCACTGTAACGTTTGCATACCTTATAGGAAAGGCTCTGTAAATAGGCTGCAATTTTCACAACTTACTGCTTTTTCCCTGGTATTTAAGTAGCGTGTTGCTGCATTAAAAAAATATTGCTGTTAACGCTTTTCTATTTGTCACAGAATGTGGTTCGGCATTCCATAAAGTACTAGAATTTTGAAAATTTTCCATAATGTTATCGCCTGAGAGAACTTGTAATAATAATTTGATCAGTATCTGAGAAATCATTCTTGGAATTTACCATTGGCATTTGTGTGTGTGTCCCACCCTCATTTTAGGTAAGGGAACTTTCTGACTGCGGATTGCCGATAGCCTCTTAATTTTTCTGTAGAAGGAAGTGGAATTAAAGGGGAAGGTGGTTTATTTCGAGCTACCCAAAAATAAGCAGTATATATAAGGAAAAATGGTTATAAAATTATAACCAGACGTTATTGGCAAACAACCCTTGCATTGTGCATGTATCAATTGTTTTCTTCCAAATGTTGTTTTGAGAAATCCAAGCCCCTTGTTGAAGTTGTCCGGAAACACTGCAAATTCGACCTCATAGTTTGCACTTCCCAGGCAGTATCATGATGGGTTTGGTCAGGCTCTGAACTCGGCGTCAAAACAGATCAATTTCTGTCAGCCGAGAGTTCAACAAGTTGGGGAGTATCTGTGGGTTGATCCATTTGTTTTGATTCATTTGATTTCATTTTCTGGTTGTGTTCCACTGTGATACCCCTCTGCAGGACCACCCAGTTGGATGAGCCCTCCCCTGCACCCTCCTCTCAATCCTCATCGACCTTCTACTCGGGCCTGAAGTACAACAATATGACAGGCACTACTAAAGTTCCGTCCTCGGGCATCAGCAATATCTACAACTCTGGTAGGCAAGCTTGTAATGTTCTCGCTGTAGATATCTAGACTTTGATTTCAGACTGTCAAATCATATTAAGCTACAGACCTAGTAGCTCAAACAATTTACTGAAAGGGAATTTTTTTTTAAAAGAATTTCACCAAATTAAAACAATTACGATAGACACAAATGCATTACGAGTTATAAAAAAATAAATTGTATATCCATCTCCAACTACATTTCTATGTACACGTGAAGTCCTGTTTGAAAATGAGATGAACCATCTTCTATGCCTTATAGGTTCTGTGTCCAGAAGTATAACCCCTTTTAAAGGTAGACTTTGCGTGTGAAGTTACTGGGAAAACTTTTTTCCACAGTCTCCGGTCCCCCTTTAGTGACTTCATAAATGAGTTATACACATTGCTGTTAAGCAATCATTTCTGTGGCATCCAGACCTACAACTACGTGTTTCGTGCACATTGCGACTTCGACAATCGGCACCGGTGTATCCAATGATACGCCCAATTGATGTTTAAGCAGAACCATATGGGCAAGGGGGTCAAGATCAGAACATGGGCAGGCCGGCAGCAGCCCGTGTGACCGGGTTCATTCTGGCTCAGTGACTGCACCGTATCCTTGGCCTGTTTCCCAGACAGACTCTTCCAACCCAAATTTCAACCCTCTAATTCAGTTTTGTAACAAAATAATGGATACTCCTTATTTTTATTTTTTTTTTTTTTTTTTTTTTTGGTGATCATTTATAATTCCCTGATGTTGATCAGTGGTGAGGGATTGAAAATTGGGACCATTTTAGTGGCAGCCGCAAATCCCAGAGCTGTGCTGCAAAAGGAACACAAAAAAGCCACACCGCAGTATCCGGTACTTTTTTTAGCAGCCTGGGATAAAAAAAAATGGATGAAAAAGATTGGGCCACCCGGTACTTTGCAATTGTCTCCCCATTGTGCAATAATTGCAGGTAATAACGCAAACCTATCCACCCAGGTAGCAGATCGGTCAGATGGTGAGGTGACATTTCAATCATAAAGTCATTCATGTGACTTCACTCTTAATAAATGCAACGTGTTTTAAAGACCTTTTGTGCTTCTTCTTCTTCTTCTTCTTACGGAAACTGGGTGTTGCCACCCACTGTGCCTGCCCACGTAATCGCTCCGCCAAAAAAACACAGACGACATTTGAGTTCCCTCCTTGAGCCCTTTTTCTCTTTGTCGGTGGCAGCAGCGCCGGTCAACAAATGTGTTTGCAATTAAGTCCCAAAAAAGAATCAGTCGTAGGGAAAAGCCGTTTGTTTGGGTGCATCCTGGAAAAGGTTAAGACCGTTGCCAAGAAGAAATAGAGGACAGGAAAAAAGATTATCTGCCGATTTCACATCTGGCAGATCCAGATCAGGTTTTGACCTTAGTTTCTTAGCGTTAATTTGAAACAACAGTTGCTATAAAGCCATGTGTCGGTGGAGTTGCTGCTGTTGTGTGTGGTATCACTGATGCATTATGCAGCCCTATAACAACATCTGTTATTCAGGGTGGTTGGTTTCAAACCAACAGTAATCTTCACTTCAGGAAAGTTAACCAACATTGAAATTTAATTCATAAATACCTAAGACAGTTAACCCATTCCTATTGGTCCTTCGGCTCAGGTCATTATCAGCGTCCAGACTCCAAACCGGTCTTAGACATCTTGTTTAAAACTGGCCAAACACACATTTATTCCCTTAATAACATTTTAACTCTGTGAGATATTCTGTGGTAAATACTTTTCTTTTGTTCTGTTGACCTTAATTTGGGTTTTTTATTAGTAGAAAGTATTGTGACCAATGTCTTGTTTGAAAAACCATTTATTTGACAAGATTAAAACCAAAAAGAATTGAACAATTCTGGTCGGTTTTTTTTTTAAATAAAAGATTTGCTGTGTCTTGGCCTACCAAGTCTTAACAAATCACTGATTGTGACCTTCATACCGTTTGAGGTAATTACGTGAGTGGAAGTCCTTCATGAATATAAAGCAGGGACAGAGATACCTCTCTCCTCATAATGAAAACAAAATTGATTTACCAACAAAAAAAAAGAATCATTACTGGAGCATTTTCTTGTCGTTTAAAGAGCCTTGGACAGTAACTTCATGAATATTTGACATTTGAAGGCTTGATGTAATGACTGGTTCATGCTTCACACAGATGTGTTCCTCTTGAATTCATTAGGATAATGCTGAACTTCACACAACAGTAAAACTTCATGAGTGGACGCCATGAAATTTGCTTCGTATTTCGCATGAATAAAGAGGGTGTTCTTTATGTTTTTTAATTTAGTTACAATAAATGCACAAAAGGGTTACTCACGCCTACCCAGGTGCTACAAAACCATTGCCCTCTAACTCCACCGTAACGCATCAGGTCTATTATCGGCCTAAAATTTGCCAATTACCAATATTTTACAACAGGACCTTAACAATCCATCTTTGATGTTTCGGTTGTTTCAGGTTATCAGTCAGCTGTGGTAAAACACTGATGAGAGGTCTACCTACATATGTCTCACATTTCCTGCACACATGTACATGTCCTTCTCGATGGAGTCAATGCAAAAGTACCTTCCAGCATCGACGAAGAGAGGGAACCGACAGTGTACTCTTGAACGACATTGTCACCGCTACCGGCTTGTGCACATTCAGGATACCTTTGCCACAATCTCGCAGCGTGTCGCATCATGGTCCGTGGTCGCATCCAGAGCTCTCTTGATTGGTCAGGAGGCACCCTCCACCGGTACTGTCCCTCCTACTTGGAGTCCATACTTGTCACGTGAGCCAGTTTTGGAAGGAGGATGATCACTTTCACTTCAGCAAGAAAAGACCTTTTTTTAATAGAATGAATTCCAACATTTGTATTAATTTGTTTTAGTTTAAATATAAAACAGATGGTTTCTCAGAGAATTGTGACCTGGTAATGATTATACATAGAGCTGGGACCAAAACGTTTGGAGTAAGTGTGGATTGTTTTTGTTAGTGGGGCGGCAGAACCTTTTCCTTCCCCACCCTCCCCCCCCCCCCACCCAACCCCCCTCTCCGTTTCACTATATTTCACCTTCCAGTGAAGAGCTCAACTTTTCTTTTGAAGATCAAGTTCTGAACTACATCCCATTTTTCTTCTTCTCAGTTTTCATCAAAATCACGCTGGGGTCAGATGACCCTTTCCCCTCAAAATGGATATAAGATCGTAGAAAGCTGTCATCAAGGTCAAGTCCTACATGTAACTGGCTATAATGTTACCAAGCCTAGTCTGCCAATAGCTCCCTGGTCGGGTGCAGAGTTTTTGATCCAGTGTTTCTCATCTGTTCAATCAACCTCTTTGACAAATTTCAGATAATTCTGCAGACTCAACCATTGATTCAAATTCTGAGAAAGTGTGCCGGCAGTAATTGTCAATAATCCGAGAAGCAAAAACACGTCTCGAGTTTCGATGTCTGCATACTCATTCCCTTCACAGCTAGTAGTGGGTCCGCCTTCGGCCCGTGTTTATGAGTTAATGTTCTCGCAGGTCACATATGAAGCCCTCTGAAATTTCATATCAGAGCAGCTTTAAAGGGAATGTACATCATGGCTTTCGCTGTAATTTTCAGAAATGAACTATTTGAGGGGTTAGTATGATAGATCAAATATTGTTACACTGAGATTTTTAAGTTTTGTGTCCGAAAATGCTTGAAAAACCAAGAAAAACAAAAATGTTCAAGTAGTCCGGTTCCCTGACTCCACTAAAAATGAAATGGATCAATTTATAGATGCCGGAAAATTGTGAGGTAAGGGAACAAGTCTAGCTGGCCTGCACCCGTTCATGAACATGTAACCAATAGCAAACAAAATTTGGACTGAAACAAATGGTAAATATGGAGCAGTAGTTGAAAAATAGTTAGGTTTTTCCAACGGTGGTCGGCCGATCGACCACCGTTGGAAATGCATACAAAAATACCATTTTCTTGAAAATGACTTCACACCGGGTGCCATAATTTTACAGAATGCTTCAGACTGTCATTTACCAACATCCTAGTAAGGTATTTTGTAAAAACTTGGTAGTTTTATTTTTCGATGTTTGCAAATGTTGTATTGTCCCTTTAACAGCCTGCTCACTGTGGGCCTTTTGTTTTCTTGTCAGATTACTCTAAAAATAACATGAATGTACTCTACATGAACCCAGTTAAGAAGGTTAAAGGAGTAAGCGCCGGCAGACATTACACACTGTAACTGAACCCCTATAGGTTCAAATCATGTTTTGAGGAGAGGATGGGGCAAAAAATAAAAACCCTGCGGTGAGGTGTTGTCGGTATGTTGTGTGATCTGGGCAAGCTGGGCTGTGGTGTAAGGCAACACCCGGGGACGATTAGGAAAGCTCCAGGGGTGTAATCATCAGTCCTGACAGTTAAAGGGAAGATACAACGTTTGCAAAAATCACCAAAAAAACTGAAATGATCAAATTATCACGAAATGTCTTGCCGGATTGTTAGGGAATGACATTCTAAAGCACCCTGTAAAATCATGGCTTCTGGTGTGCTGTCATTTTCAAGAAAACCGGCCGACCAGCGTAGGAAAAAAATGGCTTTTTTCAAAAACTGCTCTTAATTTTTCATAATTAGTTTTTCCGCATTTTCTTTGCAATTGATTACACGCCTGTGAAGGGGTACAAGCCTGCTAGACTGATTCTCTGACCTTACAATTCCCCAAAGTCGACAAACTGCTCCGTTTCATCCTAAGTGGGGTCAGGGAACCAGACTAGAAGAATATGATGTTTTTCTTGGTTCTTCCAGCATCTTCAAGCCCAAAACGTAAAATAAGTCAGTTCAACAATACTTGCTTATCCCCCAAATCCACTTACTACTGAACATTGCAGCAAAAGCAAATGTACATTCCCTTTAACTGTATGGTCTGCCATCGTGGGCCTGGCCAGTGTTTCCCCGTTGTTGTCCGAGGCCGACAGTGAATTGGCTGAGAGAGAGATATACAGCCAGGAGTGAAAATTGCATCCTGGCCACCTTCACACTCGCTGGTATGGACAACTGGTATCAGTGACCAGTTCATCATAAGGACACAATTTGGTTTCATTTAAAAGTTTCTAAACAGCTGTGATCACAATGAGTATAATGGTGTTTTAGAATAAGCTCCTTATGTCTTTTCCTTTTCGAGTGCAGAATGTAGTTCACACTGTCCAAGTGAGCTTGATATGGCATCATGGTCTCTCCCTGCCCCTTCCCAAGTCCCTCCCCTTCCCAAGCCCCACCCCTTCCCAAACCCCGCCCATTCCCAAACCCCGCCCATTCCCAAAACCCTGTCCCTTCCCAAGCCCTGTCCCTTCCGAAGCCCCTCCCCTTCCCAAAGCCCCACCCCTTCCCAAAGCCCCGCCCCTTCCCAAGCACCTTCCCACCCACTCCATGCCCACCAACCCCAATCACCCCATCCGGTACAAATTCTTACTTAATTTACAACGTCTGTCCTTCCGCACACAATATTGTTCTTCAGAACCCCTGATTTATGTAATTGTACCTTCCAACATATCCGGAATATGCACAACACTGAAATCCGAGCACTAACATATGGTATGTGGTTTGCCTTTAAAACCAAATCCTCCAAGTGAAAATAATTCTGGTAAATTTTACAAAAAAAAACAAGAGATGGCAAGCCTAGTAAAGCTGGTCCCAGAGTGCACAAATTTGTTTCACTTGGTTCAGAATGGCTATTCACTGGAAAGTCTCATCATGCTTCTGGTCTTCACAATGGGCCGGATTTAGCCCATTCATTGGTGCTCTATACAGGGTGATCTTACACAATAGAAACGCCCAGCTCACAAGTGACAGTCAGTCAGTCAGTCAGATAGGACTAGGCCTGGGCGAGCAGTGGATTGTTCTACTCGAGTACTCACAAAGAAATTACTCACAAGTAGTCGAGTACTCGCGAGTAGTTAACCAAATTCCCATAAAAACAAAAATGAGATATACTGTACGTTAGTGTGACGTCAAGTAACTTACAAGCAAAAAGTGTGCAAGTCACACCACATTCTTCAGCACTGAGATATCCTTACTGTGCGACATTTTGGGTCATTTACTGGAATTTGTTATTTCTTTGTGGACGAATGGAATCCCAGGGAGGGAGACATGGAGGGAGTGATTCCCTGTTTGCAGGGGACATATTAAAGGGACACACTGGGTCCTGGAACAGCCCAATTGGGCTACAAAACGCGCTTTGAACGAGATGATGTTGATCGGAAACAACATTTAAAAGTAGGATATAAACATCCACACATCTATCCTTTCAAAATTGGACGTTTTTGTGTTATTCCTGTATTATGCGTGCGAGAACGAATTTCAGGGTCCACTTTTGTGACCCCATAAATTTGAGCTGTTTGGATGCTAGTTGTGATTTCATTCGTAAAGTGTTCGCCTTTTGCGGACGTTGAAGAAACCACTGTTTTTGCATTGGTGATTGGTCACCGCTGTTCCCGAGACACACAACGTGTATATTGTACACTGAGAACGACACGAAAAAGTATCGTGTCGGATGTAAACAAGCGGGTTTTTTTTCATCTTTTCTCTGGAAAGGTAAGACATTAGGTTGGTTTCCTTTCAACCAGATGTTTGAAATAGGCTAAGTGAATAATCCAAAACATGAAATTTTCGGGGATTTCAGGACCTAGTGCCCCTTTAAGCAGTGAACTCTAACTAAATTGCTACTAGCGAGTACATGCTTGTACTCGCGCCAGGACGAGTACTCGAGTAGATGGAAAACCAGGTTATAACAACGAGTAGCATAAACTACTCGCAAGTACTCGAGTAATCGAGTTACTCGCCCAGCGGTAGGTAGGACTATAGACTGGTCCTGTATGACGAGCAAAAAGGCTACTTTACTCTCAAAAGGGGTCACTGTCCTGAATTTTATCAAATAAACATCAAAACCAAAAGTTGTGATTGAAACCATTGTCTTGTTTATTGTACGGTCTGCAGCTGGCCAGACGGCAATGCGATAAGTGAAAAACCCATTTTTAGCCCAGACGGTAAAAGCCCAGACCAAAATACACCACTTCAACATTCTTTCTCCCATTGTTGACCCGTTGCCGTGGTTACCCAAATGATCTGGGTGGGGATGTCGAGGACTTGCAGGAAACAATAGATCCATCAGGCAGGACGTCTGCTTGATATGAGCGGAGGGACACACTCGGTGGTGTGTGGTCTGTGCAACATGCACGCATTGCTTCCGGTGAGATGATGATGATAATATCATATCGTGCCGACACCGGATACCAGGGCACTTTATTTTGATGGGAAAATAGGAAGTAAACACATTGGGGTAGGTTACCAACCAAACATAGGCATGAGTGATGATGCGCAAACGTTTGTCTTTTCAATGAGCTTAGGCTAAAATCTACTGTCGACTGTAGTTACAGATTCAGTTACAACAAAATTCTGGTTATAATGGACATGAATCTTCAATCTTTAACCGTGAATTTTTTGGCGGAAAAAATGGGACTGGCACCAAATTTCAAACAAAGATTCCGATTTACAATCACTTTGGCTTGGTTTGGCTCATGAAGCCAGTTCGAAACTGCAACGTACTTTGTGCATAGAGTTTTAACTTCATGTTGTTGTCGTGTGCGGTTTGTATTTCCTAATGTTTGATTTCATGAAACATCGCAGCTTTCAGATTTATTATCATCCCCGACAGACTTGTGTGTCTTAATTTATCTGATGTTTGTGTTTCTGGGTCTTTCTATAAATTTAGGGTCCAATGTGTGACATTTTCATCCGTCCATGTTACCTTGGTATTTGTAGTTTGTCATTTAAGAATGACTTCAACTTGAGTTGTATTTGTTAGGTAGGTAGTTTGCTATTCATAATCACTCTTGGAGGATTACTGCATTAAGGAGTGCATCAGAATTATAAAATCATAGATGTCAGATGTAACAGGAACGGGGGGAAAAGTGGACCCTAAATGTGTAGAATGACCCGTGGTCATCTTGAAATCATAATGTGCACATGGAAATAAGTTTAGGCTATATTGAAAACAATAATGGAATGGCAAAATTATCCCACTCTGAATTCATTTATTCCAAATAATTCTAAGCCTCGTACCCTCTGTCTTTCACCTGTTCACTTTATGTCATTCAACCTTAACCTTATTGTACAAGTAGGCTTAAACACCAGGCAGATATTTTGAAGGTTTTTTTCGCGAAGGGTGTTTTGACTCTGTACTGCATCCACAATATATAACCCGGCCAACCTCTTTTATACCAAAACTATCAGTATATAGACCTTTTGGCCTTAGTGAATACCGAAACAAATTTCAATGATTACTAATCTCATTTATCACCATAATCCCAGTGCTTACGACGATTAGTTACTGTGTCATAAATAATTATCATTTGACTCGAATACTGTAAACATTTTGAATCAAAAAAATGGTAAAGAACTTGTTTTCCGTAGTGAATAAGCAGGGTTGGCAAAAACAGTGTTCAGTTGGTATTTGTTCTTTCTTTTTGGTTGTGTGTGACTCTTACATCCGTATTGCTGTTTCTTTATTGTGTCACTAGGTAAATATGGTCTCAGGAATACCACCTTATATGTTGTGGTGCAAATATAGATGTTTACAGACTGCATTCCGCATTTACAGTGCCTTTGATTGTGTGTACATTCTCAAGTGTATTTTTACTTTGTTAATACAGCGAGTTGTAAATTATAACACGGACGTTTGAGATCATTTGTTGAAAGTTTGAATTATTTGTGATGGGAATGGAATTTTGCCAACATGTAATTCTCGAATTCACAGTTACAAAGGGAACAGGACTTCGCATTCGGTGTACACCCTGATTTAAAAGGTCATCACCCTGCAGCCCATCGGACCCTTCAACCCCCTTTAGGCCACAGAAAAAGTCACATGAACAACCACTGTCATGTTATAGGTCCATCACCAGTCATTCAAAATTTTCCCAAGTCAAGAGCTTTGTCATCGTTTTGCTGTTAACGTGTGACCCGACTCTCGGCCTGACTTGTTTGAGATGGACGAATGTCATTGTCAAGTTGGCACACAGAGACTCAGCTTGCCTGCCCCATTGGCGTTGGGAACCTTTTCTTCTTAAAATCATTGCCACGGAGTTTTAAATTCGTCTTTTGACTTGATTGAAATTCTCAATCGCACTTAGCTATTCGATTCAACTCACCTCAATTCCCCTTAAATACCCTCATCGTACCCGTCCCCCTCCCCGTCCCCCTTCACTTCGAACCTCCTCATCACGCGGCAATCACTTCCTGCCCCTAGTCTTTATCAAATCGGCTAGTTTCAGTAAACCTCTGGACTGATGACGTCACACTTTGTTTACTTGCGCGCTTTTCTATTGGGCACTGAAACCTTCGTCCCCACCAGGCTCCCATAGGAAAGCACACGTGTAAACAAAATGTGACGTCATCAGTACAGAGGCTTATTTCGATTTCCCAAAGCTTTATCAAACCAAGCAATAATGTACTCTTTTGTTACTGTTTAAAATGTTTCCGTAACTTTAAGCACACGTGTGTACATTGTATAGATATGTTGACACGAGAATAAAATGTCAGATTTTATAACTTGTAATGCTCTCTCCCAGCGTTTCAGTTCTTTATTTGCTTTGTGTGAAAGATCATAGATTACTGTTGGTCCACTTTGTGGGGAGAGATCCGGTTTTCAGATACTCGAAATGTGCCAAAGGTTAGAACTCTTAAAATAAAAATAGATGGATGAAGAACGGATGTCATTTGGTATCTGAAATCAAATCCCATCTTCCGGCCGAAAATGTGTTATTATAGTGGGTTCGTATTGTTAAAGTATAGCTTACATATGGCATAGAGGATGTAGTTTACCTCCATATGGAAGTGCTGAGCATTAGACGTTGCACAGCGAAGAACATAGTTTTTGCTTCAACATAGGAACAATAAACAAGGTTGGCCGTCACAGTGCCAGATGAAATGATTAGCTTTTAGTTGATTTACACCCGCACGCAGCTTTGAAGCGATATTTCATGACGCGCTTCTCCCTCGACCGAAACCTGATCCGAACTCAATCCAACCATACAGAGCAAGCCCATTCATGCAGTTAATATCTTCATCTTAAAAAAAAAACGTTTCAGATTGTCCCTTCGATTGTGTATTTTTAACTTGTGCAATAATATACCCCCCAAAACGCTATTTGAAAAACATCTTCTAACGGAAATCGCTGCAAAACTGTAAACATCGCTAAATTTGTACGTTGTGGTTTATCCATGGAAAATACTCCATCAAGAGATTCAAACAAACAATAAAAACAAACAAATAGTACAAGACGACTACTGTATAGATACCACTCCAGAATGTATAGAGATACCAGTCGTTTGAGAAATATTGCATTTAAAAGTGAATAATTTATTGAGCACATCTTCACCGAATAGAATGCAGAAATCTTAAAAATGTTACCAACGATCATGATTTGGTGATACGTTGGTGACAAGTCACCCCATCACAAGAGACTTCTATCATCGTATTGAATATACCATGTTCCCTGGGACGTCCTGCCGACAGGCAACCAATAGGTAACCCAAACATTTAAGTAATATTAAAATATGTCAACACTTTTAAACCAATCATATTTCATGAGATACGTATTCAGTGCAGAAGAGAACCGTTTGCTAAAAGTTGGCATCAAGTGAGTATACAACATCCAATTTGCAAACAAATGCCACATACTAATAGTTGCAAATATTTGTTTTCTGCACTGTGGCAATTTACTACTAAAAGTAGCGCCCTTTCATTGTCGTTTGCTCAAGTGAAGTTCAGATGTAACTTAACTCGAAGACAATATCTGTCCTTATGAGGCCGTATTTGTGTTTTCTCTCGATTTAAATGGGGAAAAATTATGTGATTTGCGAAATGAGGAAGAAGCAAATAAGGAAGAAGCAAAGTGCAAAGGGAATTAACGATAATTCGTGAATAGCCCCGCCCTAACGGGGGCACGTGTGGTCTAGCGGTAGGGCACAGGATTCATGATCGTGAGATTGTGGGTTAGAGCCCCGACGTGGCCATGCGTGTTGTGCCCTTGAGTAAGGCGCTTTACCTCAATTAATCCTCTACCCAGATGTTAAATGGGTACCGGCATTATCCAACGCTGGGAAGGTAACAGACTCGCTGTTGAGGAGGTGTGGCGATTCTCCCCCCCCCCCCACATCAGCATTTCATGGACTCGAGTCTGGCCAAATCGCTTCGAAAGACGTTCCTGTGAACACAGGTTCGTCCCCCTTTACCTTTACTTCTTTCTTTTTTTACGAAAAGACGTACTCGTGATTTGTTTATACTAATGTACAATCGGCAGCAATAGCCGTATCTCGGCAGCCGGTATTATAACGGTGATCCCTCGATCTGTTTTCAGACTTTCTTTGAGGGATTTCTATGGAGCTAATATATATCGCGAGAAAGCGGAGGCCATTTAAAAGACACTCAATATTTTCGTTTGGTAAATAATACCAAGTTGTGACTCTTTTGTTACTGGGCACGTGCCTCATATAATGAAGATTTCTATGTTTGCGAGTGCACTAGATGTTTGTTGGCGATTCCTACCTGGCACAGCGAAATAAAGTTCCGAGAAATGTCAAGAAAAAAAGCTGCAAATCAGCTGTTTTGAGCCCGTTAGCTGGGTATTCATCTCCCAATGATGCCCAGCCTTTCTAGCAGTGATAAGAAAAATCAGAAACGCGCCTTCCAGAAACAATTATATACATATAAAACGCCACAGATGTTTTATTGAACTTGTAAATATTGATTGTTATTAACATTATCATATCTCCCGTATGTCGACAAAGTAAATCTTTCCATGTCTGCCACCATCTTGGTCCGGTTCCTGAAAGTTTTTACGGGGATCACCGTAGGTTTGAGTCAGCAGCTCGTCGGCACCAGACTTACTTGAGCACTCGCACTCTATTTTATATAAACTTTGAAGCGATAAATATACCGAATATTTATACCGTTAAACCGTTTACAGTCTGAATATTTCTGAGCCATCAAAGACGAGCCTTCATTCATTACCGCATTCACTTTAAGCAGCAGAGGGCAAACTTTTTTTAATCACTCCCAATGTGTTTCAAAAGAGTTTGCTTCGATTCACTGATTCCTGTTGCATTAATATTAAGTTGCATATAACTTCCTTTGTTCAAGTCAATTCCCAAGCTGCGCCTGTGGCTCCCGAAAGCAGATTACGCACCTTCATTCCCAAGGAGGAATACATCGTTTTGCACACTTCTTTTCCTTATTCAAGAGTATACATTGATATTTTCTGACTTTATTAGAATCCAGTCCAGCCTCAGCCATCTTCTCATTGTCCATAGCTCTCTTTGGTATCTCATTCATAACTTAACTCTGCCATAAATTAAGGCTTAAATATACTGTTTTAGTCTGTCCCCAATAATTTAGTAAGACACTGTAAAACAGCCCGAGTACTTTCAAAAAATTGAATAACAAATAACAGTAATTAAGCTAAACAAAAAGCTACGTGATATATACTGAGTTTACAAAAATATCGCGGTACTTCGTACCTTTTAGTTTACAGCAGTTTTTTTTTTAAATAGCCCGGAGGTCTATCTACCGCCCTCCGCGCGTAAGACATCTCCATCAACTGTTTTTGCAGAGCGGTCATCGACAAGACGTTCAGTTTTACCGGTTAGACCAAAAATGACCGAGTGGTTACCGCCAGTGTTATTAAATTATGGACTCTTGTAAAATCCAGTGTGTTAGACCTAAGGACGTTCTCGTTGCTGTGAGACATGCGCGGTGCGTTTGAGAAACCCGTTTTTAGGAAGTCAAAATTTTCATTACACATTTTTCACTCAAACAAATGTATTTTAACAAATAGTTGTCGTTATGATGGAGACGTCAATTTTTTTTTAATAGCGATTGTATCGCTGCAAAATATATACATACTCTATCTCAGTATTTCCTTGATATAACACTTGTCGAACCCTGCATCGTGATCAACCTCATTCATTTAATTATCGAGTTTTTTCATTTTTCTTAACTCGAAATGTTTCTCAGTCACAACCGTGTGCATTTTATGACATACTATTGAACAGCCACATCGTATCAAGTTCACCTGATATATCGCGAACAAAGCAAGCATGCACGCGGTTCAGGGTGTATAGGAGAGAAAATTAATTCGGATTTTTCCCCCCAGTAGAAAAGAACTCTGCGTGTGCATACATGCGAAATTCTATCATGAGGGTTCTGCAGAGATCACTTTGAAGTCAACTCCACTTGAGATGATCATGTTCGAAGCCGTACCTAGGCCAATTCCACTATCACCAATGATTAGCAGGTTCGAGCGCAAGATGGTTGATCATAGTTTGACTAGCCTGTCTCGATCGGAACGCAGTGGTGGTTGAGACCAGACAATTGATGTTTGCATTACTGGTTCCTAATAACCTTATTTCGTAATTAAGTACAAAGGGAACCATCGGTGTGCAAAACAATGGTGCAAGAGAGGGCCCGGTAGCTACAATGTGGAACGGAACACCAATTTGCTTCAAAATAACCCATCAGCTTCACGACTGCATGTGGACAAATGCTTTATCCAACTGGACAAAAAGTTGTTAGCTTTCTTTCCAAAGTTATTCCTATGCTTGGGGCATCGAGGCGTAACATCACATCTGTGCGGTGTCTTCGGAGATGACACTCCGTTTAAGTTGGTGTTTGAGGAAGAAAACTGGTGATACTTGACTGTGCCCATCAAAAAGTTTAAGCCACGATGCCGTTTCAGTGCAAATCCGATGCATTATTCTCAACTTGAGTACACAGCTAAAGCTACGTTAAAAGCCGATGCTTTCCGTACTAGCTGCACTGACACGATGTCACAATGGCGTTCGGCAGTTCTCTAAACAAAGGCCTGCCCTTATCGTAAAACAATATATGAAGTGGTTTAAAACTCCGAGGCGAACAGCAAGGCGAGGGCGAAGCGTCTGGGTTCAGTCGCCGGTACGTATCCAGCACCGAGCCGTGGTGAGTTTGTGCGTTCCATACGCTGCCGTTGACGTACGAGCAGGAACCGGCGCAGTAGTTTGGGTAGTAACCCTTAGGCTGACGTATCCAGCCCCAGCCCAAGTGGCGTTTAAAGTTGACATAGAACTGCCGCAGGCAACAGCTGGGCTGCGTCTGGTCCGAGCAGGTGTTCTGACCGTAGGTGGAGGTACTCCGTCGACTGCGGTGACCGGTGCCGCTGTTGGAGCCTATGGTGTCGTTGGCCGGGGCCAGCACGATCAGTCGTGGGTGCTGTTCCCGTGGGGACATGTCTGCCATCTGCTGGTCGCCTCGTGTCGGCATTTTAACACTGGGCATAGTTCCCTTTGGATCTGACAAAAGTATAGGGTATACCTGAGCGTTAAAATGACTTAAATACTTTATGAAAACTTGCATTTTGCTGAAGCGCATGATGTTCAGTTGTTAACTCCTATTACTCAAACATCTCTTGCTCAGTTAATAGAGCACTGGACTCAGGCAATTCGGAGGTCGCAGGTTCAAGCTCCGCTCCTGTCAATTTCTTTGTTCAATTTTAAAATAATTATCAAATAATTTTCAAGTAAAATGTGTTCACACGAAGAGTTTAGATCCCTATATAAGAGTCTATATTTTATTTTAGACAAATTCCGCACCCCTTTTTTTCAAGTGTAAGTGCTTGACATTGTTGTTTCTGTAAAATGGATACTTACGAGCAAAAAGCACGTGGATTGTGTCATCACAGGGGGTCGTTACCTCAATGCCAAGATTTGAACCTGTGTCCAAGAAAATGACAAGAAATGTATCATGGTACATGTATAAGAGCCAATGTGGTGAACTTTAAAATGATATGGCTATTTGTTGCATGCTGTGGTTGGCGTTGGTGTTGTGGAGACTTGACTTCGACTCAACTTCCCACTTCCGTGATTTGACTTTTGGGTCTACTTGAGTTCAACAGTTTATGTTATCTTGAACTTGATTTCGACTTACAACTCGGCCTGCATGTCCAAGCTTACAAAATTGACCCTTAATTAGCAATTATTTGTCAAGATTATGAAGTTAAAAATGCCATTTTTATTGGCTGGATCTCAGCTGTGCAGCAAATCGATTGGCTGTTGTAGCATTGGATAGCATAATTTATTACTATATCATTTTAATAAATTAGCATCACTAGTTCCACACTACCATGTGTTACACACCTGGTATGCTGACCCACTCTCGGACGGCTTGAGTGACGTCTATCTTGATCCAGCCCTCCGTCGTGGTATCCAGCACCGTGCTGAAGACGTGCTTCCTCCCGGGGTTGCCGTTGCTAGGAGACGGTATTAGCTGGTACACGTCGATGTGCTGCTCCTCTTCCTTCATAGCGTTGGGCAGTTGGTAGAGTCTGAGCTCCGCCTCGAATACCTCGTCCGAGTTAACGTCAGCGGTGTAGGAGCTCAGATCAAAACGGAAAAACTTGGACTGTTTGAGCTTCATTGTCTGGTAGTTGTCGATGTCTGGGTTCACTGCACGCAAACAAGAATACAAACCAATATCAGTCTTATAATATTTAATAATTAGATTCCTCAATTTTGTTAAAGGGAATATACAACATTTGCAAACATCGAAAAATAAAACTACCAAGTTTTTACGAAATACTTTACTAGGATGTTGGTAAATGACAGTCTCAAGCATCCTGTAAAATTATGGCAACTGGTGTGAAGTCATTTTCAAGAAAATAGTATTTTTGTAGACATTTCCAACGGTGGTCGGCCGACCAGCGTTGGAAAAACCTAACTATTTTTCAACTACTGCTCCAAATTTAACATTTTTTCAGCCCAAATTTTGTTTGCTATTGGTTACATGTTCATGAACGGGTGCAGGCCAGCTACACTGGTTCCCTTGCCTTACAATTTTCCATCATCTATAAATTGATCCATTTTATCTTCTGTGGAGTCAGGGAACCAGACTACTTGAACATTTTTGTTTTTCTTGGTTTTTCCAACCTTTTCGAACACAAAACTTCAAAAATGTCAGTGTAACAATATTTGATCTATTATACTAACCCCTCAAATAGTTCATTTCTGAAAATTACAGCAAAAGCCAATGATGTACATTCCCTTTAACTAAAGGAAAAAAGCAAAGAGGATTTATCAGGCCGGTCAATTTCGTATTCAGGAAAATCGAGTACAACATAATTGCAGTATTTTTTCCGGCTTAGGAATTATGAACGGAAAAAATACTGTTTTTAATATAATTTCTTTAACAAACAGTGGAATTTGAGAAATCCTTTCCTGTTTTCTGTATAGAAATTTAAATGAGCATTGATATTTTTGATCATTTTAATCCCACTCGCTGTACAGAATGCAGTAGGCCTACATTGATGTAGGCCTATGCAGCTAAATATATTTTGAGATTTCGTGCAGACCAGCCTTTGTGGGGTTTTTTTTTTGGGGGGGGGGGTGAGGTGGGGTGATGAATTGGGGATTTTGAATGAATACAACTGTTTTTGCACAAGTTGCCCATTGCAACACAGTAGAATGAGACGTTATGTTTTCCCTTCTATCCACATTTACAGTTGTCTTATGAAAATGACGGTAACACAGCGCTGCAATGAGTATCAACCCTGAGTGCAGTGATGTGAAAAAGTAAAATCTGCTATATACCAGCGTGCACAAGATGATTTTATTTAGAAAACTAAAACTGCATTCACCCCATATCGAGAGTTGAATTTCTAGGCATAAGGTCTTCCAAGAGAGCCTTACGAATGGAAGCCGTGCACCTAGATACGCAACTCCGTGTAGGGACATAAGAAATGTCAGCATTCCGCCCAGTCTATTTTCAGAGGCCTCTCATACCACAGACCTAGGCTGTTCTGTCAGTCGTTGTCCTCTCAGTGATGGTGCGACTTAGTTCGCCCACTCGGAAATACCTTCCCGGCCCCCATAAAACCTTCAGTCCATGTCTTAAACAACTGCATGAAAGGGTATTCCACGGAGAAAGGACACTGTGCCTGATTAAATAGCCGTGTCGACACGATTGCGACTTTCTTCGCCCGTGTCTCAAGTTCATCCTTGCTGCAGGCTATGCTCAAAATTCTAAGTAATGGCGCCGCCTTTCTAGCCCCTCCGGTATTTTCTTCGAATATCTGTTCTTTTAAAAACAATGTTCTACCTCGTAAAATTAATATATGACGCGTTCATCGTAACAATATTTGTTTAACCTTAATAATATCCGATTGGGTTAAAAGTTATGACGAAGAAAATTAGCGGACTATGCGCCTATTACAATGGCGTTAATGATGACGTAATTGGTCTCAAGCTATATGACCTCACCGTGAATATTTTAATATGGCAGTTTTGGGGGCTTCATTGTCTTTTACAGGATAGGCTTTGGCCTGTTGGGGCAGCCGCATGAGCACTTCTCTAGGCCTACAGAAAACTCGCATCTTTTCAAGATTTTCCAATACAATTAGAAGTTAAAAGTAAATTTAAGGAAGTACTTATAAGACTAATTTCCAAAATAGTTGTGTGCAACGTGCACATAATGTTGTCCTAACCTACTCCCTGTACCTCTTAATAGACGAACATGGATATCCTCATTACACTGTGTATAATGTAAGGAGACTAAGTGCAATTATTATATAGAAATGATATCACAGACAAGATTCCAGTCATAACTCCCTAATGGCAATGCACTAAGCCGTTTCCCCAGCACCTGTAACTTCGCATAATTTATTGTATCTGTTGGTTCTTTCAGATCAATCACTAGCCACAGCAGTTTTTCCTATGATCGGCACTGATTTCATCTCCAGGCCCTATGCGAGAACCAATTGAGGCCAAGGTTAAAAAATCCCAGACAACACTCAAAATCCCATCCAGTTTCGTCGTGTACCAACAGCCGAAGATTCAATCACCGTGCCCGGGCGATATTTCGAGCTGTGTGAGTTCGTGGACGTCAATGTCGTCTTGGGTCGTCTTTAACACATGCGGGGCAAATAGCCTGTATGTGATTGGCATAATGTAGGTTGGAGACGTGACCAGTTTGACCTTGAAAATGTACCGTGCATCACATGTACATGTACACGTATAATCTCCTTAATTTGTTTGAGAGGACACCCAAAAAATAAGGAGCAAATAAAAGCTCAAGTACGGGTTGATTTTCGGAATAATATGTGAAAATATGAACTTAAACAAAAACATGTAAATAACTCCATTAAGATGGTGGGATTCATTTTTGGAGTGGAGGAATTGTGTATACGATTTTGGATGGAATTTCCTTACCACAATTATCTCCCTCCAAGAAAAATTACCTTTATAGTATAATACAATCTATACCGTCTGATATATCAACTCTGTGTTTTCATGATATTTGGAAAACTAATACTTTGCCAAAACCCCTGCCACCACTGCCGATGCCCTCCAGGAAAAATAAAAGGGTACATTGATATTTTTTTTTAATATATAAATGAAAGGTCACTTTCGATACTCATAGAAAATTAACTTTTGATAATTACACAGGAACCTTTCTTTCCCCATAACACACAGAATTCCAAGGATTTCGACCTATTAATCCAACAAAAAAATGCGGTTTTCTTTATCCTCATTTTGTACAGATGAAGTGCCCTACTTTCATTTAAGACGTCTGATACCATCTTGATGACTTTCATTTTTTCTTCTCCTAAAGCCCCAAAAGGAAAAACCTATCCCACAACCTCCGTTGCACTTCGTGCCACAGGCCACAAGGCCATCAGCCGTACACCATTGATCATGTAATTTATGATTGCCCTTGCGATAAGCTTGTGTTATGATGATTACAATATCAACTGTTCACTTGTCCAAATGACCGCTGGCACGAGGCATAAAAAAGAAACATTGCATATAAAAAGAAAGTTGCCTCCACGTAAATTTACTTTTCAGGACAATTGAACAAGCTGTTGACAATTGTTGCGGTGAAAAGTCAACTTCCAAACTGCCAATTCCTGTTATTTATCCGAATATATTAAGATTAGGGATTTTTTATCCAAACTTTCTGTATTGATCTGTTTTTCAGTTCAGAATGTTTTGTGTTCACGTTATAATGTATAAACATGGTGGAATGACCTCCAAACTTTTGGTAGTCCATATTGATCCTGATGGACGTTTTGTTGAGGACGGAGACGATTCTCTATAGAATACTCGGATTTCAGCGTGAAGTACGAAAACAACATGCAGTAATTTTGGCCAATGCAGCCAATTTTAGTGGTAGACGGCGATAACACAATTTTTCCGATTGCGAAATAAAAGCCGCTGATATTGGAACAGAAACCATACAAGACATCGAAACAGTACCCTGGGAATGTGATCTCTGCCAATCTCAAACTCATTAGTCAATTACGACAGGAGCTCCTTCTGAGACCGCCTCAGGGCGACGCCAGGAACAGAGACTAACAACGCCGCAGTAGGACAACTTACAGCCAATCAATGACCTGCTCATTAACCTTGTAGTCTCTGACTCGTAACGTTTCCTATTGCCTGGCGGTTGGGGTGTTTCGTCTTGGACGTTATTCGACTTGACAACGTCATTTTGGCCGGGGTCTCCCGTTCTGGTCCCTGGAGTCCACGGACAAGACGCGCTCGCGGCAACGTGGTCTAATTTCCCCTCACTCAGAGGACTGGTGGAGTATCATGTACATTGTATTTCTTTGCGTCAGTACTCAGAACTTAACCGACCGTCACTAAATAGGTTTTTGTACTATGGTACGGGAGCGGCTTCGTTCATTCTTGTGCTTTTTGCAGACCTGCCGTGCCCAGCAGGCGGTCCTATTGTGAGGCAGGTTTACTTTGGGGATTTCTCTAAATACGAAGGTTACAACTTGCATGCTCGCTATTCGAAAGCCGCCTGTAGTAAGCCCTATGGGATGTTTTGAAACTATGTTACGCTAGATTTATCAGGTTGAACCTTACCTAACCTCATTTTCTTTGTTAAAAATGGCTGTGCCGTTTTATACTTAAGGTTATATTGAAACGGGATTCTTTATGGAAAAAACATCGATTCATTTAATAAACTCAGTAGGTCGTCAATATCTTTACTATATTTATGCCATTCACCGGTCTACTTATTGGTCGTTAAACCTCGACCATATTTTTGATGGTAAAAGTGCACAGTGCAGATAATTTTCATTAACTGATTAATATAGTGTGCATGAATACCGGGCTATCTTTCGTGTCTGGCATGCCCGACCCGCTACTCTTGTTAAGGAAACCACGGTGTTCCTCAGCGTGAGATAGGGCTGCCGTGTTTATTTTGATTTTCGGTTGGCGTGATTGAGTCATCCGGATTTTAGTTTCAATGCTGGCGAACTTTGCGATATAAACACCGTACGGCAAACTGTAAACAATGCCAGACTGCGTCAATGTCATACGTGATTTACAGTGGCAATCATAAAATTCGTACCATGGACAGATGTAGTTGCGGACAGTCAAACCATTTTTTTTTTAATCTCCAAAAAATGAACACGCTACATGGGCATTAAACTTCAGTATGGTCACAATTGTAGAAACATTTGCATTTTGTTTTGAGAAGAAAAAAAAGACTTTGAATAAAAGGAAAATTTTTTTTTGCAGGGATACATGCCATGACCGAATGTTCACTGTACTAAATGGCACATTGCATATTACACCGTCATAGATATCACATCTTGATTATCTATACTGCGCGATAAGCCTAGCTGCAGCGGCAGCTACTGGCGGCGTAGTTTACGCAACTGTATAATATTTATATAATTTGATTGATAGTAGCCTACTTAGTAGATAGAAATGATAATGAATTGGATTTACTATATAAAACTTTACCAGTTCTTCACGAATATCAAAATCATCGAAGACGAAAACCAACCATTGAACTAGGATAACTATCTTTTCGAATGCTGGTGTTTTAAAAACCGGCCTAACCCCCTAGAGTGTGTGGAAAATCATATTAAAATGGGAGGATTCGGGACTAGGGTTGAAATCTTACCTTTCTTGTCCAACGGGTAAACCTTGGGCACCTTAGCGAAGTACTCCTCCGATTGAGCTTGCTGGCAGACCGACTCCATCATCTCTCTCCGCTCCTCAAGGATCCTGACCGTCTCGTTGTACATGGCTATAACATCCTCTGGCACCTCCTCCGGCCCAATGTCCGTGGGAGGCGCCGTCAGGCCCAGCTTGCTCAAGATCTGAGCCTGGATGGCCGAGCGACGGCGATTCTGATACTCCTGGAAGTTGAGCTTACACTGGCCCGAGCCACCGGTAGCTGCCTGGAGCAGCGCCCACAGCGCCAGGCACATCACGGTGAGATGCAGGGACGTCATCCGTGGTGGGACCAACGTGCCCATCTTCTGCCAGCGGCAGGTCAGCGGCCGACGTACAATAATATCCCTGACTGCCCGCCTTCTTGTTGTCGGTAACCAAATGGTGCAGCCAGTTCCTATCACCACCATGTGATTATCTGTCGGAAAGGGAAAACCAGCCCGCCGAACAAACCACAGATTTTCCTGAGTAAAATTATGTATCGCTGCAAAGACCTTTGTATGCGTGTCTGCAGTTCACTCACACACGCATTGATACTGCACTGGTACTACACACAACACACGCCGCTGAACGATACCGTGCAAATTGGCTGTTTCATTTTTCTCTTGGTGTACCTCACGTTGACTTGGTTCAGTCAATAGTATCTACACATTCTCCATACCGTCACCTTATATAGGGGTACATCACCGACAGCGGTAGTCCCAATGCGACGCGTGCACGGCTGACTCTCGATCACGGACGTCCGGGATTGGTCCATCAACTCGGTGATACTAACCTTTATCCAACCGATAAGGGAACAAGTTTACCAAAACAGTTGTGTTGTGAGACGCAACACACACGCAGTGTTTTGGTGTATGACGAAGATGTCAAGCTATTTCTGGCCCGCACCAGTCTAGACAATACCACCTCTCGACAATCTATTAACGGAAAAGTGGATGGATGGGACGGGATGATGTGGGGGCGTAAGGGTTTATCCGGTGTGGCTTATCATAGAACCGTACATGATGCGCAAATATAGAGCTCATTACTTCATGACAAAATGAAGCATTGATAAGAGATGGCAATTGGCGTTATGCTGCCAGAATGCGTGTTCGGGAATTGCTGTCGCCGATAAATTATGATGATGGTGACATAATGGCAAGGACGACAATGACAAAGATGATTATTCATTCGCTTCTTTTGGTTCTTTTAGTTTTTTGTTGTTGTTGTAAATAAAAGGATGACTGTTTTGGTGTAGTTAAAAAGTTTCAGTGGACACGAACTGGGTATTCGAAGTACTGAAGGACCAGTTTGCCGTATCGCTTCCTTTTAATGGGACACTATACACTCACCTAGTTGCGAAATTGAGCTTCATACTGTACCCTGTACAGTGGTCCCACAGATAAAACTCTTAACTCTCTTAATCAGCTTACGTTGATTCTCTCATTCGCTATTCATACAACAGATAGGTCTACTTTAAACCCTGTGGGCTGTGGTCTGGATTAAGAGTTGTTAGCGGACTGCCACTGTCAGGTTGTCCTTGAATTATGGAGCACTTTGAATGAGAGGACAATTCCATCCCCAAACTCCATCACGGGTCAAAGTATTTCGGAAGTGGTCATTCCTCACAAGGACTATATTAAAGCTTTGATGGGAACAATTAGCCGAAGTGAGTGACCGTAACAATCGGAACTTATATGTCTATCAACAATTGGAACTTATCCAATCTGTAAGATGACCCCCCCCCCCTCCCACTCATCGGCCCATGGCAGTAGGCTCCTCCGTCTACTAGAATGTCCTCTGATTAAAAAAGAAAATGCCCCCTGGATTTCCAAAGTGGCTGGAATACGTGTCCTTAAATCGTCTCGGGTTGTCCCAAGACATGAACGTTACCGCTTTGCCGTGTGGAATCGCAGATGCTTTCAGACTGGTAGAGACAATCGGTTCTGTTTGCGATAGTTGTGTCGTAGAAACAACTACACTGGTTATCGAGTGCCTAATTCTAATTGAGTGACGAATGTTTACCACTTATTGTCAAGTGCACTGTGAATCTTGGTGCGCGTTACAGGCAGTAAGAAATTGTTACCTGGGACGGAAGTTGGAGACTTCGTATATTGGGGATTGTTTTCACGCGAGTCCCTCGAAATTCGGGCAGGTTGTTGTGGGTAGCCTAAACAGCATTCTTGGGTGCTGAAATAAGTTCTATTTTTAGAGTTAGTTTGTTGAGATAGATCGGTGGTCTTTTGGTGAAAACATGACTGAGACTGAGATTAAAGTGAACTTTAGCTCCCATTTCGTCTGAGGGGGACTTTCAAGCGTAAAAAAAAGTGTTCATTTTGTAGCTTTTTAATACATAATTGGTTGAAAGAGGAAACGCCGAAGTTGTACGCTTCGAAACAAAAGTTGTTCAAAGAGGGCGCTATACCCAGAAACATGTAGAGGAAAGTTGCTCTGTGTTATGTCATTGTCCCGGGCGGCAAGGACTAATATAGCCTATACTTACTTCCTTTGGACGGTTGTACATATCAAGGGAACAATTTTGGGATGATTGGGCCAAGTTCAAGAAAATCTTCCTCCAATTAAAATTGTTTTCCCGCGTGCAATTTTAAAGTTTCACCCTGAAAATAGATTTTGTTTTTGAATTGCTATTTTGTCTTGCAATTCAAAAGATATTCACTTTTGAATGAGACATCGACAAGGCACGTTTAGTGTTATGGAATATTGACTAAATTCCGAGTTATTTGTGCTACGACAATAATTCAAGCGTGTCTTTTATGGTAGTAAAAAGCAGCCCAAAATAAGGGGGTATTTTCTGAGTTGTAAATCGAGTCTATCAAAAGTTAATCATTAAATGGTCACAAGTCAAATCACAAGTCTGTCACAAGACTGTCACAAGTCTGTGCCAAGTCAATCACAAGTCGGTCACAAGACAGTCACAAGTCTGTAACAAGTCAAATCACAAGTCTGTCACAAGACTGTCACAAGTGTCAAATCACAAGGCTGTCACAAGTCAAATCACTTTTTTTTTCAAAGCTACGTTTCGCCCGAGGAACACACAAATCACGCGTGGTTCAATATAAATGTAATGTGCCTACACATTATCGTCAATGATTTTAGCAACAATTTTACTGAGAAAACCTCAGGAAACCTAGACCGAGTCTTTGTTTCCTTTGGTTCATGAAGCTACATGCATGTACATGGTTTTAAACCGAGGGAATTTTCTGGGAACTTGTGTTTGGCTCCCAAAGTCATGGGGACTTACAGGCGCGTTGGCTTCCTGGCCGTGGGAGGTGAGTCGACCATGATATCTGTCATGCCTTCGGCCTGAAATGACGTATTTCTCATTGAGGTATTCCCCCGTCTGATAATCCTGACTCATCACCTGGCCGTCTATACACCGCCTCGCCGACCACACGGGTGCAGGTTGCTTTACCCGGCGGCGAGAGTAGTGGATTATGGAGTTGGCCCTTCTCCAAACATTCTCATTTCACCCCCACGCACACGTCCAACCCTATAGGATCTAGCCGTGTAATTCTGGGGAGATTTGCGTGAATCACATCTGACTTTCAACTGCATTGTCGTGTAGTCCTACCATGGCTCAAAGTCCATAACCACAGACAACTGAAACCTTTAATTCAAAACGAGGAGAATCTAGGCCCACTCATGCAATAATATTGAGGACTTCACATTTTCAATGAAAAGGGAACTCCTACATATTGTTTGCTTCCGATCAACAAAAGCTGTCTCTTCACTCGCTGACTCACGGCTGCGGTGTTATGATTATTTTGTCCCCCAGATTGGTTGCGGTGCTGTCACGATGACACAACTTGAGATTGAGAATGAGGAAGGTTCAACAGTCTTCCATAAATTTGATAAAGTGAAAGTTGTTGGGGAAAAAAGACCCACCCCGGAATAATAAATAAATATAGGAAACCATTCTGAATGTCAGGCCTATATCATCCAAGTTTGGGAAAGTTTTTTTTATGTATGGGACGTCACTTCCCCTCTCCTTCTCTGACGTTCTTTGTCGACATGGTGAGCTTAATTTTGTTTTAATGTTTTTGCTTTTCTTGTTTTTTTAAGAGAAAGATTATTAAAGGTGAAATGTGAAAAGATGCATCGATAATATTTTTTTCTCTGCTCTATTCCGTTCTGAAGTTTTGTTGATGGTATTTCTTTCAATTTAATATGTAATTCTACAGAGTGAAGTAAGAGCGATGTTTTCCCCCAAATATTTAAGACGTCTTCCCCGACACATAATTAATGAGAGGAAAAGCCTCCCAATTTAAGGGAAAACACCCTCACGAGTAAAATATTTCGTTAATTGGCAAAGAATAATGGGTCGTGAAACTTACGGGCACCGACCCTACATCGAAATGGCCGGAACCGTATTTACGCGGTCAAAACACCTACTGTTACATTGAGCCCGTTTCAATTGTTCTCATTGTTATAACACCTACAACCATTTGTCATTCTGGTTTTGTCCCTTTATTCTCATCGCAATTTTGTCTGACACTTCAAAAAAAGTCCATTATTCTGACAGAAAACAGCACACAGGTTGGTCGGCGTCTGCGGTGCCTTATTACTTTTCGCAGAGCCACCGAAATATGTTGTCATTGTCCACTTGTCAATAACAGGTTTTTCACTTTGTGAGAATTAAAGCTTTGACATATTATTTATTGCATATTAGGCACTGCGTACAGAAATTGTGTCCATTCTGGTTTTGTGTTTGTTTGTTTGCAAGCAGATTCAACTGATCCGTCTCTGTCCTCCCACAACATTTGATATTTGATTAAAATAAGTGACCTTTAGTACCCTGTTCACAAAGTTTTATTGATGTGTATTCATTGATTGTGACACATTCTTTTGTGTGTGCGAAATGAAATCATTAATCGCGAAATTAATGCACCCACTGTAGAATAATTACCTGCCGTTTCTATTCGTCGAAATAGAGATTTTGTCATGAAATCAATAATGAGCATTAATTTTCCTCCAAAAGTGGAACTCGTGATGAAACAGGTTTCTTCTTATGTTGTTGTTGGTAGGAATAAAGGTTGAGACTGACCAAGTAAATGCGCTTTGTTTTATTCTGAATAATTTTCCTGACTATTAAAACTCGAGGGAACCAATATTGACATTGAAAAGCAGCATTTCCCTCAACCAAAACGCAGAGCTATCCCACCCAAAATATAAGCAAGTAATGATGTTGGTGGCTTATCCAGGATTTTGCTCTGAGTAGGGCTGCAGAATTGATATTTGAAAAATGTATGCAAGGTGGGTTGGATGCAGTGTTTTAGCCGGGTGATGATAACGCTTTCTTGAAATAATACCAACAAAATGCACCGCCGTAAACGTCACTGTCACCGTGGTCTAATGGTTACGGTGTTCGAGTATGTGCGGAGGTACGTGGGTTCGTACCCTGCATGACGGGGAACATGATGTTTGTGTTCTTGGGCAATACACTTTACTACACTTGCTTCTCTCCATCCAGGAGTATAAATGGGTACCTGTTAAGGTAGAGACCGGATTACATTGATCTCGAGCTGCTGCAGACAAAAACACATTAACGGTCTTTAGTGCCTGACGAACAGGTGTCATTCTATTGTGAAGCACTTTTAGACCTTTGGTATAAAGCGCTATCAGCACAACATTATTATTAAGCTACTGCATCATGAAACCACAAGCTTGATTAAAACGCGGGCGTCAGAGCATAGTATTCTTTGTCTGGAAAATGTCTGGGTAGGCATATATAGGTTGAAAGCCCTTCAGGGTATTTACGGAAAACTTCATCACTGTCAGTAAATTGTGAATAAGCCAGATTACCCTGTCAAAACATCTCGTTTGATGATTCATCTATCATCTGTGCTCATTTGTTCTTTTGTTGTCACTGTGACGCTAAAGACTGAACTCGTATATGCAAAGGAAGAGATCAGGTCACTCGATCAATGACCCAAGAGTTGGAGAAGAAAGACATCGGGATTTATGCCGTGTATAAAACTTCATGGAAAGTCGAGGAAGTATGCGAAGCACGCAGAGTGTAATCGTAGAATGGCAGATATAAGTGGAAAGCATTGCTTACCGGGTTGGCCAGCCCCTGAAGGACGGATGTCCGAAAATTTGAGCATTACCGGTACTTTATCCGGTAAGTTCTTTACTACATTTATCTATCATTCTACTTATACAGTTCGGCTGCTTAGAGACACTTTGTCGAAAGTTGATCCTGTCCTGTATGTCTGTTTTTCTGAGAGACTACACAATACGCTCGGTTTTTATTCAAAATAAAAGTCATTCAGTCATCTATTGTCAGAATTCACCCGACAAACCTAATTTTAGAATGATTACGTGCCACTATTATGTTGTAAAGATATCTGCCGTTTCGAAGGAGTGTAGTCTGTGAATTGTGCATACTATTGCCAGCCAGTTGGCAAGAGAAGCAATATTACGTTCTGACTTAAATTTCCTGGGGCGAGTTAAATTTAGGTTTGACATTAATTCAATCTTATCAATTAATCTTTTGGATCATTCGGGTTTCTCTTAACCATTAACAATTTTTCGAAGGTCATGCACCGTGTGTGATATTTGACATGACATTATTATGGGGCATTCAGCATTCCATTTATAGAATTCATAGAGAACTAAACGCAATCAGTTAACTCTCGACAGGTGAAAGAAATTCGAAATCAACGTCAACGCTTACCACAAAAACGTAGCCAGAATCCCGGGTTCTGCTGTCTTTGTTGTGACTTCTTAATTCCCCTTTTACAAACTGATCGCCTTTTAAATTCCCGTTACTGTACTTGGCGGATTATCGTTGCGGGTAACCAAACTATCGATATCGGAAGTCATTTATAACATGTCTAACGCTCCATGGTAAGCCACAACCCTCCCATCAAGCTGTTCATGAAGTGAAAAGCCAGGTAAACATATCAACCAACCGCAGGATATTACCGTACGTACCAGTCACCTGTCAACCCGTTATTTTGATGGAATTGTATCACCACCTGGGTGGTGCAAATCTTGTTTAAAATTCTCGCTTTACCGTGTGGTTCAGTGACGGTTCTACCGGGGGGGGGGGATTCAGCCCCCCCCCCCCAAATGTTGTCTAGCCCCCCCCCCAAAAAAAGATTCCATTTCAGCACTCCTCCCTGAAAAAAATTCTGGATCCACCTTGCTAGCCCCCCCCCAAAAAAATATTGGTTCTTGTGACGGTATAACTTCATGGGGGGATGCGGCGAAACCAAAGTACGGATCTTTCAAAAGAGGTAAGTGGCTCAAATAGGTCTGATTTGTAGGGGACCCGTGGGATTTTCTGGACGGGGCGCGCACTGAGTCAATCGGTTGGGTGATGGTTTCATTCATCTCTCCCTGGTTTCAAGAACGAGCCGTTCGAGCGGGGGATAGGCCGACACGGGGGAGGAGGGGTGGGGGAGGGGAGGGGCTAGGGGTTATTAGTGAGGGAAACTAGACTCAGGGAGGGGGTGTTAGCCACATGCCCCCTCAGTTGCTGAACCTGCATGCCGATTATCGGCTGTCTCTTTCAGAGGCGCAACGTCCGAGGACATTAATTTCGCGGGGAATTACGGGGTCTCAACTCCAATTTTGTCTTCACAATGGATGCGAACACCACGACCGGCATGCATGCATTAATGATACCCAATTCCCGTCAATGGCAGATCTAGGATTTTCCAAGGGGGGGGGGGGTTATACCTGGTGTGGTCCAAGATTTTTCAAGGATGGGGGTACTGCATGGGTGAAACAAAGGCCCTTCACTACAGTGTTTGCATTAATGACCAATGATCAGTTAATCAAGAATATCGAGTGATGACGTAATTCAGTGAAATTGGGATTTTGTCCATTATGCATGCACCCCCCCCCCCTGGATCTCCAGTCCCTTGGCCGTACAGGCTCTTAACATGCACTCGCGATGCTTTCCAACCGAAAATCGAACTCACTGCATCATAAAACTTCTATAGCTGACACAGGACGGAGATAGCGATACAAACTCAAGTGCTGTGCTTGGTTTTGATCAGGTCACCAGGTGACAACCACCACGGCGACAAACACCTGTAACACAGGAAGAGCAAATACATACTTTCATTCTAAATCATCCTTGTTGACATTTTTCCGGCCTGTCCCCTTTTGCTCCGGTATCGGGAGTGCAAACAACCTGGCGTAAACTTCCGGTGGAGAGAACTCCGGTTGGCTTGATGAGGGATCCCACAGCGCAGTTGTGCGGTGACTCATCCGGCGGTATTCCCCGGTACATGTACACAGCGTGGGCGTCGTGAATCAAATCAGCCGTGGCAACAGTTTCAGACAGCTAGGTCCTGGACACCTCTGAAGCTGTGAAGTTTGTCTCGCCTCAATCTTGGCAAAATTCACTCGCACACACGCAGTGGCGGCGCCAGACTCCAGCATTTTTGGGGGCAATTGGGGGGCAAGAAAATAATGGGGGCCGGGGGGGGGGGGGGGCAGTCAAACAAAATCTCAAGCCTGTGTACGCGCGCGCGTGCATTGTCAATGGTCCGGAAATATGCCACTAGAGCAACTTAGAGGTGTAGTTGTTTTTATGAATGAGAAATGTATCAAACCGCAGAATGGTGTATAACTATAACAAGTACAAAGACGTTGGCTAGCTGCACGCTATCTACGGCTGTATAAATGCATGTGTGGCGTGTTTTGTCTGAAGTACCAATGTTTTAATGCTTTAATTGGCCCCGAATTTTATGAATCTTAACAGTGAAGAAAATAACATAATTAATCTACTTGTAGATAAAGTGTTCGGGGAAAACTGGGGGGGGGGGGGGGGGGGGGGATGCCCCATGCCTCCCCCCTCCCCGTAGCGCCGCCACTGCACACAGGCTGTATTCAATATTTGCAAATTATATGATTTACGCACACCTACAGGAAAAAAGTGGTGGGCGGCCGTGTTAGTCTTTCAATCCATATAGTGAGTCAAAGTGCTACCTCACTTGTTTATTTGATTCTACAGGGGGAAAACAATGTAAAGGGTTGGGAATTGTAGAGAAGGTTGCCCACTGGAAAATAACAGAAAGTATGATATGCTACTATGATTTGCTGTGAAATACGACCTAATAAACCGTTAAGAAAAATAACTTATATTGCACCAAATCCCGGCACGTAGACTTTTAATAGCTCACACATGTTATTTACTTGATGGAGAGAGGTGCGCAAAATACATCCAGCGTGGTGCTATAATCGGGTAAAAATTAAGAAAACAAAACGATTGCGCCACCACACTGATGATTCCCCCCGGTGGTAGTGGGCTAGTCTATGTTTGGTGAAAGCCATGTGACTTGGCTCCGTGGATATAGCGGGTGATACTCAGCAGTGGCCTTGTTGTAAATGGCAGGAGGCTTTGCATACATAGTGGAGTACATCTTAGGAAAAGTTCTATCTGATCAGTGCAGATATACTCTCAAGGTCTAGTCTGCCATGTCTGATGATGGTTAGAACATACTAACTGAAACGTCGAGTTCAACACTAGTCTAGTTCTTTTCACTTTCAGAACCATTTGTCATTACAGACATGTTTAATTTTAATATACTGTCTCCTACCCAATCAGTCTGCCCTCCCCAAAAAGCGGCAAAATACTTCATTCCGACACGATCTCGGATGATAATATAGGGCCTGGGCAGTAGTACGGGTACGAGCGAAAAGTCGACTTGAACCTATACTTTCACAAGAGGGCGTTTTCCTAACGTGATCTCGTCAATTGAGGGCGCCTTACTATTAGCAAGTTGCTGGCAAAATCTACGTGTACTGTTCGTGTAGGACGTCGACAAAAACGAACATGATTTTACCCTGTTTTTAACCCACTGTCCTGGTGCTGCGAAAGTAAATTGAATTCTCTGGTAAAGCCAAGGTATAAATTTTGTCTTTCTAGCTGCCTTTACATTTACTTCCAGAACTGTGTAAGGTTTGTAAAACCATGGTAAAACAATGGATATTTGATCGCAGTGGCTATTGTTACGGCAGCCGTAACGCATTTCCCATTTTCTATCGTTACGGTAGACTGCAACCTGGCAACTTTTATAAAAAAACATGACAAGAAAATATAAAATTAGAAGGAAAAAAGTGAATTTGAACTTTATGAAATTCGGACTTTATTTCCCTTTTAAAAAAAATCCTCCAAAGCCTCAGGTTAGAAAAGGAAAAAAATTCGAGTGCAAAACTGAGATCCGAACCCGCAACCTCGCGGTGCAAAATCCTACCCTCTATCGGCTGAGCTGGCGCACTGCTCGATAAAACGTGTGGAAACAAATAATTATATACCTGCGTGCGTACCAAAAAAATATCGTAGAGGGCGCTAAACAACGAGTGCCGTAACGATAGCCACTTCGATATTTGATAGCTGGAGTTACCCAGCCCTGAGTTTTATCATTGGGTTGTCTATTAGGGCTGGAGCGCATTTTTCTCGTAACTTGTAGTATTTGCAAAAAAAATTTGGAAAATGTTCAATTTTGTCCCCGTTACACACTAACTGCAACTGCAACTCACCCCAAACTTGCCTGGAATAACCATTACACAGGTCCTTGAAGTAAAAAACGATCCACGATGAAGATTCAGCCTACAATTGCAGTGAAAACAGGAGGAATAACCGCTAACCTGACAACCTTTCAGGCATGGCCAGGACTGCTATTGGTTTGTGCACAAAAAAAATTGTGTACAATGAATGGCGGTCGATTAACAGGCAGAGAGAGCGATCGCTGTCAACTACTCGTTTTTTCCGGCTGCGCTGGCGTTGGCGCGTGACGTCACGCGGAAGCGTAACACCCGACGACTGTTTCATGCACTAGTATAAGGTTTACCACTCGCATCACAGCTTTGGTACTGGAACCGCAACCAATAGTGCATGAAACAGTCATCGGGTGTTACGCTTCCGCGTGACGTCACGCGCCAACGCCAGCGCAGCCGGAAAAAACGAGTAGTTGACAGCGATCGCTCTCTCTGCCTGTTAATCGACCGCCATTCATTGTACACAATTTTTTTTGTGCACAAACCAATAGCAGTCCTGGCCATGCCTGAAAGGTTGTCAGGTTAGCGGTTATTCCTCCTGTTTTCACTGCAATTGTAGGCTGAATCTTCATCGTGGATCGTTTTTTACTTCAAGGACCTGTGTAATGGTTATTCCAGGCAAGTTTGGGGTGAGTTGCAGTTGCAGTTAGTGTGTAACGGGGACAAAATTGAACATTTTCCAAATTTTTTTTGCAAATACTACAAGTTACGAGAAAAATGCGCTCCAGCCCTAATAGACAACCCAATGATAAAACTCAGGGCTGGGTAACTCCAGCTAGATATTTGACCATGATGAACCGGCATGACCGGTCCCCGGCCCCGATCATGTTTTGAACACGCGCAGTGAGTGTTTTTTTGGCAGTGGATATTTTGCCGGAGACGGCAAACCTCTTGTAAACGTTAGCTTGCCGGATATGCAAGAAGAATATTCTTATTTTTTGGGGATGGGAAAAAAACCTTAGAAATGTCGCCAGGGGGGATCGGAATCAAACCCGGGTCATTCCGCTCATGAGAGCCGTTGCTTATCCACTAGACTTATCTGTTGATATGGATTGCCGCCGGCAAACCTTTAGTAAATGTTAGCTTGCCGGCATTACCTCCGGCAATATATCCACTATCTATTTTTTTTTTGACAGTGGATATATTGCCGGTGGCAATCCCTATCAACAGAGGGCGCTGTACTCTCTAAGATAGGGCTGAACTATAAGATAAGCCTATATTAAATTACCACCAACGGTTGTGTAGCACCTGTGGCCTAGTGGATAAGCAATGGATCTCATGAGCGGAAAGATCCCAGTTCAATCCCCGCTGGCGAAATTTTTAATGTTTTTTTCCCCCATCCCCCAAAATAAGAATATTCTTCTTTTATTATTTTAACATGTCTCAAAACATTTTAGTGCAGAGTATTATATTTTTTTTTCGGATTTGTGGCTCTGGAGGATTTTTTTTAAAGGGAAATAAAGTCCGAAATTGTAAAATGGTCTGATTCCCATCTTGTGAATGCAAATTTTACAACGATAATGTTGGCATGGAGCCAGACTAAAATTTGTCACCAGAAAATGTCTAAGTACAAAAAACAGTAACTGCGCATGTTCAGTGCATATCCGGCAAGCTAATGTTTACTAAAGGTTTGCCGTCTCCGGCTTAATATCCACTGCCTTTTATTTTTTACTTAAAAAAGTTTAATCAACTTTTCCCCACAAATAGCATGTGACAGCTGTGTGGCTCACGGTACGTTGGAAGTCCAGTATTTGAGCCACACTTATGGGGCTACAGGAAAGAATGTTGCAACCTGACGCCACTTTTTTCTTCATATATCATCTCAATAATAAAGGTCACTCGTTGCAAAAAAAAATGTTGTAAAGACATGAATCTGGGACTGAGAAACATTTCCAATGTTGTTAGGGAAAATAGTTTGAAATTGCACTTGACTCTCCATCTAGACTTTGTACACAACCAAAGAAGTGGTGTCTGCATACTATAAAAATGTACATTCTTTCCAGAAGAAGAAATATTCGGAAAGAATGTTGCAACATGACGCTACTTTTTTCTTCATCTATCATTTCAAAGACTCAATAAAGGTCAGTCATTGCAAAAATGTCGACAAAACATCGGGGACTGAGAAACGTTTCAAATTTTGTTAGGAAATACTTTTCTTGACTCTCCATCTACACTTTGTACACAACCGCTGAAGTCACGGAACTGGCGTCAGGATACTACATTCTTCCCAAATATTCTACAATTAAATTTAGGATTTGATTTAAAAGATAAAAGAAGACAATTCCTACTTTTTGGGACAAAAAATGCTATAATCCACTTGGTGGAAACAATGGCACGCCATAGCAAATAGAAGAACTTCAGCACACACACACACACTCACGTGTGTAAATGCCGGCAATCGTGGACGCCCCATTGTCCCTAATCCTCTTTCCTTTGTTTGTACTTTTTAGCGACAGCTCTCATTGGTTTTGTACACGATTTGAGATCGTGGACGTTCGGTCAATCATGACGTATTGTTTGCGCCCCAATTCTTTTGTCCTACATTCACGATTGCCGGTGTTTACACACTCCCACACACACACATACTTGTTTCACATGACTAGTGTGGACTTTCCATTGCTTTCGTGTAGTTAAGAAAAACCAGTGAAAAAACTCATTTTTCTCAAACTGTGAAAACTCTTTCAACCCAATTTTTTTTCTATGATTCCCTTTAGTGTTTCTCTTCATTCTGCTACAGATAAACCTAACCCAAAAATGCCTCTAAACCTGTTTTCCAGAAATGGGGAAACACTGTGTGGACGTGGGGTAAGTCCACACAACGTCGGTGCTACCTACATTATGTGGACGTCTTTTGTTCGGAAGTCCACACTGCGTATGTAAGACAAACTCACACAGTCGTGTTTTACTATACTCTCGAGGACAATGCTTTGTCTTTTCCTTTGTCCCTGTAATATAACACTCTCCCATAGACTAAGCACACAAACGCACGACCGAGGACCGATTTCAACAAAAGATGAAATCTCGAGGACAACAAAGAATCTGTTGTTCTCCCTTTGTCTGTCTGTCCTCGGGGTGCATATAGTTCACGTACACAGAGGTCAAAATGGTGTTAAGTTTTGTTTTCACCCACGGCTAGGTCGTTGTCACGGTCACTGACCTCCAGTGACATCATGCCGGATCCGAGAATGGGAATATCAACCTGCAGTTTCAAATACCTTTAAACCGTGTCATACAAAAGATTTCATGAGTGTTATATAATCTGAGTATTTTTTTTTTTTTTTTTTTTACAATTGTATCATTTCATATTGTTATTTCCTTTTTGTTTGCTGATATTTTTCAGAGTTGATGAGGTTTCAGGGTCCCTCAAGAATGTCAGCAACAGCGATGATTTGGCCCAGGGTAGAGCTCCTGACCCTGTCCATGTTACTATCTCTTCAGATCACACACTCAGACTTCCTCAACAGCAACTCTCTCTTCAAGCTGAACTGGGCAGGAAGTATACAGGTATTTGTAACAGCAAATGTTCAGCTTTAATGAACTCAACTATGTTCCATTCTAACCCCCCATATCCAAAATCCAACGTCTTGTATAGCAGTTTATGATGGATTTGGGACTGCACAACCTATAGCAAGTAATGTTATAGACCCATTTGTCTCAGTTTCATTAAAGTAACTTGACCTACCTAACTCCACCTTCCTCTTTTGGAGGTCAAAATCCCACTTTTTATTTTCACATTTGGCCAAAAATTCAAATTAATAGTATTTAAGGATAAAAAGGTTGACAGACAAACATACAAAAAGTTACAATTATTTTTTTATTTACCTACTTGGATAACTTTGGGTGTTACCGTCAACACACGATTTTGTTCGGCCTAAAGTGCAAAGAGTGTGACAGTTTTGTGTCTTTGGTCTACTGCAAGGCTTCAGATTTTTGCCGATGCAGGAAGCTGCCACAGAGTAAAAACGCCCGGAGAATAGGGTTAATGACCATATTAAATATTTGACCTTGCAAGTTACTCTGCTTATGAAGACTATGGTGTCCCTCAATAGACAGCCAAGCACATTGGCTCAAACATCATAGGCTGATACCCAATTATTTTAATTCTGTTTAATTAACCCTTACCCCATAGGCATTTTTGCTAAGATGCAACCTCAGTTCTGCACAGTCCTCCAACTGCCTCCGTATATAAATTGCATACAGCCTCAGTCCTGCAATATCCTCCGTTATTTCTTGAATGTCATCCGTGGAGGGGTGACTGCTGCCTCAATCCTGCAAAATCCTCCAGCAATCACTGTCAATATGTTGAGGCAGAGCCAGTGACATCCTGGAGCAGTGCGGAGCATTCCAAGTATAATATAGGCCTAAATCTGTGCTCGGCTAAGCATAAACAACACAAGGTCCGGCCTAAGACCTTGACACAGTGCATCCTCCGAAATCAACCACACATTTTTGCAAAATCCTCCATTTTGCAAAGAGTATTTTGGAGGATTTGGGAGGATTTGGGAAGGTTAGGGTTATAACAATTAATTCTGTGCTAAAAAAATCAGGGCTGCTTTAATGCACGCATGAAGATCAATGCAATGTCATATTTTCCTTCTTTGGCAATAGAATGATTAGGTCACAAAAGAATGTTTATGTTGTCAACGCATCGACCAATTATCTATTAGTCTCAAAGTTTTCCCCCACATCATCTCCTTGACAGGACCTCACGGGCAATTCAGACTACCTCATCATGACCACGCCCAACAACGAGAAATACCAGTGTGTCTTACCGGATGAGGAGAGCCAAAAACGACAGAATGAGGTCAACTACCCAGGCCCCTCGGCTGCTGAACTCATGCAGCCTGTCTTCACCAAAGGCATCTGCACCATCAGGGTAAATTGGATTCCAGTTGATGTTTATAAATTGACTTGTCAATTTATCTTTGTTTGATCCCAGTTCCTACTTTATGTAGGGTGATGATAGGTACTCCACGTTATCCAGTTCGTGCCGGGATTATTTTGACAAGAACGGAACTAGGCGCGGGATTACTTTTCACTCGACCTTGCCAGGCGGGTTGAAGCCATCACCCTCGGGCAGCACAATCATATTTCCGGCCTCACTCGCTGCGAGCGGGTCACTGACAGATATTTCCGGCCTTGCTCCCTGCGTGTTTATTCGTCATCCGTTCCGAATACCGCAAAACCTTTGCGGGTATACACGTCATCCGGCGCGGACTGGTTAAGTGTGATAATAATAATAGCAGAAAAATTCACGAACCATTTAATCCTTCTCCAGTCTTGTGAACCCTGCGCAGCGTTTACAAAAAAACTTTGCAACAACTCGTCAACTGCTGCCCTTTGGGCAGCAGGTACTTTCCCGCACTAGCAAGACCCTATTCATAGCAATACAACAAAAAGCCATGTGCCAGACAGTGTCCAGACAGTTGCCAGACAGTGCGCCGGAAAGATAATTGACTGGCGGCTGTGGTATGCAGTTATGAAGGGAGATGACTGTGTCAAGTTACAGGTCTTTGTTGATGTTTCAATGAGACTTGGCAGGAGGCCTGGTCGAAAGTTTGTTGACACGGCCTGGGTGTGGCCCTGGCTGCAAAGTTCATTGAACCAGCTTATTTGGCAAGGGTCGAATGAGGATTAGATGGAAGGTGACCGTCATTTGCCCTCAATATTTTTTTTTTCAAAAAATTCGGTTACCAGGGGCCCAAAGGGCAGCAGGTCACTCTGCGCAAGTTAAACAAACACATCAAATACAATAAATTGTAAACAAAATGTCTAGTTGACTCTGGAGAAAGTTGCATCTGACTGCAAAATATATCAATTAAACTTCCCTCGATGTTATAAAGTACCGAGGGAGAGAAGTTTACAGGCATAACAATGAAATAATACTGGAAGGCAGATCATGCATACAATTGTTTAAATTTAGGTTCCATTTAGAACTTTTCTTTTCATTTAAACCTCCGAATGTGTATGTTAGTCCCTAACCATATCTCTTAACCCTAACGATCCCCAACCAGCCAAACTCCAACACCAGGGTTTGTTGGAATCTGTTAGGATGAGTACTGCACTAGTAAACTGACTCTGCTTTATGTGGGATTAGGCATACCACAAATAAACAGAGTCCAACTGTTAATGTGCACAGTTTACCATATGGTGTTGGGATTTGCAAGGATGAGGAAGGTTCCTAGTAAATCACCCTAGGGAGTTAGGGTTAATCTAGCTTACATTTATTGCCATTTATTAACAATTGTTGTCCTTACAAAAAGGGCATCACAACTTTTGGCAATATCACAAATAATAATTCATTAATTAACACACTGAAACTAATCACACATTTTGTGTTTTCTTTTCCTTTGATATTACTCTATAGATTGAAACTTACTGGAATTTTGAGTTGTGCCATGGGAAGCATGTGAGACAATACCATGAGGAAAAAGAAACCGGCAAGGTAACCAATTAATTTTTGAATTTTTGAGCGTCAAAACCATTGTAGCCTTTAACAGTTTGTGTGAATTGTCACCGTTTTGTTTTGTTACTTGTTCAGGAAACCAAATTGCTGGAGTTCTACCTCGGCAAAAACATGAAGTCACCAGGAGGCAAAGAGTATGAGTTACAGACTATTAGTTCACTGAAAGGAACTTATGATGATTTTAAGGTAAGTGGTGAAATCTGATCATCGTAGAATTACCTGTTGCTAAACAGTAAACTCCGGCTAAACTGACATCGTACAACTCGTCAAATCGCTCAAGTCGGCCGTCTGACTAAAGTCCTGATTGTCCGTAATGAATTTCCATTGAATTTTGTATTTCTAGGTCGGCTTTTATAAGTCGCCATTTCGCTCAAGTCGTCGTGTTACTCTCGGTCCCCTTTCCATAAAAAGGATTACAAAATCCTTTGTGTAAGTCGGCACAAACAAATCACGCATTGGCATCGACTTCCTTTACTGCGGTTGGCAAAGTGTCGAGTGAAAAGTGGTTTCGCACGGTCCGTGATCTCTGCATGCATCAATGTCGAAAAAGGGTGTCCTACTGCATACATCGCATACGCATCGTGAGCATATCAATACCAGTACCCCCTCTCGGCTGTACGCATGCGCTCTGTCCATTTTGGGGGTCGTCTTATTGAATGACTACTGCTGCAGTCAATGCGTGCATGGTATATACCGGACCACGCACGCATTTAATTCATTACTAGCACGTACATATGTATCGTGGTCCCCACTATCAATACCCCAAACCTGATGATACAATTCAAGGATTAATTTGCTGGATTCAACTCAAGCATTAAAGCTATAGTCCATCATTTGCAGCTATCCGAAAAGTAGCTGGCGTAATTATTGTTGAAAAACATACTTGGTTGAAAGATAGTAAGGGGACTAAACTCCCTGTGAAATTATTCTTTCTGGCAAGCTGTCATTTTGAAGTAATCAACGAAAGAAGGCCTTTCCAACGGTGCTTCTTAAGACGCACTGTAGGAAAATTTAAATTAGTAGTTCGTTTTGTTATTGGGCGAAGCGCGCGCAAGCATTGGCATGACGCACATGCACCCCCGGTTGCTATAATTCGTCAGATCAGTGCGCGACATCGCGTAGCTGCATTGGGCTCAGCGAGAACGTGTCTCGGACGCTGAATTTAGGCGCAATTCAAAACATGATTTAGCAACTTTTGATTTGAAATTGAGATCCTAGAATGCTGTTTTTCTCAGAATATACAGCTGAAGCTGAGCTGAAACTTTATCAGGTTAGTTGTTCAGTACCCTTCTTTAGATTTTGAGCACTTTTGTTGCTTCAAACGAACAAAATGCACAAATTACAAATGATGGACTATAACTTTAAGGAGATAATCCAGGGTAAATCGAAGCCAAGTAGTGCTATGAATCATGTGTGCAAAAAGACCATTCATGTATAAGTCGGCAAAATGATGACGTACAGCAGATATCGGCATTCGCGTAAGTCACAAATTCTCGGGTCCCAAGAGTGCCGGTTTAGCCGGAGTTTACTGTATATTCAAGTGATGCTTTCAACTACTAATTTAACAAAGCTCACAGTCTATAGAAGTAGCACTGTTAACATCACAGACCTAAACGATCAGAAGGCCTTTTCACACTAGACAAATCTCGGGGTTGACGCGGGGTTGATGCAGGGTTGAAATCATGTGGCGTTTTATACAAATTTTCAACGTTGCGTTAACCCTGAGATTGATTTCGCCCAGGGTTCAACTCAACCCTGCCCCAGACCAGGGTTGAAACTCTCGCAGGGTTTATTTTTTTTATTTATTTTTTTTACGAATAAGCACAGAAGGGGGCTTCTGTGCCCACTAATACCAACCAAAAGTGCAAAAGATAACACTATGTACAGAAGCAAAGTACAAGGCCCTTAGTACAAGGACTTAAGATGCTTGTTTGCCCTGGAGCAGAAGGCCTTGGTCCCTGATGTAGTAGGGCGACCAACAGTGGAGTCTAAAACAGTAGTAACCGAGCGTAATAAGCTCGGTTTGCAGGAAACGAGTGTGAAACGATGCGGGGTTGAACACGGGGTTGAAAAATCAAAAACTCAACCCGGGGCAGCACTCGGTTCGCCTAGGGTTGAGTTTAACCCAGGTTGAGAAAAGGTAGTGTGAAAAGGCATTAAAGTGTTCAAGGATGCTGTTCGCAGTCAACATTTATCTCAATGAGAATGGCAAATAATTACCTGCAAAGGGAAAAGCAAAGGACCTGCATTGAAGGTCACATGGTCAAATCAACATCACTTTTGGCTGCGCCATGTGCCTCTTGGAGAAAGGAGTAATACCCCTAATTCTTCAATCTTCGTTGTGTCATCAACCATTTTTTAGGTGGATGAGCATTATTTTTTTAATGGATAGTTGCTCATTTTTCAGTTGATTTAAGGAAACTTGATTGAAGTGGGAATCGAACTCCAAACCTTTGAAATGCTGTACCAGCTCTCTACTAACTGAGCTGTCTAGCGCCTTGTTGGTGGTCTCCGAGTCAATATCCCAATTTGATACTTAAGATAGTAAAGCCCTCGCCCCATCTGTGCGTTTTCATTTCGTTATATTTCAGTTGTATTGTTACCTTATATTATACGTCAAGTCAACTTTGTAATCAACACAAAATAGACTTAAGCGTTTATGGCAACAACTTACTTTTTCATGCCGTTACCTCTAGGTGCCTACAATAACCATTGACGGCAAGGAGATACCATATTATGAGGTCCTGATGGACGATGGCACACCATGTGACCTCCGTGGAGACTCCCCCCGTCTGACCAGGGTGCGGTATATCTGTGAGGGGACCGGCCGTAACGAGATGCTGACCATCAAAGAGACAAGTACCTGTGAGTACGAGGCTGTTATACTCACACCGTACCTCTGCAGTCATCCACTGTACAAGTAAGTTGAGACAGATGAGATTTGAAGGTTTGCATGGTGGAAAGATACTAAGACAAGATAAGTTTGCGGTAGCACCATGTGAATGAATCTCTTTTGTGAGTATGTGTGGTTATGAAAGAACCGGAGGGACTCAACGTTTCGAACAGTATGCTTTGCCCGTCGTCAGGAGAAGAGACAATAGTCTGAGGAGCAGACATTCACATGTGCAGAGCAGAGCTGATATACCCGTGCATGTAAATTTTATGCGAGCCCACGCGACACTCGGGCAGTGTTATAGTCGAGACCATCACAAGACCAGACACAAGACCAGACACAAGACCATCACAAGACCCGATACAAGACCCGGCACAAGACCACCACAAGACTAGTCACAAGTAACAGTGCATGAACAATAACAAAGGAATGCCTTTGTCACAGCTCATTTGAATAGCTTGTGACTTGAATTGAGACTGGAGGTCTTGTGATGATCTTGCGATGGTCTTGTGATGATCTTGCAGGGTCTTGACTACAACACCGCGCGACAGATAATGGGAGCTGCCTTTAGACGTTGTGTTGTCATTTAGAGAAGATATTCGGCCAAAGCTGTTGATTGGTCAAGAGCTACCATGTTTTATCTGTCTCCTACAACATCAGGTTACCGAAGACAAGAGAGAAGGCGCCCACTAAATGATCAGAATCTGGAGGTCAAGACGCAGTGTTTTGCACAATCTGCTTACATATCGTAGACGCTTGCTGTCCTAGATGTAGCACAATTTGTGGCTTCATATTAATTGTAACACATCTCATCATCAGTAAATTGTTCCTGTTGTTACCCAGGTTCAGAGAACCTCCGATAAATGCCATCAACTGCCACGCCATGAATGGGGCACCGGCACGACCACTCGGCTATGAACAGCTGTACAAAGACACCAGCAGCAGGCTACAGTTCTCAGCACCAAAGGTAAGTGCTGTGTATTATCATATAATTTAGTATTTGATTATTTGAACTTTGATTCAATCAAATATTGGAATATTCAAAAGAAAAGAAAAAGTTTTAAAAATGCCAACTTAAATTGTGGATGCTTGTCGGGAATAAGATGGGCTGCCGATTGGAGTTTACCTGTGCCTGTTGAAAATTGACAGTGAACTTAATAAAATATTGAGAACATGTTTTTGTTATTGATGTGGCTGATTATATAACTGACATACAGATCCTAGTCATTTGATTGGTGGAACTCACATCACGTGACATTCGTTATTGCTCCCATTCACGCCGCGGCTCAAAAAGTACTATCCGCCCATGGGGAATGGGAAATACTATTCAACAGTTAGGATCATGAAGCGGTATTTGTGTGCAAATGCATGCTGGTGAGCGCGTTCAGCGTTGCGCGTAGCGCGTATTGTTCCAAAGAGCCAGCGCTACAGCGTTGGGTTCAAACATTTTCGTGAAGGGGTGGTTTGGAAGAGAGAAATACATTTTCCTCCAGTTTTGTATTGGAAAAAAAGTTCAAATATATCAAATGACAAGGATCTATATGTCAGTTATATAAAACAAATATTGAGTGGCTTTAAATTGTGAAATGGGAGGAATATTATCGCTCGGTAAAATCTGGACTTTTCCAGTTCACTCGGCTTCGCCTCGTGAAATGGAAAAGTCCAGATTTTACCTTGCGATAATATTCCTTCCATTCCACGCTGAGCCACTCAATATTTGTATACTAGCTAATATTTAAAGGATTTCGAAAATGCAAATTTGAGCTAATATTCCTCATAATGCAGACTTTCAAAATTTTCGAATCATGCTTGTCAACAAAAATGCAGCATTTGACAGACAATAAAACCATGTAACTTTGTGATTTAAATAACATCATGGGCATTCTTCGTCTTCTTGAGACCACATATTTCAGATATCGGAAAAGTGCTATTCGCATATTTTTTGGAAGATCGAATATTCAATATTTTCGGCACAGCCCTACAACAGGTACTATTAGGCAATCTTGGGTGAAGAACTTGTCAGCAGAGTATCATCTCTTTCTGAATGAACTGATTTTGTGAAATGTAATTTTTCAACCTGTTAAAAATAAGGATTCCATGCATGCATCATGGAAGGCAATGTCTAGTCTAGCAATTTGAAGGAACTGGGAAAAAGAATTTCTGAATTTCTGTTCTAGTGCTGTTAGCACAAAGTGGTGAAAATAGATCTGCCAAATTCCTTGGTTTACAGACCTTGTGCTTTTAATTTCAGGCCAAGAGTTCAATAAGCAAAGGCTCTGCCAGCACCGAGGAGGGAGAGAAGTCTACCCAAGCTGCAGCCAAGCAGGCGTTACCTCGCCCTGTCCTCATCGACAAGCAGATACTAAGAGACTTCCTTAACGGGGATTATTGTCTACATGGGGTGAGTATTACAGCGCCCTCTGTAGACCGTCAAGAGAAGATGTCAGGCATGAACTCTGCGCCTCGCTGTCATTTGTTTAACCCACCATCACACGGTCGTGCTCTATACTACAGTACCCTTTTGAATGGGGGCCAAATAAACCTCAACTATTTTCTGTCTGTCAACATTAGGTTGTATAGACCTCAGACAACTGCAAACAGCAGTCATTGAGCTGTTGCTGACTAGTCTTGTTGATAGGATGATTGATTATCCATACCCTGCGACTCACTAGACTCACTCTAAGGATTTTATTACAAAATATGTGGTTCTTGTCAGAGGGCTGGTGTTTGGCTAGGATTTACAGGGTTAATAGTTCAAGCTACTTTAAAGGTGGGAGTAATTGCAGAATACCCCGCCACTCGGAAATACACCCCTAAAATCACTGGCTACGAGGTTGGAATCACTGCAAAAGAAACAATTCAAGTCCATTGCCAGCTACGCGGATACTGAGTGGGGGTCCATTATTTGAGAACGAAGCAACACAAAATGAATGGGAGTTGCTGAAAAAAATTCTAAGTCCAAACCAACCACCCTGTTGGCGGCTACGAGGCTACGGAGTGGGAGTCCCCTTGAATATGCTTGAGAACGAAGCAACACAAAAGGAATGGGAGTTGCTGAAAAAATTCTAAGTCCAAACCAACTACCCTGTTGGTGGCTACGCGGATACGGAGTGGGAGTCCCCTTGAATATGCTTGAGAACGAAGCAACACAAAAGGAATGGGAGTTGCTGAAAAAATTCTAAGTCCAAACCAACTACCCTGTTGGCGGCTACGCGGTCACGAAGTGGGAGTGCAGTGGAGCATGACGCATACTCGGCATAGTACATACAAGTAGCGCTGAGAATGTTTATTGAGGTCAATCAGCCGTGACCTCGTAGCCAGCTACGAGGTGGATAGATCGAGTGGCGGGGTATTCTGCAATTGTGCCTAAAGGTGCACTCACAATTTTATTTGGCTATGTATGAAGAATTGGCTATGTTTGCCTCGCCCGCTACTTGCAATGTTGTGGGTTGAAAATCTGTTTTCAGAAATGTTCCTTTCTCTGATTAAACATTATTGTTCTATGAAATTTTGTGAGCAGTATTTTCTTCTTTTTGTTGTATTTTTAGGGTCAAGGATGGTGGAAATATGAATTTTGTTACGGAAAATTTGCACAGCAATATCATACGGTAATTTGTCATTTGTGTTTTTCTGTTTTCCATTAAAGATTTTAGCTTGTACGTTAGCTGTATGAGACATCGGCAAAAAAGTTGGATGAATAATTTCTTTTAAAAACATTGAAGTAACTAGTAAGTGATATGTTTTATTAGAATTATAATCTTCTTTATGATTATAACTATAATTATGCACACTGTTGAATTGTGCAAAATGTACATCCAACACCGTGCAACTGCCCATGCAAAATTTTTCCAATGCTTACATTTCATATTTAGCTGAATTAATGTGGAATACCTTTGGGCAATTCCAGTGTTGGGAAGTGTACTGTCCGTGACGGAGCCAGTTAACCATGATTAGTGATTCAGAGGAATGATCCAAAACTCCTAGTCTGTAATCTCCTTGAGCACTAAGGTAAAAAAAAAAAAAATATTCGGTCTCTGGTCAGACCGAAGTTCCGGAATTGACGTTTGTACAGGATTGTACAGACAAGGTGGGGTACTGTTTTGCTTTTTTGGTGTCCTCATGTACGTTGGTGTCCTCCACAATTTGCCTTGGTGCAATTTCCCATTCCTTGGTGCTCTTTGGTAAAAAAAAATTGAGGAGGTAGCTGTTGGAGCTACCGCGGAACATTTTGGAAAAAAAAAAGATTGACGCGCATGATTAAAATCGACGCGCGCGCTGACCAGAGACCGACTTATTTTTTTTTTGGCCTAATAGATGATGGATGTATAAGATTTTAAAGAAAAAAAAAACACCAAAAAACTTTTCCAGGTTTATTTACTTTAAAGGCAATATACAACATTTGCAAACATTGGAAAACAAAACTACCAAATTTTTTACAAAATAGCTTACTAGGATGTTGCTAAATGAAAGTCTGAAGCATCCTGTAAAATTATGGCACCTGGTGTGAAGTCATTTCCAAGAAAAGTGGTATTTTGTATAAATTTCCAACGGTGGTCGGCCGACCACCGTTGGAAAAACCTAACTATTTTTCTTTCAGTCCAAATTTTGTTTGCTATTGGTTACATGTTCATGAACGGGTGCAGGCCGGCTAGACTGGTTCATTACCTTACAAGTTTCCGGCATCTGTAAATTGATCCATTTTATATTTAGTGGAGTCAGGGAACCAGACTACTTGAACTATTTTGTTTTTCTTGTTTTTTTCCAGCATTTTCGAACACAAACCTTCAAGCATGTCAGTGTAACAATATTTGATCTATTATACTAACCCCTCAAATAGTTCATTTCTGAAAATTACAGCAAAAGCCAATCATGTATATTCCCTTTAAAGCTCTGTCACTGACATTGCATAACGGTGGATTTACACTTTTGTGGGAAATTGAAATCATTTACTTTTTGCTATCTGACCTGGTGCTTTGAAATAAAAAAAAAACATTGTCAACAGCAGACTTAGGCCCCCAAAATAGTTCCGCTTCCGATAACATGGCATTTGAAAATAGGGTAGGTAGGGAATTTGATTTTGTTTTGGCAATTTTTTGTGTGTATGATCATATGGAGGTGTCTGCGTGTAGTCAAGGGTAAGAGGTAGTAATTGATGGTTTCAGTTTTTTCACCTCATTTCCCCCCCCCCCCCCTCCAAAACAAAAATATGGCAGGGGCTCTCAAAATAGGGTAGGTAGGGTAACCGGAAGCAGAACTATTTTGTTTTGGCCTTATATTTTGGTTGAAGAGATAACTTTTTGAGTAGAAAAATTCATTTCTCGTTTTTCTTTCTGAAGTTGTTCTCAATTTTCAGTGTCTGTTTTCTTTTTACTTCATAGGATACTAAAACTGGCACCACGGTTATTCTGCTAGGATCTTGGAACAAGCAAGAGCATATAGCATGGTGGACACAACACCAAAAAACTGTTGGATCAAAGTAAGTTACACACAGGCTCAAACAATAAACTCTGTACGTATTTTTACCTCGTTATCTCTCAATATTGAAGTGATTGATTTAGATCTGCTTAATCAGTTAATTGACAGTGATAGAGTTCCGAATGGCCTATACTGTAGTTGTACACTAGTCTGAAAATTTGGAACTCTCAATACTGTGTACGAGAGTCCCAACACATAAGGTACCGGTATTGAAAACATGCGATACAAGAAAATAAACTGGCATCTGAAACAACCAGTCCAACAACCCTTCAGTACTGCATCAATCAACTGTGTCAAAAGAAAAATCTGGCATGTCTGGTACTAATGGACTATACATGTAGTTAGCTACCAGACTAATGAAGAGGTCAGTCTTTTCAAACAGTTGGACCACGGTTGGACATGTACCAGTCTTGTCTTTGGCCTCAAGTAGATGTCACTTGACTTCCCTCTTAGCTGCAAAATATTGAAGAAAATCTGATTTAAAAATGAGTTGAGACTTCAATCTTGGCTGATGAAATACTGAGGACCTTGTGTTTGCCTCGTGAACATATTTGGAGAGTTTTGTCAGCTAAAGAGTGAGTAAAATTTGCCTGATTTTGTTTTGCACGTATTTAGCATGCAAGGTCCCAGTCTAGGTGTACACATGTGTTCAAAACTTTCTTTTTTCATTTGCAGGAGTGTTACACATTACTATGGCAACGGGGATATATGTGATTTAACTGGCAAGCCACGGGTTGCCCAGGTCAAGTTAAAATGCAAAGCAGACATGCAAGCCACAGCAGTCACTATCTATCTCTCCGAACCAAGGGATTGTGAATATGTACTTGGGGTAAGATTGGCAATATCTCTGACCCTTTACATAGATCAGGAAAGGCATAGAGGATAATTTGCTGTTCATGTATTTTGTTCGTTTCCAAAAAAAACACCACTCAAAATCCAAAGAAGAATGTTCAAAACCTAACCTGTTGAAGTTTCAGCTCAGTGGATATTACACTTTTCGAGAAAACAGTGAAAAGCCACGCACAACCTTTTGATCACGAAACACGATTTTGCCCATAGCACTCTGTAGTTTCAAAAAGTAGTCAATTGACTGATCATTGGAAATCACTTACATTTCTTGCAAGCCAGTCGGAATAATTTCACGGGGTGTAATTAGTACCATTGCAATCTTTAATCCAAGCAAGCTTTTTGATAATAATTCGAAAGGTTACATTTGGGATAAATGCAAATGACCCTTTATGCCTTTAAGTATTACTTCAGGAAGTTTGGACAAATGCAGGAAGAATAGGGGTATTGATCACAGGTATACATGACAGATCTCGTCCATTTGTTGTTACTGCTTGTAAACATTAAGGAAGTTCGGGCGAGGACCATTATTTTACAAGTGGTTGATTTATGATGTAACTTACGCCTGTGCACTAATAGCAGCACGCGAACGTCTCTAGTCAAACGATGGTCAAAGGTCCTGGCTCCCCGTTGTGCTTTATGATACACACAGCTATTGGTATACAAATATTGAGTGGCTCAGCGTGGAATGGGAGGAATATTATCGCAAGGTAAAATCTGGACTTTTCCATTTCACGAGGCGAAGCAAAGTGAACTGGAAAAGTCCAGATTTTACCAAGCGATAATATTCCTCCCATTTCACAATTTAAAGCCACTCAATATTTGTTTTATATAACTGACAGATAGATCCTTGTCATTTAAAATATTTGAACTTTTATTTCAATACAAAATTGGTGAAAAATGTATTTCTCTCTTCCAAACCACCCCTTCACGAAAATCTTTGAACCCAACGCTGTAGCGCTGGCTCTTTGGAACAATACGCGCTACGCGCAACGCTGAAAGCACCAGCATGCATTTGCACACAAATACCGCGTCATGGAACAAGAATGATCCTAAACTGTTCAATAGTATTTCCCATTCACCATGGGCGGATGGTACTTTTTGAGACCCGGCGTGAATGGCAGTAATAACGAATGACACGTGATGTGAGTTCCACCTATCAAATGACAAGGATCTGTATGTTGGTTATATAATTCCAAATAGTTGACTAGAGTAGTCCAACCATCCTTCGTTGGAGCGAAGTTGGTTGAGCTAAGGTTAACTATTAAAGGAATACATCTTAAGAAACGTTTGATGAGTGGTCTCACCAGGATTTTCATGCAGAATGGTGTGTTTTTTTTTACAATAGGATGGAGGGAGTTTGCTGTGAGAGTGGGGGAGATTCAAACTATTGTTATATGGTGCAATCTGTACAGCAATTAGTTTTCCAGTCAATGTAGGGGGAGTGCTACCACTGCACTTGATTTGTTTGTTTGTTTTTGCAGGTGGACTCTCCCATAATATGCTCGCTCCTGGAAACAGCCGATGAGTATGGAATACTGCACCCCTCCACGTCAATGGAAGAGTCTGCAGATGAGTCGACGGAGAAGCCTTAACTATTAACCAGACATGGCTCATGCACACTGGCTCCCATATGTTCCTATATCCTCACATAAATGCTTCCATAATGTGCATACAGCTGAAAATACTCTTTCCGTAGTTGATTCAAAAGTTTTACCACAAACCAGTTCTTGGAGACGATGCCTGAAAGTTTGATCTGTGGGCTGCAAGGGAGACTGGTGGTCTTCCCTCATTTGATATGGGAGCAGGACGTGGCTCTGTATCTTCTGAGATTTCATTGGTTGCTGTGTGCCATGGTGATAGTTCCCTGGAGTCTGATTGACTGAGCTCACAGGTGGAAACAGACGCGGCATCCAGTGCCATTCTTTGTGTGATTCCAGCAGCTCTGCCTGAGGTCACCAAATCCTGCTGGCTGCTGATTAACTGCACTCTCAAATAGTTCGTCACCGTCACCACGAACTAACACTCACGCGCGCGTGAGTGCACTGTACGCACGCGTATTTACAGAACTGGGATATTTTGGGTTTCACGAACTGACATCCTCCACAGTGCGGCACTTTTAGAGCGCAACCCATACATTTTCGTTTTCACGAACTGACACCCAAGCATGATGCGGCAATATAGAACGGAGAAAAACGGTTTGAAGGTTTGACACAGATCTAATCTATCTGTGTACTTGTGTGATTATACAAATTTTTAATTAAAGAGCGATTCAATTGGTAAAATTAAGATCAGTGTCAGTTCGTGAAACTGAAAATGCACGGGGTGCGCTCTAAATGTGTCGCACGGTGGAGGATGTCAGTTCGTGAAACTCAAAATATCAAGGTTCTGTAAATACGCGCGCGTGCAGCGCACTCACGCACGCGTGAGTGTCAGTTCGTGGTGATGGTGATGAGTTGATACGTTTACACTATCACTTTATTTTTTGGGGGGGGGGGATGAACTTGATTGTTAATGTTTTTGATTGTTGGGATGCTAACTAACTGTATACGTTTTTAATGAGACAGCTCTTTTAATTTTTAGACAACAAACTCCACCCAGCGCATCAGTGTGTGAATTGCAAGGTTGAAGGAATGTTGTTCTCTTTTTGGGAGTTAATTTGTACAAAATATAATTTGAGTGAAGTGGTATTAGATAAAAACAAAATGGGTCTTTAGAACGATGACTTTGACCTGGACTTGGTTTTGTGCAATCCTCTTTCACATTCTTTACAAAATACTGAAGCTGAATGTCCTTAAAAGTATTGCTTTTGGGTCTAGTGAAAATTGATAGTGTGAGTTTTGGGGTTCTGAAATGTTACCAGAACTGAAACATTAAGTCCCTGAAAAAAAAAATCTTCTAAAAATCCCTTACATTTTTTTCCAAATCAGAAGGTTTTTCAAATTTTTCTTATTTCTTGTCGAAGATTATACCTTGGTTTGGTTATGCATGATTTTGATGTGTTTTAAGATAACGTGAAATCATGGATAATGTGGAATCAATTGAAGTTGTCATATTTTGTGACTTTTCTTATATTTTAATTGCAAATAGGTCATTATGGAATGAAGAAGTGCAAGTGTGTGCATTTGCTTTGGTATATTAAAGGTATACTTTTATATGACTAGTACATATAGTGCAACAATCTTTACATATTTCAAAGCAACATGTTATAAATATAAGTTCCAAGTTTCCGGGAATATGCATTTACTTTGGATGTCCCAGGCACATGTATATGACCAAATTACTGACCCTTGATTTAAGGGATTACAGAAATTACTTTGTGATAATGATTTTATTGAAATTTTAAATTCACCAAACCCTTTTAAAAACCCAATGTCCCTTAAAAAGGACATTAATATATATATTTATTATGCTTTGTTAATTCATTAATTTTAATATGGTTTGGTTAAAATTGGTTTTGGTTTTTTATAAAATTTGGGTGGCATGGGTGGCTTGTGTGTAAAGCGCTCGCCTCTCACCAATGTGGCCCGGGTTCGATTCCCGGCACGGACCGTATGTGGGTAGAGTTGTTCATTGATTCTCTCCTGTGCCACAAGTTTTTTTTTCTGGGATCTCCGGTTTGCCTCCATCCACAAAAATCAACACTTTCGATCTCTGGCTGTGCTCAGTGGTCAGACATGGATCTTTTCAGCTTCGAGTAAGGATGATTAGCCCCCCCCCCCCAATTATTATTTATTATTATATTATTTACATTGTCTGTATTGCATAAATATTTTAAGGTGGGTGGAACTTTTCATAATTTTCTACCACTAACGGCACGTTACAAGTTGTATTTTGGTGTGAGGACTTATTGCATTATTATTTCGGAATTTTTTTCAAACACACGTAAACTGTTCTCTCATGACTTTTAGTAGTAATGATACAAAGTCAAAAACTCATCAGCTTTTAGTTGTGGAATTGCCACCACCCTAACACTCTTTAGGATGGGGGAGCTCGGAGGTAGAGGGGTGTTGGTGTTGGTGTTGGGGTAGACCTGTAAACCAATTTCACATCACCCGACTCAAATTCCATCTTATGAACAATTTCACAAAGCTAATATATCACATAATGTATTTGTTGGGGCCGTATCATAAGTCTGACGCCTCATAGGTCCGACGCCTCATAAGTCTGAAATTTCGGACTTATGAGGCATAAAATTTATATATTCCGCCTCATAGGTCTGACGCCTTATAAGTCCGATGCCGACATAAGGCTGACAACGGAAAAACGAGGTGTTTAATTTGTCGGACTTAGAAGGCGTCGGAACTATGAGGCGTAGTAGCCATGAGGCGTCGGACCTATGAGGCGTTGGACCTATGAGACGTCGGACTTATGGGCCTTTATTTGGTAAGGGGATGCGATTTTGTCGGACTTATGAGGCGTCGGACCTATGAGGCATCGGACTTATGAGCGGACCCCTATTTGTTCATAGTCCTTTCTTGGTTGGTTCACGTTTAAAGTTGCTTTGTGCAATGATTTTCTGTTTAGACTTCTTATGTCGGCTTTAAGTTTGGATCATTGTTCGAATTACTCTGAGACACTTTGCACGGACCTTCATGGACATCAAGTCATAATCATGGTTGAAAATCAGTTAATTTTGTTAAGGTCCATGTAAATTTTTTGAGGCTTTCATTAAATTTTGTACTGTATTTATTAATCACTAGGTTAATCATGAGTACATTTTAATATTGTATCACAGAAAGTTAGTAAAAAATGTTTATTAAAGCACTACATTTTGTATGGGACAATTGTGTTAAGATCATTATTTTAGCCATGTCAAGCTCCTGAAGCTGTACATGTGTATATGCCATCACTAATTAACGTTAACACAGTTGTAACAAATTACAAATGTATGTGGAAGTTTTGTTACTGCGAGAAATATTTGTTAATGTTATCATGAAAATCATCGTTGCCATTTGGACAAAACCTTGACCCTATTGGCAAAGTGTGCCACCAGAAATGAAGAGCCACTTAGCTAGGGGTCACAGTACCAGCTATGGGGGCCACAGTACCAGCTATGGGGGCCACAGTACCAGCTAGGGGGGCCACAGTACCAGCTAGGGGGGCCACAGTACCAGCTAGGGGCCATACTGGCTGGTGGTGGTGGTGGTGGGGGGGGGGGGGGCTACATGTAGGGAGGGGCCACAATACCAGCGAGCTTGGTGGGGGGGGGGGGGGGGGCACAATACCAGCTAGCTGGGGGGGGGGGGGGAGGGGGCACAGTACCAGCTGCATGTGGGGGGGGCACAGTACAAGCTAGCTAGCTGGTACTGTGCCCCCCCCCCCCTACATGCAGCTGGTACTGTGCCCCCCCCCCCCCCCCCCAGCTAGCTGGTACTAGTGCCCCCCCCCCCCCCCCCCCCCATATAGCTGCCCCCCCCCATGTAGCTGGTATTGTGCCCCCCCCCAAGCTCGCTGGTATTGTCGTACAGTACTATCGCAAGCTCTGTGGTGCATCATACTCCCCCCATGATATGTCGAGTATCCCTTTAATCAATTGGCACGAACTACACGTACTAAAAGACTTTTAAAATGTTGCAACACAAACAATATGGCGGCGGACACGACAGCACATGGTTCGACGACAACCACTGCAGATAATGTGGTTTCATTTGTTGCAACTGATGCCAACAAGAGACAGAAGAAAAATCTGAAAAGATGGAAACCGTTTGTGAAAGTCTCGTACGATTCTGGGAGTGATGCGGATGTTGAAAGCGATGAAGACCGAAAAGAAAATGGTGAACATGGTCATGGTGAATCAAACTCGTCCGTTGTTGTGCCGGTTCGTAATTCGTTGTGCCAACTCGACCGCTGTGCGTTAGTCAAGTCGTAACTCGTCCGTTGTGACATCGTGTACACGGAGGGACGTAGTTTGTAATTGCGCCTATGGAATTTTAGCCGAGTGCAATGATTAGTGATAGTGCTGCGCGTGGTGTTGTTTGATGCCTAATTCATGGCAAGGTTACGGGGCTGAGAATTTAATGGATCGGTCATGATAAAAAGTAACTCCAGCTCCAATCATGCCAATGCTCATCACTCATCGGGAATTCGACATATAGAGCTGGAGCTACAACTATGTTATAAAAAGTAGATCGTAAGAATCCCAAATAACGCGACTGTATATCCCCAGTGCATAGTTCGCACTCAATCATTCACGAAGCTAAATGATCGACTTGAAACAGAACAAAAGTGACCAAAATATGAGAAATATTTAATAAAACAATTATTACAAAAACAGGTAGTATGCCTAAATTAAGAAGAGGGTGAAAATAATATTAAGGTGAACAATCTATATAACTTAAATTATCCCCAATGATTGTCAGGCCTCAAATAATTCCAGTTCGGTAAAGAAATACTTTCATTTAAACTTTTGTGGATTTGTTTTGTTCGATTTCAAAAGTGAATAATTTTTACATCGTGAGGAATAAAGAAAAGGAAAAGGTGTCAATGTATCAGGACTTGCCGAGGAATCGATGGTAAACACGCAACCCGGATGTTTATTGGATGGTTGAGGAGACTTCACGTTTTAGGTCAAGTTGTACAGCGAAGTGACTGGACGAGTTGGCACAACAGACGATTTGGCAAACGGTCAAATTGGTTTGATTAGAGTTGGCAAATATTTGAGGTGACTGTAAACCATACATCCCACATATATGCATACATCTACGGTGTAGGTTAACGTTAATAATATGGCCTGATTTGGCAATTGTTTGGGTACTAGCTCCTCTTTTTGTTTTAGTTCCTTGAGTGTTTATTTCGTTCCAAAATGTACTGGATGTGTTCTAAAACATTCCAGCTTTGCCATACCGAGGTAGGTTGTGTGGCATAACCGTATTCATGTGTCAGTTTGTTCCAGGTATTTCAGCATCTTCATTTTGTTGTGTCCATAAACACAATTTTGTACAGTGGTGTACGGGGCAGCCATACTTAAAATGGATGTGGTTTTCAAACTTAAATCTTATTGTGATTTGTGATTTGAATTCCACGACAATGAAAATAATAATGGCTAGGTTTAATATAACCACATTACCCTCCGTAGTTCTAGTGGTAGGATATACATGTACCATCCCAGAGATGCAGGTCCTGCAATTGCCTAATTTCAGGCTTTTTCTTCAATTGTAAAGTAAATAACATATTGGCACCATACATGTGTGTGTACTTTTCCTTTATACCTCGAATTTCAGGCAAAAATGTCACGGTTCACTTACATCCCTGATCCCCATTTCATGCAAAATGCACTGAATTCCCCACTCACTTTTTGAAGGATTTTGGACGGTTTTGCAACTTGCAATTTTTTTTCCGACTTCAGGTGCTCCAAGCAAGAAGATCTCCAGAAAAAGGCAGAAGCTTGAAGCAGCATCTCTACCCACGCCACCGTCGAGGGAGTCCAATAGCGATGGGGAGGACAAAGACTCGGAGCCGGAGCCAGACTCCGAGTCCGAGCCAGAGGAAGAGCCAAGGGTTCCTGGGGCCGGATGGGCGGACGTCATGGCTAAGATCCTGCATAGGGACACCCCGGCTGAGATGGGCTCAGCCGTCTTGGCCAAGTCCAAGGATTACGAAAAGGCCAAGAGGCAAGAGCAGGAGGAAGATGCTGAAAGGCGGAAGGAGGTTGGTATTCAGGGAGTTATATCAGGAGTTGGGTTTGGGTAGGGGGTATTCAACCCTTCTTCCCTTCAACCTTGGCTACCCGGGTTTGAACTTCATCCAGGGTGACAAGTGTTTTTCCTGTTATTGAAGTTTACGCAGGAAAACATTTTAAATGTTTTCCTTCCTCTTATGAAAGTAAACTTTTCTTTATCTTTTTTTCTCTCTCTCTTTGCTGCTTCAGGCTTTACAGCTATGTAGGGCGGTCAAAAAAATACCCCGCAACCTCATACGTCCTATATCTAGGGACCTAACCATTGATTTGTATGGCTAGAAAATTTTGTTGAAAGGAAAATGATACCAAGAACTCCCGATTCGGTTCAGTAGTTTTGATTCCATGCCATTTTTGTGAACCAAAGTCAGGGGTTAAGATAATCCTGTTGTTCACTGTGCGAAATTATCCTAATAAATAGAGCCCCTGACTTTGGTTCACAAAAATGGCGCTGGAATCAAAACTGCTGGATCGAATCGGGAGTTCTTGGTATCATTTTCCTTCCAACAAAATTTCCTAGCCATACACATCAATGGTGTAGGTCTCGGAATATTGGAAGTGCATGTATGAGGGTGCATTGTTTTTGGACCACCCTGTATGTGCCTACTGCCTAGAAATGTTTGATCTTTTGCCACATTGGCAAAATGTTATTGCAGAAAACAATTGAATATTGGTATAGGTCTATGGTTTGATAAAAACTCTAGTCTGCCTGAAGTATTTTCTTTGATTTATGTGCATAAGTATGTTCTCTGTCAAAATGCAACATCTCAGCAGTTTTCTTGTGCACAGGTAGATTTCCTTCAGACATTAATGCCATGGTTGTGTTCAAACCAGACCATGAAATGATTCTTTATTTGCTTGAATAATTTGAGGCTTTGCATGGTGGCTTTCTCCTGAAGACGGTCAGAGCATACTGACCGGAACGTCGAGTTTATACCTCTGGTTCTTTTCAGAACCATTCTCTTAGTTGAGAAATTATTGGCACATGGTGTTTCCGCAAACCTTTCATTATTGAATAATTTGGCAAAACAGCTAAGCACCATCAGTTTCCAGAGCACAACATTTCAGATAGTTGAAACTTTGGAGTTAAAGACTGAGTAAATAGGGAGCTAGAAAAAGTGTAATAAAAAGACCACAGAAATTGATTGAAATGTAGTGCTGTGTATTTTTGAATAATTTAGTATACAACTATTGGAACTAGGTTTTGATCGAATATTGAAATATTTGAAAATTAGCATTGAGGTAAAATTTTTTACAAATATCATTTACGTATTTATCGATGTATTTTTTTCTCAGAAAGCTGACTAGTTGATATTTGACAGGTTTTTAAACCACTCAACTGATACAAATAAAATTTACATCACGGACATTTTTGTCATCTTTTCGAGACGGCTTACATTTTTTGAATATCTATTTGGAAAACTGCTGTTCCGATATTCGGTGGATGAGCAAATATTTGGATAATCGTTACTTTCTGCACAGCCCTATTTCAATGACACTGTGAATCTTGTTTAAAATTTCTGTCTTCAAGAAAGAGACCAGGAATCAGTGGGAGCAACTAGGTCGAGCCAAGCCCAGAGTGACCGACAAAGAGGTAGAGAGAAAACTACAGAGAATAGCAACAAGGTATGAATCAGGGATAACCAGAGGGTTGGCATGGAATATTAAGTCACTCTGTGTCCACTTTTGGTGAACTGGAGACAAACTCTAACCCCCTAGGCCTTTTTGCTAGGTTACGTCCTCAATCCTGCAAAATCCTCCAACTACTTCCACATAAAAATTGGATGCAGCCTCAATCCTCCAAAAGCATCCATCATATCTTGAATTTGTTCATTGGAGGGGTGACCACTGCCTCAATCCTTCAAAATCATCCAACAATTACTGTTAATACCTTGAGGCAGTGCGGATGATTTTTGGAAGCAGTCTGGATGATTCAAGTATAATCTAGGCCTACATTTATGCATGGCTAAGCATAAAAAAAAATACCAAAAAAAAGTACAGCCTAGACCTTCCCTCAATGCATCCTCCAAAATGAACGGACACTTTTTTGCCATAAAGCCTCAATCCTTCGAAATCCTCCACTTACGCACAGAGAATTTTGGAAGGTTAGGGTTAAAGTATGCAGTACAATACTCAAACATTACACCAAGAATCTTTAAATTGGTGTCATGCCCTAATCCTGCAGTGCGTAATTGTAAATAGGTTGTACAAGCATTTACGTTTTCTGGATATCCTTGCAAATAAATAAGACCTACATGGATTTCAGTTTTCTAGATATCCATTTTGATAAAGTAGTTTTTTAAAGTCTTTTGTAGGTATTGAACTTGTCAAATTCTAAAGGTTTGTTTTTTCTTGCCCATAGTTTGTTTCTGCCATGCACTTGTTCCATTTTTTTTTAATAATTACATTGTAAATTTGTGAAGATGTTCTCATAGGATGACCTTGTTTTTATTTCAGAGGGGTCGTTCAACTCTTCAACGCCGTCAAGAAACAGCAGAAGAAATTCGGTGAGAAACTAGATACGGCACACTCGGAGAGGAGACGTGCAGAGGTGAAGTCTTCCGTCAGTAAGGGAGAATTTCTGGACCTCCTGAAAGCCACGCCAGTCATCTCCAACAAGAACGTCAGTAAGAATAATCAGGTGAGTAGCTTGCAAGTACAAAGGTTTGGATGATTGGACTACTTCCGTACTTAATGCAGAGAAGTAGTCAAAATCAGCCAACTTGAGGTATGAGGGATTGTGAAGTTTCAACTACTTTCCTAAAATCCACCATGTTGTGAAAAGGTGAACAATATTAAGGGAATAAATGTGTGATCGGGAGGTATTAAACCACAGGGTCGCCCTAGGTCTGCAACTATATTGTCAAAACCATTCTGCACTCAGAGTTTAGGACTGAAAAGCCTGATTTTGTTGGAATTAAAATTCTGAATTTTGGAATGGAAATATGTGAAGTTCTGGGGAAGCTTTACTAATGCACAATTCATGCATCATTTGTCTCATCATTATAATCGCATTGCTTTTTATCACAAGGGTGAGGACAAGACGGGCAGCAAGAAACCCGCCTGGAGTGTGCTGCAAGACGACTTCATGATGGGGGCCACCATGAAAGACTGGGACAAACAGAGTGATAGTGGGAGTGACGGACCCGGTGAGGGACACAGTGATGAGAACTCCTTCTCAGACTCGGATTAATCCATTGGATGGAAGATGTACAGATGGAAGATGTGTTCTGACATTTTCAAGAAATTTTTGTATCAATTTCCAATGATGGTCAGCTGACCATCGTTGGAAAAAACTGCTTTTTTCAAATACTGCCCCCACTTTACCAAATTTAGTTAGTCCACATTTTGTTTGCAATTGGTTACACATCCGTGAACGGGTGCAAGCCAAGTAGTCTGGTTCCCTGACCTGACAATTCCCCGACTTCTATAAATTGCTTTGTTTCATCTGAAGTAGGGTCAGGGAACCAGACTACAAGAACAGCATTTTTTGTTTGGTTTTTCCAGCAAATGTGAACACAAAACTTTAAACCAGTCAGTGTAACAATATTTGCTATAAAATTCTAAACCCCAAATTCATCCATTTCTGAGAATTACAGCAAAAGCAAATGTTGTACATTACCTTTAAACCACTGATACAGTGAACACAGCTTTGTTTTTATTAACCAGTTCACGCCGGGATTATTTTGACAAGAACAGAACGATGCGCGGTATTACTTTTCAATCGACCTCATGCCAGGCGGGTTGAAGCCATCACCCTCGGGCAGCACTCTCATATTTCCGGCCTCGCTCGCTGCGAGCGGGTCGCTGACAGATATTTCCGGCCTCGCTCCCTGCGTGTTTATCCGTCATCCGTTCCGAATACTGCAAAACCTTTGCGGGTATACACGTCATCCAGTGCAAACTGGTTAAAAGCTGTGGTGGCATAGTTCTTATGAAACAGATCCATGTTTGGTTATGTTGATTCCTTTTATGAGAAAGTTTTTGCAACAGTATGTTTCCCTCTTTCCTTTTGGCAAACCATCAAATCTTTTATTTACTTTGAAATTCTGCAAGGAATACCACATGCGCCACACCTTAGGAAGAGTTCTAATTAAGACACATGTATCTATGAGCAAGAAGTTTTGACTTTTTAAAGTAAGATGCTGTTAAATGTTGGTAGAAGTACCGATGCCTTCCTTCTTAATGGTAATGGACACCATTTGCAAAAAAAAAAAAATCCAAAGTTTGTTCTTGCCGACTCAAGGAACGATAATACAAGAAATCTGAAGCAAGTTATTGAAAAACTAACCTGTCCAAATTTTAGCTCAGTAGATATACTTCTTGAGAAAACTGTAAAAATGCATTTTCATTTTTCTTGACGCAAAACATAGATTTCCATTGAAAGCGCTATGGTTTGGTCCTAACCATCGTGAGGAAATGATGATCATTCTTCTTTTCTCAAAAAGTACAGCATACTAAGATATCACAGGATGCTTGAACCTATCATTAATACTTACAATCAAGTAGGATGTTTCAGGATATTTTGACAGTTTCCTTTTTTTGAATGTTTGCGAATAGTGTCCGTTATACCTTTAAAACGGTAAACATTTTCCAAATAACACTTCAGACTAAGTATATAGACTACCTTGTCAAAAGTCACGGTGTCAGCGTGCCATTTTGACTGCGTGTTCCCTTAGATGCTCATTCATCCGTGAACCAGTTCCTAAAGTCCTTCCTAGATGGCATACCCAAAAGCTGGCAGTGGAGGCCATATTGAATACCCAATACAATTTAGAGAGTTTGAGACTTTCTATAGAGCATTGTGATCGCTTTATCAAAAGGAGGGAAAGCCCCTTCCACAGTCCCATGCAGATATATTTTTTTGCTATGGTCCTTCTGTTCAAAAATTAAAATTTAGTAATGCCGATTTGGCATTTGGTTCACTGACATGAAACTAGAAAGTTGCTTGGTTTTTCCCAGTTGTCGTATCTGTTCACACCTAACGTGGCGTCAGCCAGATCTGAAATTGTGTGGGAAACCGTGTTCTCAGTGTGTTTTGTTTTGAATACTATTTAGGCTCACATACAGGGTGTCCCAGAAAAGAATTACCCCCTAACTTTAAGTGATTGCAACTTCAAAAACAAGAATCAAAATTGAAAAAAGTCAAACGGGATCATAAAGTGCAATTTTTTTGCTACATTGTGGTGAAAAACGCATTTCATTTGGTTCAGTAGTTACGAAGAAATTAGCGATTATGTAACACAAGTCAAAGAACACTTCCTTCCAAGTTTGCTCATAATGAGTGATTCAGACAACCCCGGCAAGAATTTATTTTTTTAATAAATAGAGACGTCTTTTTCCTTACAATGTTTTGTTTTTGTTGTTTTGTTTTCTTGTTAGAATTGTTACGGTTAATGATTTAGTACTGTAATAATAAGAACAAAAATGCATTGGTCTCACAAAATATTAAACAATGCTGGTTCATTGAGGAATGAAGTGAGGACAGGAAGCTTGAACAGATAATGCGAGCCATCAGCGGTAGTTAAAATCGCTATCTTGAGCAAACTTGGAAGGAAGTTGACTAGTGTTACATAATCGCTCATTTCTTCGTAACTACTGAACCAAATCAAATGCAGTTTTCATCAAAATGTATCAAAATAATTGCACTTTATGTTCCCGTTTTTTCCTCCAATTTTTATACATATTTTTGAAGTTGCGATCACTTAAAGTTAGGGTGTATTTTTTTCTGCGACAACCTGTATAACTACAAACGCAGGTTTCTGCTTTTACATATGAATGCAACTACGATCATTTTTAGAAATGTATATTCGTTTATTTCAACACAGTAATTTATCGGTTGATGAAAAAACAGTAATGCAATTATACATGCGAATGACAATTCCAATATTTTCTTCCCCAATCTTCCACACTGTTAGTGTTAGGTTCATTTAATGTCAAACGAGCAGGAATATGAATAGTTGAAATTCCAGACTTTATATACTCGATGATGTCATTGACAATTTTCAGCAGTATTGCAGGATTTGCGTTTTGGATGGCGTTTCTTTGAACGTATTTTTTTTTTTTAGAATACACTACACAATTCACCACAGTAAAAAAAACAACATGTAAATAAATTAACCTCGTGTATCTGAGGTACGAGAAAAAAAAATAGTACCAGTTGTACTTGTCTCAACAATTTCTCAAAATGATTTTTGTGTATATTGAGTCCTTCTCGTTTAAGCAGACTAAAGATCAACTATGGATAGCTATGAAATACTAAATGTAATAACATTTGTTACAGTTTGAGAACGGAAATTAATTGTTAATACTCTAAAGATCGATTTGAAAGCAAATTTCGGCTTCGCCTACCAAAGTATTTTTTTTAGAATCGCAACTGATGGGGTAGTTTGTAGCATTTAACGGCAAATATGTCAACGTCAAAGATACACGTGATTGTGGTTTATGTCAGTTTACAACACTAATAAAAGGTAAATTACAAAATGTAGCGAGAAGTGGCCTGATAAACATTCCTAATTCTTCAATCAATAAGTTGTCAGAAGAAGACTTTTTTTGACAATCATTCTGAAGCTGTATGGCAAAATACAGGGTGAGTAAAAAAAAGCGGAACCAAAACCCAAATAAATATCTTTCATAAAAAAAAAAAATACGTAGCGCCAAAAATAATTACGACTGGTTAGCCAATTTAATAAACTATATTTAGATGAAAACAAGTCAGGTGTGTTTACAAACACAAATGCCCCGCAACGGTGACAGTTCCCATGACATAACACCACTCTTTTAACATCAACTTACATGTACCTTGGTCACATGGAACATTCATTGACAGCATTAGTGTCTTCTGTAGGTTTTATATGAATTAATCCCTAATCCCTATAATCTCAGAATAAATACATGATTTCTATTGTTTTAGCCCTTGTGAACTTGACCCTTGACCTTTTGGCCCCAAATTCAATAGGCTTCTTAGGATTACCAAGAACAATCCACAAACCAAATTTGAAGTTCATATGTTAAGTATTTCTCAAGTTATCGCGCTGACAAGATTTCTATTGTTTTAGCCACTGTGAACTTGACCCTTGACCTCTTGGCCCCAAATGCAATAGGCTTCTTAGGATTGCCAAGAACAATCCACAAACCAAATTTGAAGTTCACATGTAAAGTATTTCTCAAGTTATCGCGCTGACAAGATTTCTATTGTTTTAGCCACTGTGAACTTGACCTTAGGCCTTTTGGCCCCAAATGCAAAAGGCTTCTTAGGATTGCCAAAAACAATCCACAAACCAAATTTGAAGTTCACATGTAAAGTATTTCTCAAGTTATCGCGCTGACAAGATTTCTATTGTTTTAGCCACTGTGAACTTGACCTTTGGCCTTTTGGCCCCAAATGCAAAAGGCTTCTTAGGATTACCAAGAACAATCCACAAACCAAATTTGAAGTTCATATGTTAATTATTTCTCAAGTTATCGCGCTGACAAGATTTCTATTGTTTTAGCCACTGTGAACTTGACCTTTGGCCTTTTGGCCTCAAATGCAAAAGGCTTCTTAAAATTACCAAGAACAATCCACAAACCAAATTTGAAGTTCATATGTTAAGTATTTCTCAAGTTATCGTGCTGACAAGATTTCTATTGTTTTAGCCACTGTGAACTTGACCTTTGGCCTTTTGGCCCCAAATGCAAAAGGCTTCTTAGGATTACCAAGAACAATCCACAAACCAAATTTGAAGTTCATATGTTAAGTATTTCTCAAGTTATCGCGCTGACAAGATTTGTCCGGACACACACACACACCCACACCCCCCCACCCACCCACCCACACACCCACCCACACACCCACCCACACACCCACCCACGGAAGGACAAGGCGGAAACAGTATGCCCCTTCGGCTTCGCCGCGGGGCATAAAAATTACTTCATTTGCTCAGTCCATTCAACTTACATCACCATTTAAACGAAATGACCCTCAAATCGGTTTTGTCCAAAAATGCGATTTCAAGAATTGTAGTTACAATTGTCTTCAAACATCACCAGCGACAAAACCTCAGTTTAAAAGTTAACAATATTCAAAAAGTCCTTTTGAAGGCCCGTCTTTGAAAAAAAAATGGATTTTGTAAATCCTTTTGTTAGCCATTGCAGGGTTGTTAATAAAGATATTGTGTACTACAGTTGTTGAAACAAGTATTCTGTGTCATTTTCTTTGTTGCTCCAAACAGTCAGAACACACAATAAATTGCGCTTTCATGGACGAAACTGATTTTAGGGTCATTTCGTTTAAATGGTGATATAATTTGAACGGATTGAACAATTGAAGTGAATTTTTTTTCATCTGAAAGTAGTTTATTAATTAGGCTTACCGATCATTTCTATTTTGGTGCTACATAATTGTTTAAATATGAAATATATTTCTTTGGGTTCCGCTTTTTTTGACTCGCCCTGTACTACATATTCAGGGCCGAAGTCCATAGTCATTCCGTATTCTCCGGCGTTTCTTGACCGTCCATCCTGGCAACTCGCGTGCCATCCTCCAAAATTTCACTGGTGTCCGAACCCTCTTCTCGTTCCGCCTCCAGCAACAATCCGGCTGCCCGTAGCTTTTCGAATTCCTCCCGGGACTCGAACCCCAGCCACTCGTACATCTCGTCGTCTTTATCGCTGTTGATGAGGTCCTTTGGACGATACACCGCACTCGGAGGGCCGTCCGACTCCTTGAGGAACGGGTTCTCCTCTGAACCGTAAAATCTCAACGGTATCGTCTGTGGTCCCAGGGTCACACTCGGGCCTGGGCGTGGCTTCTTGGTTTGTGTGGAGGGCCGGGGGTGGTCCAAGGATGGGAGTGGGCGACCGGTAGGGGCAAATGCACCGCCGACTCGCGCGGGATCTGTTAGGGCTTTCGCGTACACTCCTTTGCGTCTCGCACGGTTGATACTTGGCAAGACCGGCAAGTCTTTCTGAAGTGGACCAGTGCCCGCATCGTGTTGTTCCCTATCCGTGCTTGTGTTCATGTAAAAACGCTGCCCCAGACTTGCAGGTGGTCCAGCAACTGGTCTGCTGATTCTCTTATCGTTTGGTGGTGTGTCACCGACTTTACCGGCACGCATCTCAAGGGAACGGTCTTTTTGCGTGGAACTCTCCCCTGCCTTGCTCAGTTGAAGAGCAGGAAAACGCGTCTTAAGTAGCGGCATTCCGTATTTAGGATTTTGAATCTCATGCTGCGGGGTGGGCAAGGTGGTGTTCTCTGTCTTGGCTGGCATATCGACAGGATCCCGGTCCTCGGTGATTTGTTCCAGCTTGGCTTGGTTCCGCTGAGTCAGAGATTTGTGCTTGCTGTACGAGTCACTCAGTGCAATCAGCGACCTGTTGAGATTCGTCTCGTGCGCCATTTTGTGGGTGTACTCTCCCTTGACGTCTCGCCGTATCGACCCCACAGCCTCGGCTTTGTGGTTCTTGTGATGGAACTTTAGATTGGGTAGCATCCTTCGCCGTCTAGCAGCCCTAGTCTGCCGGTCCCAATCCTTCTCCTCCTCTTCGCACCAGGCCAGGTCCCTCTTCTCCCGTCTCTCCTTGTTCTGCTCCTTCAGCGTCTGGTAGAAGTCGAAGCGCCGTTGGACGTCCTTCTTTGCCCGGTTGAGCTCGGCGTTGATAAGCTGGTGAGTGATTTGAATGTGTTTCAGCTGGCGTTCGCCTTCCAGTTTGAACCCCGCGTGTCTCTCACGACCGGCGTAGGTCAGACGGGCGTCCATTTTCATCATGAGCGTCCGCGCGTCGTCTCTTTTCATGTTCAACTTTAGAGAACCTTTCGCCATTGTTGTAAATCGGATTAGGCCTGCCTTAAAACAAATCACGAATGATTCTATAGGATCAGGCTCGATTGAACGATGGCACTGTTTACCTAGTCTGTTTTTGATTGCAGTAGAATACGGCTGAATGAAAGTCCGATCGGCAACATCTTCCAACTAAAACCCCTTCATGCATGGCATGAACCTGTCGCGAAAAGAACGAAAAAAAAATATTAAATTCAATGTCATGTTAAAAGATACCATTGACGATAAGAAAATGGTCGATTCCTATAACACTTTTCCTTAAACAAGTTTGCGTGTACAAGTTTGCGTGTATCACTGCATCAAAACGACACATACAGTTAACAACTTAGGTTGCACCGTGCGAAGCGGGTTCCTTTTGGACTGGACGAAGCTGTAGGCCTAAAGCAAAGATAATATTGTAAAATAGAGTAGAGGTTGAAAGAGTGGTGTGTTCATCAAGTACAGCAGTAAAAGGTTCAAGTGACGACATGATACAAAATGTGAGTATAGTTTGGGAGATGACCCATACGTTCATAATAATTACTGAATTAGGCCTACGTATAGCCCCTCGGTTATTTGCATCGGACTGTACACAATCAAATTGGAGATGATTCTCCCTTCTGTCTTCTTAACCAAGCGACCCGGCCAAAAAGTAATTATTTTCTGATTCCGAGCCAATTAGGCTCTGATGAAAAGAGGCGACCACGAGACTGCCGTGTGAACTACACCTGTGTTTGCGGTTAGTTTGAAATGAAATAATGTGCATATAGGAATATGGAGCTCCAAAAGTGGAGACCCCAATTTCCCTATTTTCTGCTAGCTGTATTTCCGATTTTTGAAGTTGCACAAACCGTTTAAAAAATGTCAATTTTCTGCTAGCAGAAATTTACATTTTACTTTTGACGACTTAACTCATTCGGCGCCCCAAAGGTGGACAACTAAAAGTCCAAAATTCTCACTCCAGCAGAATTTTATGTTGCCCCAAAAGTGGACAATCCCATTTTCTCATTTCTGGCTTGCAGAACTACTGATTTTTGAAGTGCACAAACGGTTTTCAAATATGTCAATTTTCTGCTACGGCAGCATTGTGGTTTTACTTTGAAGACTCTCTCTCGGCGCGATAACTAAAAATCTCAAAATTCCTAACAGAAATTTGGGTAGAACATTGCAGACATCAAAATTCTCATATATGCCGGTATGTCATTCGGTCACATTGGACAAAGGAAAAAGCAAATTCTCTACTGAAAAAATTGCTTTTTGCTATTATACGAAATAATTTATCTCGTCCATTGACACATCGATTGCTACTTGAATGCGGCTGAACAGACCAGGACCATAGCAATCTTATGCAAGTTTTCATCTCGGAGTGTATTTTTGTATGATTATAATCAATCATCATCTATTGTGTATTAGCTGTATATGGAAACAAATGTCTATCTGAATTGAAATTGAATTGAAAAAAAACCTATTTGATTATGAACAGAAATATGAAGTAGATTTTTGGAATGCATTCAGCGAAAACTGTTATAGCCACTGATATATTCACGAAAATGCGTAAAACAAGTGGAGGCTCCTCCACTGAATGGAACTCTCATCGAAAGAATTATGTCTAAAATGAAACCACTTTCGAGTAAAATGTGTGACCAGTTTCTGCTTAGAAAATTGGAGAAGTTCTCGTTTCTTTAGTTCGGTCCATGTTCGGTCCACGACCAAATTTCCACCAGCGCAATGTAGGAGATTTCTGGTTTCTGCAAGAGCTTCAACCCAAGTTTCTTCCATAGTGAAATTTTGAGATTTTTAGTTATCTACTTTTGGGGTGCCGAGAGAGTCGTGAAAGTAAAATCCAAAATTCTGCTGGCAGAAACCTGACATTTTTGAAAGCCGTTTGCACAACTTCAAAAAATCAGACATTTTGCTAGCAGAAACACTGTAATGGGAAAATGGGGTTGTCCACTTTTGGGGCATCATAACATTCTGCTGGTGGGAATTTTGAGATATTTTGTTGTCCACGTTTGGGGCGCCGAGATAAAATCCAAATTTCTGCTAGCAGAAAATTGAGTTTTTTTTTTTAAAAACGGGTGTCGCGACTTTTAAAAAGCTAAAATTCTGCTAGCAGAAAATGGGAAAATTGGGTTGTCCACTTTTGGTGCTCCATAAAAGGAAAGCAAAGGAGGAATACCCTGTTATTGCATTTGTTTGCTTTTTACTCATATCGAAATAACACGTATACTACCTCATTGTGTCAAGCAGTTGGAGAAAACAGGTTTAAAGCAGTCAACGTCTTTGGTCTTGGTACAAATGGAGATTTATTGTTTCGCAAGTGAATGGTGATTAGAACATTTAATTTCCCTTAATATGCCCCATGTTATTTCCCTTTCTGAAAACTGAAATGAACTGCGAACCAAGTTTTAAACAGCCCTGTTGAAGTCTTAAAATACACACTTTGGAAACATGTAGGCCCTATGCGTAATCCATAAAACTGGTAAACTTTGTGAATCATGTTAGTGCAAATTGGCCTAAATAACACATTATCGTTCATACATACTTTTGCTCGCACTAACATTGCATTTAAGACTTCTCGACCATCCTTTTTCAGTTCCTCCGAAGCATATAATTTTTAACGTTTCAATCACATTCATACTGCAAGGGAACTTTGCATTATGGACTACTGTAGCGACAATAATTTGGTTCTGATTTTATCACTCCGTCAACTGAAGGTGGAAATACAGGAGATATACCTTGATATAATGTTGGAGCGATTTGATTCATTTAGCTTGTATGAAAATAATGGTACACCGCCTTCAACATCTCTCAATCCTCATAAAATACATGTCTATAAACCAAATTTTCCTCCATATCAACTTACCTCGTCATATATCCTTGTTGAAGTTAGGACATCAACTGGGAAGAATGGTTGCGCTGGTTATGGAGCCGACATTTACATATCACGCACAATTGCACTGTTGCCAGGAAACTCTTAAAGGGGGACCAAAATCGAACAATCTTGCGATGATGTGTTGCCTGCTGCGTGTATCTCTGTAACACTATAGGTAATTTCCATCAAAGGCAAGAGCATTATTATTACCTTTAAAAACTTTCAAAGAAACTCCAGGCAGACAGTTTTCGTTCCGCAACCAGGGTTTTTCCATTCAAGTCGGCAGTTATTATTGTGCACGTTGCAGTTGCGGCGACAAAAGAACTATTGAAATCGTGTCCCTCAAATAAAACATAAAATGCATCAACCCAGCTCCGCGAACAATCACGATCTCTCACCACAGCCAGAAAAAGGAATACCGGCATTTGAAAAGCAGTTTGTTAGACAAAAGTACCATAGTATGGAAAATGTTCCCCTTAGCCTAGGGACACGTATTCGCTGGCTGTTTGCCGGGAAAATAAGTGCGACAAAGTTCATATCCGGGTTTATTGATTGAAATGTTCCAAAATACGTCACACAGCCTGCCTTCCTAATCCAACGCTTTATTGTCCTATCTAGCCAGGAGGCGCAGACTCAATAATAAAAGTCTCCCTTTAACACCCAAAATCAATTTTATGCCATAGAGATAAATTGGGTGAAACCATGCGCGTTTAATGGGCTCTCTGTACCTTACCGGCCGGGCATTTGGAGTTCGTTCAACTCGCCCAAGTTCCGAGAACTGTTCTTAAATCCTCCATGCTTCATCAAGGAGTTTCAATTAATCGTCTTTTGTTGCTCATTGAGCGGCCATGAGTTTGATTAAATCATGAACACTCGAGTATGCAGTGACGTTGTTTGTTTCTTAGACGATTTGAAATCTTAAGCTTCATGGCCCATAAATTTAATGACGTCGGTTTCAGTTGAGTAATGAACTGTTTATGTCAACAGAGCAACATAACGAGCTGCACACAATAGTCCATTTGAATACAAGGACGTGACTTTTGTTGTCACTGCAAAGCACTTGGCTTACAGAATTTGTCAACAACTTACAACTATACTTATATAATCCTAGACGACCACCAGTGAGTCAGAATAATTTCAATAAAGATCTTCATCGTTCCATTTACGTTGATGTTTACAAGTAATGCAACGATACAGTTTGGATAAAATTTCTGGATTTGGATCTGGATCATGGATCATTACCGGTATATTCCCACAAAATGGTCCCGCATCACATCAGAGTTTCCATTGATATAACTTTAGGCCAACAAAAAAAAGTCTCCGGTTTCTGGTATGCGCGCGCGTCGCCGTAGCCATGCGCGTCGGCAAAATGAAAAGTTTTTTTTTCAATACAAGATGATGTCTCAAAACCGCCAAACTCACTGGTTGGACTGGAATCCTGCTGCTGCACAATTTTAACGTGTTTTTAGATGGGGTTGTTATCGAGAATAAGCTTTATGTGGCCTCTCTGGACTCCCATATATTTGCACTAAGTTTAGTCGGGCACCATTTGCAGTCATCAGCCGACATTTGAAGCCAAAAAAACAAAAAAAACAGGTAAAAAAAAAAAAAGCCGCGTCGCCGCACCACTTTTGGGGCAAGCTCCATACCAGAAACCGGAGACTTTTTTTTGGGCCTTATATCCAAAGATTTCATTCGATATCCTTCATTCACCTGCCAATAAGCCAATTCGGTATTCCAACTACGCATGTGCACATCAATATTTGATGATTTTTCTTTCGGGATAAACATTTCATCGTATACAGGGGCGTCAATCGCTCCTCAAAAGTTGGGGGGGGGGGACATACCTTGATCAGAAAAAAACTTGTTGAATCTTGTTGTGCACCAGACTATTTTAGAATAACTTTCCCTCTTTTGCGTGCGGGGTAAGGAGAGGGGTGTGGATGTGTGCTGCGTGTTGTTCCTGATTGACTACACTGTAAAAACTCCCTGGTCAAAATTGACCCAGAATCCGCGTCTATATCTGCACAACCCTTTTCCGGGTCAAAATGTACCCCTTTTTGGTCAAAATAAACTTTTTCCGGGTCAAAAATGACATTTTTCTGGATCATTTTCACCTAGAAAAGCGCCATTGTTTTTTAGAGTGTACTTTTTGAGACTAAAAAAACTGACGAACTACCACTTATCGATTCGGAGGAAAGGGTTGAAAAGATTGTATGTCATTTTGCAGTACAACGCTTCAATTTATTCTCATATATGGGAATAAATTGAAGCGTTATACGGCGGAATTATCCCAACTAATTTTTGGGGGGTTGTGTAGTATAAGAGGTATCGCTGTTTTTTTTTTGTTCAATAAGGGATGGGAGAGGGGGTGTGAGAACACACCTGCTTAACGTGTTTAATTCATCGTCTCATTTGGTTTCCTCATTTTGACAATTTAAAAACAAAATACCAACTCATGTAATGTTTCTGGATATATTCTGCCTTTATTTTTTCGTATTATATCTTGGTATTAAACGTTTGTGCATTCCTTTAAAGTCTTCATAATTTATCGTTGATGCAGCGAATGTGTCAAAGTCACAATATCAGAACTGCTCGAGTATTTGCAAGTTAGCATTCATAATTGCTACCCTAAACCACGATGAGAGAGTACATTCTGTACTTCTGTCCTAGACCTTCGTTTGAACTTCATCAGCTTATCTTCAGACACGCTCCGAAATTGTAAAGTTTTCCCTGCACATGCGCTGCTTGCTGAAATACTAAATTATGGCCATTTCCACGAAATAGTCCCTTTTTAATTTTTTTTTTCACTATTTTTTTTTTTTTTACATAATTACAATTCTTTTGCACCCCAACTGTTCACGTCATCGACCTTTCTCAGCAACATCGCAATGTTTTTCCAGTCATTAAGGGACTGTATAGAAACAAAGCAGTTTGAACAACATCACAATTTTTGACAAGTTGACAAAAAATTGCGATATCGTTAAACCATTCACTGCAGAATAATAGGGTTGTGTGCCAAAAAAATATCACTTCAGCGTGAACAAGAGAGTTCAACGTTTTGAAGCAGAAATTGCAACGGTGGGAAACGGGGAAGCTTACGAGAAAAGTGTGGATATGTCAGATAATTGAGCGGAATGATTATCAAAGTTCAGCTCTGTAAACCTTCACCAGTTATCCTGCAATAAAATGAAATACAGGTACTATTGTGTATGACAGACACTTTAAGGGTAAATTGCCATCAAGCAGATTTTTCACTAGATAATACGAGAAAAATATATGGACGGAAAAGATAGCAGGACATAATTTATTCCGTGGAGTAACTCAAACGAGTGTTGTTGGTTCTCGTACCATTGGGACGAGACGAACACAACAAACATGACTGGTACAATACATTACATTCCCCAGTGATCCTCTACAGGGTTATACGGTGATGACGTGACTTGGAAATGTAGTTGTTGTTTTTTCTCACTCGTAAAGGGGCTTCATATTTGGAAATGAATCATTTCAAGAATACATTGGGTACCAGTTTTATTTTTATTCAGCCACGCAGTATGTAAACCGGCCATTTTGACAGATGATGGATAAGCACCACGTGGTTAAGGACACAACATGCCCACTTCACATAGGCGGGCACCTCATACAAGTCCTATGCATACGTTATGTACAGAGTACAAAGCGCAAACCATCCGAGCGACTAGGGCCTATACCATCGTTATTAAGGTTGCCAGAAGTAACTTTTCAGGTCTTAACAAGACACAGGCGCACATCAGGGAAAGGAGCCAGTATAGTGTCCTCTGAACGGAAACTGTTATCCGGGCACGTGATCACTGTACACTCACGGGAGGCCCCCTTTAATGGCGGCAGTATTGTGGTAGGTGTTGAACAGAGCAACTGCTCTACGACAGTTATCCTAAACAATATCTCTCTCCAACGAGGGGAGCATCCGTGATAGAAGTGCCAGCGTATACCCGGATCGGTCTATAGGATAAGGTCACACACTGTAAAAAGTCCCGGGTCAAATTTTGACCCGAAATTCGAGTCTCACGGGGCCTGACACTTTTCCGGGTCAAAATTACATTTCTTTGACTCATTTTCCGGGTCATTTTGACTTGGACAAGTGTCATTTTGACCCGGAAAAGTGTCAGGCCCCAAATCAGGCCTCAAGACTTTTTGGATGCCAAGCAAAATGCACTCTAAAAAGTCCCGTGTCTGATTTGACCCGGAATATGGGTCATATTTGATCTGTATGAGGGTCAAAATGACAATACTCTGGGTCAAAATGATACTACTGCAAAGATCACCGGGTCCAAATGACCCGAGGAGATCATCAAAAGAATTGTCATGTTGACCCGGAGAAGAATCACTTTGACCCTGAAATGAATCAGCTTATAAATATAGAGGTGAAAATAATCAAGAATGGCAGTGAAGGAAATATTCCAACAAAAGTCACAGACGACTGGCAACCTTGATAATTAGTAAACAGCATCACACAAAAATAGCACCAAGTATACTAGTAAAGATGTGGTCCCTGACATCCGTCGATATTACATAATCGCACAGCTCGTGTCAGTTTTAACAGTACATAAAGCAGATAAAAATCTATATTTTTAAACCAACAAATATTTAAAAAATAATTTATTAATAAATAAACAAGTACATAAATAATTTAACAAATAATAAGGATAAAACCCGCAGCTCTTTATATATATAAAAAAAAAGCGGATTAAGGTTATTATCACCCTTTATAGAATCTTACACATTTGTAAATCCAGCATTTTGCTGAAATATTGTTTAGAGGAATAAATTAAACAAAATGGCTGTCGATTTCAGCTTGAGCTTTGAGTGTAGACTCCATTTTGGACTCAATCTCAAGGTGGGGGGGGGGGGGGGGGACACGGGGCCACTCATTTGTTATGGTCTGGGACTCACGTCTTGACTCAGCAAATGTTGATTTCGTGGTCTTGATAAAGTCCACAGACCATGGACACTTGTAAGAAGTATGCTGGACAAACTGTTATACAGGATGTTTACATAGGCTTAACTGTTGAATCGGCATGAACAAGGTGACTGTTTTGAGACAGTGGATACGGTAGGTTAACTAGTGTGACATCGGTAAATCATATTAACCCATTCATACTTGCCACGGGTGTTCATTTCAGGCCTATATAGCCGAAAGTGGCACTAATCAGTTTTGGAACCAACGAAATTATACAAGAAAGCTGACTTAACTTAGGCAAGCGTTACATACAAACTACCATAGTTACTTTCATCCGCCATTGCAGTTGAACCCCATACAAACTTTGTCTTCATCAGATCCATTAACATTAACAGCATGGTTACACTTTGCAAACGACGTGAAGCTGATCTACCAAAGTTGCCTTTTCCCGTAGCCTTTTCAAGAGCCGTCAATTTTAGAATGCGAGCGTATTTATATCACAGCCTCCAAGTGGAAAGTTATTATTGGTTCTAATCTACTTATGTCTTCTGTTAGTTATTGCCAGTTGAACTTTACATGAGTAGGCCTATTTGGAATACAGCCAAATGGTCGGATACCTATAAAGCATCACAACGTCACACTTGCATTAATTTCAATAATATATAGAGGATGTTACTGTAGTAAATAGAATGACATTGTAAGAAGATTGTACACTCGCAGGTACAACCGATGTGTTGAGACTGAGCTGCTCATAAGTCATCCGACAACATTTGCCCTTTTGACCACATTTTATTATCATTTAGATACAAGGTACTGTGACTAACTTGGTTCAATATATATAAATAGTTCATAATAGTTTGATTTTAAAAAGCAAACTGCAAGTATGCAGTGAAACCACATACACACACCATTGTATATGCATATTTTGCCGTCTTCACTTTGTAAATGTGAAAACCGTACAGTGCTCGTCTCTTGCCATTTGCGGTTCGGCAATTTTAGACGAACAATTCTAAACCCTGTAAAGTATTTGCCTACACGTTTTGATTAAAATTGGAGAATTAGTAGCTCAAAAAGGCCGAATCGGTATTTTTTTATGTCTACGGCTTGACCAGTTGCCATTTTATTGTGACTTTGTATAACAATGTCATCTGTAAACATTAAAACGTCCGATTCAAGCGCAGCTGAATGACTCTATTCATGACAAAGTACGTAGTTTGGTTCACATGATGTAATGGCCGTTTCATATTGGTACCCGGCCTTCAGGCGTTCAAGGAAATTGCCAGATGGATGCCATGATGTCGAGAACTAAAATCCGCATATTATCTGTTTTCAAATCTTAAGACCAGCTGAAAAACCCACATCGTATGGAGATCGGATCTAGAGGCATATACAATTCCCTTCTAAACATCATTGCATGTGTTTCCAAATGCAGCAAATATCTTTCTTTCCATACACGCTCGTTTGGAGCGACCCTTATGAACGGCAGGTCGGCAGTTACTGCACTTCAGTTCCGTTCCTCGTATTGCAGTCGACACTAATAATCCACAGAACGCGAGGCGTATTGCCACCACTATATTCCAAGTTACAAACACACAAAGTTTTGATGAGGGAGACAAGTTCAGACAACACACAATTTGCAGAGAAGCTCGGGAGTACTGTTCTGTTTTTGGATAGTAAATAGTTTATTGAGACGGATTAGGGCTGGTTTGCGGGTCATATGACCGACTCGTTGACAATTTGATTCAAGTCCACCGGGTAGCTAGAGTTACTGAGCGGGGAACATTCGTCGTCATCCTCGCTGCTACAGTCTCTGACATCACGCTCCTCGTGTTGTCTAGACCGCGAATTTGACGGGGGTTCCTCCGTGGCTGCCGCTGACTCTGCCCGGTCTCGCTTGACCTGACTCTGGTGGGCATGCGAGGCGTCCTTCCTCCTCTCCCCAGTAGACCGGCTGAGTTTCTTGGGCGGCACGGTCAGTTCCTCGGGAGGTCTAGACCCTGTCTGCTGGAGGTTGGACGGCACAAAGGTACTGTAGGCTGGAGGCGGCCGCTTAAAGTGTGAGAAGCTGTTACTGCTACTCTCACGGCCGTTGCCATCTTCGTTGGGGGAGCCGTTGAGATCGCTGGTGTTTTCCGAGCGACCGTTGTTGTTCTTCTTCTTGATGCTATTTGTGTGAAGTTTGCACGTCATCACCTCGTCTTCCTCCGTGAAGACTTTATGTGGCATACTCGTGAAGGCCATGTCTCTTCGAGATAACCTGCCAACAAAATAATAAAATACACACTAGATTGCTGTTTTCCTATCTTGAACTTACGCATATCAGAACAAGGGGCTGTTATAGACTAAAATAGTTTGCGGCTGACAAACGCGACACAACCGAATAAAGTGAAGCGGATGTCGAAGAGATTCTTTTGATTAATATTACAAATCTTGCACTGTGGAAATCAATAGAAACATGTTACCAACAAAAATCTGCACATTAGATATCAACTAGAGCGATATATCAGAATGATTAATAAAATGGTATTTTTTTTATAAAGCGTACGTATTCACCATTATTGGTGCTCACGCTACATCTATATTACCCTGCTCATTAGGCCAATGAAACATTCCAAAGACCATTTCAGCTCCCTGGGGAGTATTTAGCCCGATGCTGCCATTTCGGCACAAAGCAGGTAATCAACCACAAAACCATCTCTGCCCTCACAGGTACCCATTTACTCCTGGGTGTAGAGAAGCAATGCGTGGCAAAGTGCCTTACCCAAAGGACACACGGCACCATAGCCGAGGCTGGACTCAAACCCATAACCTGCAGAATTACCTACAGACCACGAATTCAATGCGAGGCCACGGCGCTCAACAAGCATTGTAGACATATGCTTTTCTACTGCATATGAAAACCTAATTGATGAAAACATGTCACTGAGGCTAGTGCTACTACTACTACTACTACTACTTACAGATCACGTCAGAAAGTGCTCAGAATCACTTTCGATTCCTTATGTGTTTCTTTTGTTGCCGTTTGAAATTCGATTAATGTATACTTAAGACGTTTATCGCCAAGTTTCATTGGGTGGAACCAAACCTCTTGTATTGTTCGATCACAAACAAGTGCCTTTTCGGTTTTTTTTAAATTTTCTGTGAGCGGTTAAGGGGTGCTAACGGTCAGTAAACATACCGGACTTTACTGGCAGATCCCTGCCAGGGTTTGCTTTTGTTCTTGATTGCAGCGTTGGTGTACGGAATGTCTGGTACCGTGATGTCGAAGTGCTGGTCTCTAACGATAGGTAGACTCATCTCGTACAGGTCGTCTACCGTCAGAAAGCTGACCTATAACACAGACAAGGAGAAATCATCACATATTTATTAAAACAACACTCGTACAATTTCACCTCCTGCCTGAAAATGAGAGGTCGAATCATTACTCTCTAAATTCCAAAGAGTGAAATTAGGGACTAGACATTTTAGAGTGAAAATCACTCTCATTTTCGATTGACATAGTCTGAAAAAAGAACCACTTCAGTCGAAGCTCGAGTGAAACCTCGATCTTTACGATTGACGAAATTTCACTCTAAAACATCTAGTCCCTAGTTTCCGACTGTCGGAGTAAATCTTCACTCGAATGGAGTGAATTTTCACTCTTTAGAATTTAGAGAGTATCTTTCATATGAATTAGGCGAACAAAATACGGCCATTTAAATGGGAGACATAATTTGTTTGCTGCCCTCTATTGACATTGTCACGACAAAGGCCTCACATTGACCTTCATGAGATAGTGAGGCCTCGTTTAAAGAGGGCGCTATTGAGTTTTGGGTAAACTCTATTCACATTGGTTTACACACTTTTGATTCCAGCCAAATTGAAATAGTTAATGAAATAAGTTTATGTTTCAAATACAGGCTGACCAGCATTGCGTAATTACAGAAGGGGGATGGCAAGAGGGCGACCTTGCCTCGTGGCACCCCCTCCCCGCTGAGAATGAAGACAAAAAGGAACTTTCTTTGTTGGAAATTATGACTAAACTCATTTGACAGCCTCTTCCAGTTAATTCGAACTATCAGCATGCCTCTTGCAAGGGGAGGAACAGGTTTATTACCACTGTCTAAATAAAACTTATTTGCTTCCGATGGGATAACTGGCTTCTTACCTGAAGGTTTCGGTCTACTATGAAATTCATGTCGAAGTCATCGTCGTCTTCACCAAATGGATTCATTAAATTTTCTGCTACCTACTCCAAACAAAAGCCAGAATAGTTCAAGTGTGTGTTAAAACCACAATTATTTTATACATGGATATTTAATACTGTAAATGTAGGTTACGGAATTTTAAACACAACCACCGTTTTATAGTTCTGTCCACGGATTAACAGAAGGTAAGTGTTCTTTCAGCAAAACGAAAACAAATCACATATAGGGATGCGTGCGTGTGAATTGTTTTGTTTTGCTGAAAGAACGCACACCTTTTTTTGTAATCCGTGGAAAGAGCTTTAAAACGGTGGTTGTGTTTAAAATTCCGTAACTTCAAAAGTACATGACTGATTCAAATGATTCTTATACTAAAAAAAGCATATGAATTGGGCTTTCTTATCCTAGATTTTGGAAGTGCTACAAGCATAGCTTCACTAAAAGAGAAGTCCCGACATTTGGGTTTCGCTTTTTTTTACTCAACCCCTGTATAGGCAGTAAACGTCAATGACAGGCAAAACTAATTAACGTCCAATCTCCCCGGCACCACAAATATTCGGCGAAATTAAGTCAGCAAACTTGACTATTATAAAATGTATAATCGACTGTTAATGAATATAATCTTGTTTCGTAATAACCCACCTTTAGCCATCCTACATAAAATACAAATTCCAGAAGTGTGAATCCTGGGAAGAACAGATCTATCGTGTGTCCCTCAAACTTCATCTCAGGGTCTAAGTATTGCCTTCCAAGGAGACAGGCTACGAAGTAACTATACGTTGCTATGGTGACGACCTGCAATAAAAAGAGACGGAATGTCTTTAGTCTTATACAATTAAGTTAAAATCGACAAAACTACATGCCCTTGGTTGGGTTATTAAATTATCCATTGGATGGCCGCTATATTCTGTAAAAAAATTGATTGCATTCAATTCCATTGTCCACAAATCTAATAGACATTCCATTTCTGCAGATGTTAGAGTTTCTGGTAGCCATACTTGATTAATTCGAGCTCTGTTCAAGTGAAGGTAAAGTCTTCCACTCAGTGCAGACATGAATCAGCCGTCGCCTTGATATGTTTCCCTTGAGGTGTATTTGCAGACTGTCTTTTCTTTGATTGCCATGGGGAAGGGGTTCAGAGGTTACACAAACTCATTTCCACGAATTTCAATTTAGTAGCCACGTCTAGGCTCTCAACGCTAAACCCTTATACGACACAGGGGGCATTTTCTAGTCCTGTCCACAAAAGGGAGCACCGAAAACCGCGGTTTAGATTCAATTTGAAAATCGTAATAATTTTATGCGGGGCCTGTACGAGCAATGGGAAGATTTTTACCCGTTACCTAACGGCAGAGGGCGCACGGTTATTGTACTACATGGGCGGAAATATAGTTATTTCGGTCAGTGCGTCCACGGCCGGCCACGCTCACAGGTTCAGTGCTAAACGCCCTCAAACATTATGATGTTAAAAAGGCCCATGTATTGGAAAGGAGTACTTCAAAACTATTGCAGCAATCTACAAAATGAGGGTGGAGCTAAGTGGTTTATCTTGCCCTCAGATTTTGTCTCTCGGCCGCATTAAAAAAAAAACCCGGGAGTGGATTGAAATAAATATGGCCATTAAAACCATTTTGTGTATAGCCATGTTAGCGCATGATGCCACAGATCATAATTGAAGCTTAAACAATGAAAGGATGTGATTTTGACGATTAAGTTTTTTTCTTCTGCCATTTAATTCAAAGACAGCTGTCCTTGGCAACCAACTGCACTATCTTCCAAAGGCATTCTGTGCCATATACAGGGTGAGTAAAAAAAAAGCGACACCCAAATGTCGGGACTATTGTTTTAGTGAAGTTCTGCATGTAGCCCTTTCAAAATCTAGGATACAAAAGCCCTATTCATAAGCTTTCTTTTAGTACAAGAATCATTCAAATCACTCATGTTCTTTTTAAGTTACGGAATTTTAAACACAACCACCGTTTTAAAGTTCTGTCCACGGATCACAAAAAGGTAAGTGTTCTTTCAGCAAAACGAAAACAAATTACATAGCTGTGTGTGAATTGTTTTCGTTTTGCTGAAAGAACGCACACCTTTTTTGTGATCCGTGGACAGAACTTTAAAACGGTGGTTGTGTTTAAAATTCCTTAACTTGAAAAGTACATAAGTGATTTGAATGATTCTTGTACTAAAAGAAAGCTTATGAATTGGGCCTTTATATCCTAGATTTTGAAAGTGCTACATGCAGCACTTCACTAAAACAATAGTCCCGACATTTGGATTTCGCTTTTTTTTTGACTCACCCTGTACAGTAATGTGATTCTTTCCTCGAAAACACGCGATCAATCTTTTCTCAATTGGCCGGGGACAGCCTAAAAATAACCCCGAGTTCACGACAGAAAATGTCAGACGTATTATTTTCATTCTCAGGACCGTATATACCGAATATACAATCCAATCTCGGAATAATCCTAGAAAATTACAAAAGGTGGCAGTCTGCAGGGATTTGCTTTTGCTGTCATTTTTTTTTTTTAGAAATGAATGGATTTTGGGGTTAGTGTTTTATAGCAAATATTGTTACACTGACCTGTTTAAAGTTTTGTATTCAAAGATGCTGGAAAACCAAGAAAAAAATATTGCTGTTCTTGTAGTCATAATAATAATTTTTTTATGGTAATTTGTTTTTGATGTTTGCAAATGTTGCACACCTTTAAGGGCAAACAAATCTGCCCCCTTCACATTTAAAATTAAACGTGTGGAACGTATTTTTAAATTGTCTAGCAATGTATATTTTATTCAATTAAAGAGCAATTAAAAGGAACCCATCAATACAATTTCAGAGATCACCGTAATATTTTAGGGACTGTAATTTTGTCAAAACTTAACAAAATGTCAATCTTGAACGTGCCACTTCCGGTTATCGAGAAAGTAATACATAATGCATGTAAACACATTCTGGAATAGACTATGAGTTGTTGTCCGGGAAGGTCGTTTATTTCAACTTCTGTCGAGTTTGAAAACGTGATCTCGTTTTTCTTCAGAAGTACAGCGTGCCAGTTGAAGCAGTTTACAGCACTTCACTAGCTTGTCTTTACCCTATTAGAGATTGATCGGTCAGTTAATTTCTGGATAACGACAGATCATGTACAATCGCTTAAACTGCGAGCACAAGAAATGCTCAATAATGTTTCAATGGGTAATGTTGTGAGAAAATTTCCCGTTGTTGCTTTAAAATGTCGCAACCTTTGAACAAAGCTACGCTGATATTCTAATTTCGCGGGTTGTTTGTGCTTTCAGATTGTTTAATCACTCAGGCTAAATCGAATGAGAGATCTCTGTTATTCTTGTGCCGTTGTCTGGCACCACTTGCACAGGGGTAATCGCAGCGTAGGAACCCGGGTAAAGTGCCGGGTATATATATCATATTGATACTCTTAAATAGATCTACAAGCGACCTAAATACATTGCTAATGACGAACGGCGGCATGCATGTCACCATCTCGTACAAATTCTCCCGCTGTATGCTCGAGGGCACGTCGCAGGCTAAGTGCAGACACGTGCATTTTCATGAAGCGACATTACGGTGTGGACAACACAATGTATCATTTTGGATTCACTGCGTTCTTTCCTCGGCGATGTGTCTAGTCTCTGGCTATATATCCTGATGAGTGGCCACCCGCTGAAAGATGTGCAAAGCGGTGAATTTTGTTCTGAACCAATTACGATAATACTATGCTCTGCTCATGGTTCCTCAATCAGTCTTGATCAGTATCAAAGTGGATTTTGTGCTTTTTGACGTTGAGGTCGGTGAAGAATGCTTAGATATCACAGGCAATCACAGCCAAGAGTCTTATCTTGTAAGGAGAAGTCTTAAGCATCTTTGCTTTTAGTTTAAACAATGCTGGGAAATCAGTGATGAGATTTCCAATAAGGAATTGCTACAATGTTTTTTTTTTTAGTGTTTAACAATGCTTGCTTCTATTTGTTTGCTCTCTAAAGTCCCAGCGGTTTGATTTATGTGGCTAGATCGATGTTCATTTCTGTAGCTTTACGAATGTAGCTTTTCATTTTGTTCTGCAGCCAATACGTTTCGTTTCTTCGAGTTCTGAACTTAAAGCGCCACGATCTCCTTTTCTCGAATAATATCTTCGGATTATCTTCGTCGTCTCCCTTATCATCTGACCTACACCTTTAATAGCCACCGCCCGTCATTTTAGTGGACACTACATCGATCCCACCCGCACGCAATTATAAGCTATCCCTGCAAACAAATTTGATATCTCGGGAAAATGTTAGCAGGCAGTTTTTAGTCATGCTGTCCTCACTCAGTTTAGTTCATTCATTTACAACCACACACCGCTGTCTGGTTTCGCAAATCCAATCGCACATATCGGACATGGAATCACCGCAGTCTGGTTTCGCAAATTCAATCGCACATATCGGACATGGAATCACCGCAGTCTGGTTTCGCAAATTCAATCGCACATATCGGAAAATGGAATCACCGCAGTCTGGTTTCGCAAATTCAATCGCACATATCGGAAAATGGAATCACCGCAGTCTGGTATCGCAAATTCAATCGCACATATCGGACATGGAATCACCGCAGTCTGGTTTCGCAAATTCAATCGCACATATCGGACATGGAATCACCGCAGTCTGGTTTCGCAAATTCAATCGCACATATCGGAAAATAGAATCACCGCAGTCTGGTGTCGCAAATTCAATCACACATATCGGAAAATGGAATCACCGCAGTCTGGTTTCGCAAATCCAATCGCACATATCGGACATGGAATCACCGCAGTCTGGTTTCGCAAATTCAATCGCACATATCGGAAAATAGAATCACCGCAGTCTGGTGTCGCAAATTCAATCGCACATATCGGAAAATGGAATCACCGCAGTCTGGTTTCGCAAATTCAATCGCACATATCGGAAAATGGAATCACCGCAGTCTGGTTTCGCAAATCCAATCGCACATATCGGACATGGAATCACCGCAGTCTGGTTTCGCAAATTCAATCGCACATATCGAACATGGAATCACCGCAGTCTGGTTTCGCAAATTCAGTCGCACATATCGGACATGGAATCACCGCAGTCTGGTTTCGCAAATTCAATCGCACATATCGGACATGGAATCACCGCAGTCTGGTTTTCGCAAAACTTCAGTAAACGTACGACAATTTTTTTTCTTCTTCAGAGTCTCGAGTTAAATTGGGTCGCTGGGATCGATCAATTTACTGCGCTTCGGTGGTAATTTGTCGGGAGTGCATTAGCAACGGAATAGAGAAATTCGAAAAGAGCTTTTTAATTTTGCAGAATTTTTATGTGTGTATTCAGAATCGAATGATGACAACAATGGTCACTATCACTATTTACAGAGTATAATTTTAAGGACGTTCAAATCAATATGCGAGAATAATGCCATTGCTTAGTATATTCTGCGGTTACATCACGTAGGTTTCTCTCACAGTTCAGGCGAATGTAGCTTGCGGAGGCGAGGTTTTGTGCAGTGTTTAATTTGAGAGCTTGGTTTGTGCCTAATAATCAAGGCTAGAGGCGATTGATATACTGCTGACAACTGACGGATTTCCGAAAACATTGTCCCTGTTTCATCATCCTCAGATCTGCAATCATGAGCTGCATTCGTTTTTTTTTGTATTCCGTGACTTTGTTGCGTAAACATCCCCGGGAAGGATTCCGTGTCTTGAAAGGCTCAAATATCAAATCAGTGCAGCACCTTGAGGGCATCTCCGTCTGTGTCTTACTCTTACTACACGTCTTGCCTCTTTCTGAGCCTCAGCACACGGCATCGATCGTGGTGCGGCACAAACTACGTACTCTCCTTCACTAACTAACGTTTAAACACTTGGTGTCAAAACTGCACATCAGACGTCTGCACTAGCAAGCAGGAGGTCTTGGGTTCGAGTCCCACCCGAGCAGTTTGTGATTTTTAGCTGCGGGATAGCAGCTCAACAAATCATCACGTCTCTCCGTTAGTCCGTTAGTTAGTTAGTAACAAACGCTGACATTGTCTATTGCCCCTACATATTTTGACCGACTTCAGCCAAACTTTGTCAAAAGTATCAGTAACCCCAAACCTCGTCCCCAGGGTGTCGAGCAGTACGCGCCCACTATACCTGCTCTGGTATTGGATCATTTGCAATTTTTTTAACACGTATGCAAATGAGGAATAGTCTGGTGCCTGCCTGTGCGTTACATTAGCGTTTGTTTTTGTATATGTCTGGGGTAAAACCATTGAACTCCATATACACAGGAGATCAATGGGTAAAACATAATCAATTCGTCGCGCCGTGAGTTACAATAACACGATTGTTTTCGAAGTTAAAATGTTACAATCTTATCCCGCCAATATGCAGTATCACATTTCATATTAATATGAGTAAATTAGAAAGGAAAGAGGAGTGTTTTTTGAGAAGGCGTGGACGTTATAATTACAATGATCGTGAAAACACGTAATGCACGTTGGAAATAACAACACCAAGTACACGATATAAATCCATTACTAGCCTATTGCGGTATCGGATCAGGATACAGGAAGAAAAGGGCTTACTATTGGAAACGAAGTTGGAAATAATGTAAGCACTGGGGAGGAGGTTGCAGTAGCCCAGCCCCACCGTGTGTTGTGTAATCCAATGCACGTAAAAGAACCCAGTGACACTTATCGCTAAGAGAAGGGGTTTGCCCCGGTGTTTCTGGTCTCCAGTATAAACTCCCACGCGGAGTAAGGAGATGAACCAACCCAGAACCAAGAACATGTCACATGACCAAACTGCGGTCAAAGGTCATAAGGGGTCACAGGGGTCAAAAGCCCGATTTTTTAAAACTCAAAACACTACTCCTTCCAGAAATTACATGGCACACTCAAGTGACTCATGCATGAACACGTATTCGTTGGCCCGCAGCTGCCGAGATCCGAACGAGCTTGTTTCCTCACAATCACTCGTATACAGTGTTTACATAAATACGTTGGGGAGGGCAAAATCAAATATTGAATTTACTCATCAGTGCTTTCTACTGTTTTGAAGTCTTAAAGTAGAATATTTCCCAGAGGAGTGAACAAGCTCCCCCAAGAAACATCTTTTATTGTACCGTTTGAGATATAATTTGAAACATAATGTTAAACTTTGCAAATATATGTACACATTTTGGGTCTTTAAATTACTTTTGTTGTGTGATAAAACATTACAGAAAAGCAACTGAAGTCATCAGAAGGAAATGATCAGTATATTCTCCTTACCTGTGTATACACCAGTGGCACAATAATCCAATCGAAACCGTACAGCTCGTCGCATTTATCACGAAAGTTATTCAATTCCTATAAAACACACAACACAATGGGAAACAAAACGGTTGAGTAAGTTATAAATACTTCATAAAGAGTGAGAAATGTGGCATGCTCCGAGACCTGAGGTCAATTCTGGGGTCATATGCAAACTGTCCCATAATGCAGCGCATCGTTTTAAAAATGGATATGCCAACGGTGCTCTTGACTTCCAATTTTGTCGAGCTCTCATTGGACGGATTGTTTTTAGTTGGTGACCCAGGGTCAACACTTAACGTGAGCGATTTGTATGCCCTCAATTTTTTTGGCTATTAGAGCATTCTGTGGCCCACTGAACTTGAAGGTTTGTAAAAAAGATGGGTGGAATTTGGATGAAATTCGTCCTAAAATTGCTCTATTTTGCAATGGAGCGCAGGCATTATTAATGGCGATCGGTCACAGGACTACATTTAGGGGTGATCATCTTTGGATGGAATTTTTCTCCCAAAAGTCATCAGATTACCACCCAAAAATTGAACAGAAAATGAAAGATGATGAAACAATTAAGCTTTAATTTGATTGGTGTCTCAAACACCTTGGAGAGTTGTATTATAGGTTTTCCCGGCCAATTTCCTACAATGTTCATTCACTTCTGAAAATCGGTCATTCGTTTTTCGTCTGAATTTGAGAATCGCTCTGAACACGCTTCATTTTCGCTACCAGAGCATTCGATTCCATTTCAGTTCAATCAATTACATGTAAGTGATTGAGCAGCACATTTCGTTTATGCTCATTCAGATTCGTTTACAAGACTTCCTTTTCGCTTTTAGAGGGCGATTTCAAACATTGGTCATTCTATTTCACTTTTAGTTCAACGTTATGTGCTGCATTCTGCTTTTTTGAATGAGAAAAAAGTACTTTTGATTGCACATTCACGAAATTGTATGCCAAAACTCTGCACGAAAAGGTATGCTTGCGTAAATGATGCACAAGTAACGTAATAGGCCGCCTGTTTCTCAAAACCGAATGCACGGACAATGAAAACGATTGAACTTTCGTTGAATTGAAATGGGATTAAAGACGTGCATTCAAATTCAGACGAAAACGAATGACCGATTTTCAGAAGTGAATGAACATTTTGGGAAATTGGCCGGGAAAAGCTATATTATAGGTTTCCCCGGCTATTTTAAAACGTTTATCATTCGAATTCACCGTTTCTAATATTCAAATTCGTAGAACAACATCGATTTACTGCACTTCCAATGTTTAATTTTGTCTTTTGTCAGACATTTTCAAATTCAGTTCAAGCAAATTCAAACAATGAGCACACGTTTTCGTCCCGGAGTATTCGATTTCGTCTCATCTACGCCGAACATTGTTATTCAGAAATCCAATTCGTCTAATTGATTTATTGAACACGAATTCGATCTCTGAATGCTGCCATTCGGCAACAGCTTAGACGAATTTGATCTGTAATGGCGAATATTCTCGACCCGGTGACTAAAGAGGGTGACCAATCTTTGAAATTGAATGGTAAATGACTAAACTGGTTTTGTTAAAAGCATGTGGATTTTTTTCTCGGACGAAATTGAATGCTAGAGTTTGTGAATTTGAAAGACGAATGCAAAACCTATAATAACTTTTGGAATACGCGTTATTATCACTGAGGTTTATGGGAGTCGATTTACAGGTCTGCACTCCGAATACAACCCGTGCGCACGTCACGGGATGTTGATGTACGTGCATTGATTATCGCCCTGACATACCCACAGTGCTTTGCAACGCCTCCGTTAATTCCACTGTCACATGAAAATCTGACTCCTATGAAAATCGGACCCCTATTTCCCTATTATTGGTTGATCCCTCGCACGTGACAGGTCACTCTCCCGAAACGATCCTAAAAATAGCATAGTATCGTACTCACGCGTGCGCAGTACTACCAATGAGTCCACATTTCATGGAGTCGGATATTCACGCTACACCTCAACATTTTGTGAAAGAGATCATCAGTCAGGGCGCCCTCATTTGGTAGGGTGTTGGGGACGAACGAAAAAGGAAACATGCAACATGCAACATAAAAACGAACAAAGTACCGGTGACTGTTTGAAATGCTGAGACCTTACTCTCACCAATGACTCTCTTAAGGGTCTTGGCACCAAGTATTCAGGTCACATATTGATGCATTCATCTCATTTTCACATGACATATAAAAAAGTCACGAGAATGAAAGAGGGAGATAAGGGCCTACACTCTAAAAAATCCCGGGCCAGATTTGACCCATAATCCGGGTCCTTTGGGGCCTCACATTTTCCGGGTCAAAATGACAATTTTCCGGGTCAACAAAATGAGTTACAGAAGTCTATTTTAGACCCGGAAAAGTGTCGCTTTGACCAGGAAAAGTATCAGGCCTCATGCGACCCGGATACCGGGTCAAATCTGGCCCGGGAAGTTTTTTAGAGTGATAGCAACTATGTAGCCTGCTTTCTTTTGCTTTCACAGAGTGGGGTTAGAAACAAAACTTTAAGATCCAAAAAAAAGAAGGAGAGAAACAAAAAACAGAAATAGAAATTGAAAATTTCTTGATGAATAAAACATCTGTGTTTGCAAAAGAAAATCCTTTAAGATACAAACAGCAGGTTCTTATCAATCTGCAGGACGTCGACACTAAGTAGACTAGATACCATTACAATATTTTCTCTGTCATTTGATGATCCCCGATTGGTATGCAAGTACGCTGCTAATGCATATTTCATGTGCAAATGGGGGAAAATGCACAAAATGACGTATAATTTGTGTCTACGTGAACCCATCACTCTCTATCTGGCAGCTAGGATGGACTCATTCCTGCTGAGGTAATGAAGCGCGACACAGCAAAACATCCGTATCACATGTCGAAATGGGAGCCGAGGGATGATCAGAAATGCATTTCTTTCCAGCAGGATCATTTTTTCCACAACGCATCAGGGGAGACACTCAGCGCGATCGCTCACACCGCCAAAAAAGGGTCATCATACATTCATCTGTTTGGCCATCACGACACAGTCAGTGATGCAAAGCTATTCGGGCGATGATAAAAAACATGACGCCGGGAATAATCAACAAAAGCGAAGTGACGTCATAGCTCCACATTAAGTAAAAATACGAGGATGAGGAGGAAAACAGACACATGGAAAGACTATCTCACTTAATTGGCAAATATCAAAATAGGAATGAATTACGTGCTGCAGGGATGCATAAGAGGCCTAATCGTGCAGTCGCTAATTGGGAAATGTAAAGAATGATTAACACTTGTAAACTTTTCCCGCATTTTCTTTATTTAACATTTATTATTTATTATTTATTAGATAATTTCTCAGACAAAATACAACACAATTAAAATGTATAATACAAAACAGTTTTTAAATTCAATTACATAAAAATAACTAGACACGACAAAGACGATCAAAAGGACAAACTAGACAATGTTGAGATTCAAGAAGCTATCACACAAAAAACATTAAAAAACATGAAACATTACATTGTACCAAAATGTAGGCCTGAGGGATTGCCTAAAAAGCTATTTCAAAAGCTTGCCGAGAGGCTCTCCAACTACAACAGTACAATTTGATTCGACACAGAAACAAACAAAACAAAGAACGACAAACAGACAAACAGGCACAAGCACACACAAACAAACCAAGCAAAACAAAACAAGCATGATACTGTGCGAAGCTCGCATGGTGATTTTACAAGAGGGTATTCTTTATTTGTGGATTTTTTTATTTCGTATTTTTCTTGCCAGAGCAGTTGAACTGTTTGCCGCTATGTTCTTTCTTTTGTACTACTGCCGATTTAATCAGCATCTTTCAGTTAGGCCTATATTACCTTATTTCTCTAGGGGAAAATCCATACAGATTGTTTTTGACAAAAATATTTGTGCTGTTTTGTCAATATGTCGCTGCAGGTTGCACTTTCTACCGTGCCGCGAGGTTCTAAAAACGGAAAAGATTACCCCCCCCCCCAAAAAAAAAAGGAAAGATGAGAGAAAAAGAGGAAAGAAAAAGAAATACGTCTATTTGTATTCGATGCTTTCAACGGAATGGCTCGAAGGAAGCGCGCGGACACAATCATGGACACGCACGATTTCTTTGCGCTTCATGCACTGCCCTTGTTTGTCACATGACAAATTGCAGAAACAGGTATGAAAGTACGGCAGAGAGCCGAAGACGGCCTACTGTTGTCCATGGTTGTCCAGCTAGAGAACACACTCACTCCCGTACTTATGAAGTCTACAACGCAATGTTCTTGTAAGGTGTGACAATAATTTTTCAAACTGAATTGCTAATTTCCAGCTTTCCAGTGAAACACCAACCAAAAAATGCCCACGATAAAAAATAACATATTAATAAAAATAGAGATTCTTAGTGTTCATCTAATAATTTCAAAAGTGTAAACGTATTATATCTTCTGGAATATATTTCAGAACTAATAACAACAGAGTTTTTATAAGACCAAGCAGAGTGCATACACTGAGTGACTGAGTGTTTTGTTGTTGTTGGGGGGGGGGGGGATGTCAGAATCATGATTTCATTTGTAATAATTCATAATTAGGAAATCTCCGTTGATTTCTTCAATTTATTGTTCGTACAAAATGACCCCGGTTTATCCGATCTTTGCAAGCAACCCAACACCCTCCCGTTGAAGGATGGACTGCGGATAATGCAGCAACTAGCTTGCAGAGATAGCGCATAACCAGGCTTGGATTCAAGCACAGGCGTATAATGGCGACAATCTCGGGAGACTGAGCAGGCACGAAGGATTGGTGTCAGATTCATTTTCCTCACAATATTGGGACCTGTGCTTTAATTAGAGTAGATCAGGGTCGTTATTGCCGGTTGAAATCTTGATGCGAAGTAAGAAATACGGGTTTCAGCTGAGTCAATGCGTCAGGTTCCGTTATGATCTCCGGGTTTTTTTGGGAGGAGGAGGGGATTCTCAAATTTAACACTTCTTCATTATACGGTATAAAGCCACTTGATCACGGTACGATGGTAATACCGATCGATAGTCCGAAGGTTCGTTAGTCCGCCCTTACCATGGACCACTTGTGGGGTACTTGTCCATTCATCGACCTACCCCGTAAGTGAAATCTTTAGAAAAAAACATCTACTGTAGTTTTCATAGCCCCGCAAGTGAAATCTTTAGAAATAGTGACAATGGGACAACAATGGAGGTACCCTGAAAGTCCATCTGGCTGGGATGTCCGAAGGTTCGACAGTCCGTTCTGACCATACCCCCCTTGTGGGGTGATGTTCCTTTCAGGACACATCACCCCACTATTTTCACAATAGAAAAATATCACCCCAGAAGAGAATCTTTAGAAAAAGGGAAAATGGGAACACAATGCTATCACCCCACAATTCCTTCTGGCTAGACCGGACGAAGTGTTCATTAGTCCGAAATAGAGTAAGGTTAAATAATCCAAAGGTTCGACAATACGATTAGACGATACAGTTCGATAGTCCGAATCGGCAATAAGGTTCAACAGTCCGAATATACAGCAATGAACATTATTGTCAATTCGGACAATCGAACCTTGTGTGCTTTCGGATAAATGAACTTTCAGACTACTGAACCTTGGTTTCACTTTGGACCAGACTACTGAACCTTCTGACTAATTAACCCTATTCTAAATTCGGAGTATCAAACCTTTGGACTAACAACCCTTGTTCGCATTAATGAACTTTATTTCATTTTCGGACTATTGAACCCCCGGGCACCCCGGGTATGGGAAATTTGTGTGTTCGGTCATTCCTGCAGATGGGAGTTCTGGGGTACTTGCATTGTTGTCCTTTTATCCCTTTTCTTTAGAACTTCACTTCTGGATTACCGTTTTTCTAAGGGTGGGTAGTGGGGTATGGCACCGTTCCCTAAATGTCCCTTTGTATGAGTACTCCACTTTGAGTACTTTGTATAAGTAGCTGTGGTAAGTACGGACTACAAGTCAAACCTTCTGATCAATAAACCTTCGGACTATCGAACTGTCGGAGTATCAAGCGGACCCCGGAATGACAGCTGTGATTTATGAACCCAGCGAGGTGTTTTTTAATTTGTTAATCAGCCTACCAATCATTCTACAAGTAACAGTCTGGTAACCCCAACCAGCTTGATATACTCACATCTACTATAGTTTTCATAGCTGGGTCGCTGACTATCCTCCCTTGCTTTCTCGTCATCCGTATCAGATTGACGAACCACACACAGGGCACCCAGTACTTGGGATGGGTCGAGGGTAGGTCCTTCAGTATGTTCTTTTCCTCTTCCGTTAGTATACCTTACCAGGAAATGTGTGATAAACACAGCCTTTTGTGATTAAATGGTAGTGTAATACATAATGCGTATAGGTGATAGGTTGGCGATTTGGTATACACTGTACATTCCGCAAAGGGTGACCGTTTTAGCCGATTTCGGCTAACTTTGACAGCATTTTTGTTAAAAAACGAGTTTGACAGAAAATTTGACAGAATGGATTTTTGTGGCAGATTTCTGGCAGAATTCTGCAAAAATGGTTATTTGACAGAAAAACAGCAAATTTGAACAAAAAAGTGTACATTTGTTTAAAAAAAAAAGCTTCAATCCTTTCAAACAAACCCTTGCATAATGGGACAGGTTGGCTGGTCTAGGTGCTGAGGTTCACTGGGAAACGGACTTCGTCATGGCCGGACCCGCATTTTGTCCGAAATTTACCAATAATTTCACAACATCTTTATGTGACTAGGTTGTTTCTTATGTAATTTGAATCATAATTAAGGCAATATTACCAATCTGCATGTGATTGTAAGTGTTTCTAGTGTATTTCGAGTGATTCTGGGGGAAGTTGGCACATTTTTGATATATCTGACAGATTTTTGATGTGCATTTAGCAGAATTCGGCTCTGACCTTACGGTCACCCTGATTCCGCACCTTTTACTTCCGCGGCCCTCGTTTCAAACCCCAGCCAGGTCGATATGTGCATGTGGTTTCCAGATGTTAATTCATTCCTTGGGTTTTTATTGGAAGATTATTTTCAGGTTTTCCTTTCTCCTCTGAAGCTGACAATTTCCTCATCTCAGTGTCTTTGTCCTGGATCTCCATTGGCGAGGTGCCTTTTTGTATAAAAAACTTATGAGGAACCTTTCGTTTTCATTGCAACCTTTCAATAGGTAAATACGTTTCCAAAACTTTCAATTGAATCCATATAAATTAAATTTTTGCTTCAGAGGGAAAAATATTCAAAGGGAACATGTATTAGGATTTTTGTGACTTAAATACATTTAAAACAGCTTTTTTGCCATGTAACCATGACTTTCCACCTCCCTTGTAGCAGTAAAAGGGACAAATTTCTACATTTTAATTTTTATGCTAATGAAAATGTCCATATTCATGAGCCAAAGTGTGATTTCATTGAAGGCAGAACAGTGGTGTCTACATAGCTTTGTATATTAAACTTTTCTTCATTTTCTTGGAGTAAGTTCCACTTTTTACTTGTTTATCATATTAAACAGCCTGTTTGGACAATAGTAGTGGCCACTATTTCTTCAAAACTTTCGTTGTGGGTAATTTTGAAGGGCTTAGTTTTGTACTGTTCATATGCACTTTTGACAAGGAGTGCCTTGTGTGACAAAAGCGAAATAGCGCCCTCTTACAGGTATTGATGAAAGGATTTACTAATGATTGAAAAACTACCACTTTCTTGTCACTTCCAATGAAAACAAGTATTAAGATCTTGTATGTATTGTTGCAACACATAGTAATATGCATGAAAACAAGGTGAGCTGAATTTCCACTGCATGTTTCCCTTAAGTCTCTCTTAATATAGCCTTCTGCTCGGGGGTATATAGTGGATACCAATATTTCATGGGCCATATCTACTTAGTCGAGCGCTGACTTTGCTCTCACCTGCTTCTACGATGTGCGTTAGCGTTGGGAACCTCTTCTTGACCCTTTTGCTACCGGCTCGGAAGATCATGATGGCGGATAGGTTAAGGTAGCGTACAAGGGTCCTGCGTATGATCCGGGCCTCTTCGTCGTTGCCTAACACGTGGGCTGCGATGTTGTACACACACCGGTCCGGCCAAGGGATCGCCTTGAATTGCGTCCACCATCTGCCCAGTGAATAGTCAATAAAACGGATTAAATAATTACAATGTATAGCTCCCTATGAACAAAGTTATTTACACTAAAAAAACAAACAAGTTGGGTAAATGGGTTGATATATAATAGACAATGTTGGTCAACATACCAACTGCCTACACTCTTGGGCAAATTCTTGCAAATAGTTGGTCAATTTTTGCCCGAATTAATCAACAATAAGGCAAACTCAATACTTATGTTGGGCAAATAACACTGCCCAACAATATCTTGCCAAACTTTTTTTTTACAGTGTAAAGATTGGTGGACTGCCAACAAAGGGTTCGGATACTTCAGTTGGTATAGCAATCCGTATGGTGATCGGGAGGTCGCAGGTTCAAGTCCATCATTTTTGGTCATACTTTGATTTTAAATGAAGTTATAAAGCAATTATAGTTCACTTTCAGAGTTTTATACATTTTGGGTAAATACCGATTTATAGAGATGCTGCAAAATGCGTGGGCAGGACCAGAGATACATCAACGCCATGCGCAAACGCTGTCAACCTATACCAGTTATGTCCACTATTCTCTAAAATACAACTTGATGCCTGTGAATGTACATGTAAACGTGAATCGCTGCGTTTATCAGAAAATTTGGTCGGTGTATATACACCAGTCCTGTCCGATTTAAAATTAGAGCTTATACGATTATGGTTTGTAAAGCTCTCCACATGTCACTAAAAGGTGTGTGCATTGCTCGAAATACTAAAACCGAGATTTGGGTGTTCAGTAAAGGTTTAACGCCACCCCAGTAATCACAAAAAAGTGGGCAGTGCACTCATGCACAGCGTGTCATGGGTCATGTTTTCTACACATATCGTTGCGCGATCTCCATACCCCCTCGGCATCATACCCCATGGCTCCATGAGCCAAAAAGGATTGCACGGTGGGCACATTCTGAACCAGCCTTATGAATCTAGCCCGTCGGCACAGCAGCCTTGCAGTCTAATTGAATCCCTGATTAGCCGATAATGAAATGAAATTGGGCACGCGACCGGGCGGCAAGCAGGCGACACGGGAAGCGACTAATGGGCCGTGGTAAGACAGACGAAGGCCCCTGCTATGCCCCGTGCAGTTTGTCTTTCTTGTAAAAAGATCAACCAAAGAAAAACAAACAACCCGAATCGAAAATGATGCTGTACTAAAGGCTCGCAGAGTGCATGACCTCACGAAGATTAAAATTTGGTCTTTGTTTAAAAAATGTCAGCTTCTTATTTAAATTTTTGTTTACCTTTTGAGTCACTGCCCTGACAATTTGGGCATCTTCTATGCACGAGTACTCCTCGTGAATAAATGCAAACTAATTTCCTTTAATCCCACAAGGGGCGAAACGTAATATGCATACTGATTTTTGTTTAAAACAAACCGCTCCACTTCGTTATCTCTGTGGAAAAGTCACAAATCCAGCACTGTTTGCAGGAAATGAAAGCAAATTTCGCATTTGCCCAATGCATATTGATTTAAAAAAAAAAGCAACCCAGTCTTCAATGGAGTTCAGTAGAATTGAACTTTCATGCGAAAACGGATGATTATGTTATTATTGTAAATCCCGACAATCCAGACAATCTATATCACTCCAAACTATGTTACATCTCAATGACTTAGCGTGAATGTATTGTACAATGTATCCTCAACTCTGGTATATCCAGAATACTTGTCGTTTCAATTTTAATTTTGGTCTTTGGAAGGTATCTTCTAGAAAATGAGATACATTTTTGCGACTATGGATTAGTATAAAATAAACGTTGCGTGCTGCCAGTATTTTCAATATTCAGTACGTCTTCAACTTATCTAGACTTTCATTGCATGCAGCCAGTTTCTACTTAGATAGCTGAGGGGAAACAGCGCCCCCAACGTTTTCATGTTTTACCGACCGCCAAAATGTTGCATAATTTAATTTGTTATGAAGATATGAAGGTTTTCTGCATATAGCTGAAGGTACTCCCTTTGTGATTTCACATTGTGACCTACAATGGCTGGAAGCTGTGAAAGCATGTGTACAGCGGTGGCCAAAACACCCCTCCGCTCGGCCGGTTATCAAATTAAAGGCCTCTTATTTTCAGCGCTTGATTTCATTACGGCGGCAATAAAATATTTATGCAAACACCGCAGTTGATGTAAAAGGGCCACCTGAAACGGTGTTCCGAGGAATTCCCGAAGGAAGGTCTTCAAGGCAGAGGCGCCCCAAGCGATGACGGGCTGGTTGCGGCATTGACCGGCCCGTCAGGCCTGGCTGCGGTATGCATGAACACTGGACACACGGTGACTCGTCTCCTGGTGAAACACTGACCTATATTATAACATGATCTAAGGTACACATTCATCTGTTTTTAGCTTCACATGGAAGGGTTTGACTGTCGCTGGAGGGCGCTCGACCCGATGCTCGAGCATATTATGCTAGTTTTGATCTCGATCCATTGTTGTAGTGCATGTCGGTTCTTGCATTTTGGAAGGTTTTGCAATAAACCCCTGAAAAGGCTTGAAACTGTCTCCAACAAATTCGTCCCTCCTTCCGATTCAAGCAGTAATGATAATTATGCCATCAGATTGAGATTTTTTGCCAATAATGCGTTGGCTCCAACAATGTACTATGTGCCTCATGTCAGCCTTATTGGCGATGGGAATGTTAAATGAGACCGATTTTGCGAGCTCTCAAGAAACAAAGAACCAATACCTCTCAACAGAAAAAGTGCACCTTCTATTTGATTGACATTGACATATAAAAGGTATAGGTTATAGAAGGTCTTAATATTGTCTGCAACCTACTCCCATTTTACGGACCAATAACACAAAATATGGCCGGAGACCCATACGTTGTGTGATCAAAACGGATATGTTGCAATAACTAAGGACAGTGAAATATGTACAATCGAGCTCAATCTTTGGCATATGCTGCCAAAACAGGCGGGGAGCAATCAACCGAAACATGGTTCAAAATGCAGCGATTTGGTTTTCACATAAGTTGACAATAGCCTGGCAGGTATTTAAAACGTAAGTAAGGTCCAAATATCACCGTAGTCAACTGATTGGGGCAAAGGTAGACTGAACAAGGGTAAATGGTGGAAAAAAGTTAAAAGCTAAAAATGGGCTAATAGGACGGAGGGAGTCGGGAAAATAACAGCTAACAACCTTCAACAATGGACCGATCCAGTAAGCCCCTCCCACTGCGCACGTGGGCAAATTAACACGTGCTACTCTCCAATGCCACACTGCACTTTCCTGCCGCGCGCATCATACGCGCGTGCACGTATGTCGGACTTTTGTGCACGCACGTCGGACATAAATCACGGCTGTGATTGGTCAGAATACCATGGGGCGGTGCTTACTGGATCGGTCCATTCTGCGGGTTGGAATTATATTATCGTCTTAATTCAGTCCTCCCATGTGTTTCAATCAGCTCCTTACCATGGCATACGGGGTGAGTTTAAAAAAAACCACGAACCCAAATGTCTGGACCATTGCTTTAGTGAAGTTCTGCATGTGGCACTCAAAATTTAGGATATGAAACTCCCAATTCAGCTTTCTTTGAGTAAAAAAATAATTCAAATCATTGATGTACTTTTCAAGTACGGAGTTTTAAACACAAACGCCGTTTTAAGGTTCTGTCCACGGATCACAAAAAAGTTCAGTGTTCTTTCAGCAAAACGAAAACAAATTACATAAGGATGTGTGTGAATCGTTTCGCTTTGCTGAAACAACGCACACTTTTTTGTGATCCGCGAACAGAACTTTAAAACGGCGGTTGTGTTTAAAACTCCGTAACTTGAAAAGTACATGAGTGATTTGAATGATTCTTGTACTTAAAGAAAGCTTGTGGATTGGGCTTTCATATCCTAGATTTAGAAAGTGCAACATGCAGACGTTCACTAAAACAATGGTCCCAACATTTGGGTTTCGGTTTTTTTTACTCACCCTGTAGAACTTACCTGTCAAATACCACTGTCACGTAGAAACCAAGCACGAAGCTTATAGGAAACACTTTGGTGTAGTCGTAAGCGTAGAAGGCGAGTTTCTCAAAGTTACTCTTGGTGGTTCCCTTAAGCGCGAACCGATATAGGATGCTGACCACGCCATAGAAGCCCAGAAACACGATCATTTCCCGCCAAAGAAGCTTGTAGACACTGGCTTTCCAGCGGAACAATAGACGGGCGAAGCCGTGGATTTTAAACTGGAGAATTGAAGAAATAAATAAAAGACCTGATAGTTAGCTCAATGTATTGAGTTTCTCATGTAGTTTTTAATTACAGGTTTTCATGGTGGATCAAGTAATATAATATTATTTTTGTATCTACATCATGCTACATGTACTTTTAATAACCTATTGAATGAACTTGTAAAGGTGTGTATAATGTAGTCCTAACGTGTAAATTTAATATGCCCGGATGGGGCTCGTTCTCTACCATAGCCCTTCACCAACATCCAAACGAGCAACATTTGAAGCACAAGTCTAACTGACAACGCCACATATGATTAAAAATGAGAACAACATTACAATCTCCCTGACTGCCGTATACATGAACATTATAATGTCTACGATGCCCGAGCAGAACTTTCCTTGAAGTGTAATGCAACTCCAAGGTAAATGCACATAGGACCGCACGGTCATTTCTGTCAGCAACATTTCTTCAAGATGTAGAGGAAACTATAGTAAGAGTCCTCTTGAAAACAGCATCGGTTAGTCTGGATGCCTATAAGTTACGCTCCGGATAGCAACTAGATCAACATGTATGAGCACGTAGCGATATTGAGTTATGCAGGCTCCGAGGCTTTTGAGGCTTTTATCGCTGAGGTCAACTGTTCCCTTTCCCGCCATATCGAGGTCTGAGTTAGCGATATTAGTGTTGATTGAATCTCACTGCATTTAGGAAAACAATAATAAAGACCGAATCAATTTTCCCCAAAAGGTAGACACTTAATGGTATGTGTAAAATGTTCAGCATTTCCTGGCTAGTGGGTTTTGTTTTTACAATATTTTGCTCCGGTAAACAAAATATTGTTGTGTTTTACATATTGCCTGCCACAAAATTATTTCATAAATTTTCATCTTTGTACGAGTGCTTCTTGTTCCACTTATCCACATGTATTTTAGATTTTCGGAAGTAAGCGGTCAATTTTTGGCACGGCATTTCCCTTTCACGTCATGCAATTATTCAGTTTTCATACTTCTATAGTAACATTTATAGCCTACAAAGGCTTTTTCCGACGGTGATTTTCTTAAGAAATCAATGTCCCAACAAATTTAAAACTAATTTTCCTATTCAAGGGGTCCTGAAGCGCCACCAGGGTCAACTTTCAGGCTGTATTCGATCTTTGCAGACACTAAGGTAAGGAATGCACCAACTACGGTAACATTGACATGGTTGGTGAATTTAACGAGTTTATTTCGTTTGACCGCGTTCATCAGAATTCAGTCAGAAAACCAGTTTAAGTTATAACATGATACTTGTTACAAGTATCGGTTCAGCTTGAAAATAAACCGGGGACCCATCCAGAACCACTGGAACGCTCTCAGAACGTTAAAATCTGCGTATAGCTCATTGTAATGTTAAGCTTTTAGAGGATTTGTTTACATGCTTTTGTTTTTAATCATTTGTATATGTTTTAAGTCATTTCTATATGTGACGTTAGCATGGTTATAAAATGATGTTCTGAGACTTTGGGCCTACTGATGAGTTTGGACCCCCCCCCCCAAAAAAACCAGCAAACAAACAGGACGGACGTGGGACATTCACAGTACAGTAAATGAAGTGTTTTTTCCCAGACAAAAATGGTTCTTAATGTCGTTACCAGGCAATTTTTTTTCGTGGGAGATTCCCACACGGCACAGTGCAAGTCAAATGGTGCGTGTTCCCTCTACCTGCCAATGGTTTTCTTTCATCAAAACACAACATGCCTGGGGCAGGTTTAAAGGAATGAAAAAAAAAAACCACACTGTCAAAAACAACTGCCAAGCGCGTTTGCCGATGTACACGATGACGTCCCCTCGGTATCAAATATCAGGACTGCCTCCAAGCATGCGGGAATGTATGCGGATTACCACTTAATTTTCTCCAGATATGTCTGCGGATTCCCCGCATTAAGTTCATTTGCAAGCCGTCCACACTGCCGAGTCACAGCTTAACCTTTCAGCCGGCGTGTATAGCGACATTTTGCAGGAGGAATATTATACTGATCACTTTGTTCACAAGAGAACGGAAATGCCATCTGCAGAAATAGCTCTCTGCGGTTTAAAGGGAAAATACAACATTTGCAAACATCAAAAAATAAAACTACCAAATCATTTTGAAATACCTTGCTGGACTGTTAGTGAATGACAGTGTAAAGCATCCTGTAAAATCATGGCACCTGGTATACTGTCATTTTCAAGAAAAGTGGTATTTTTGTATCAATTTCCAACGCTGATCGGCCGATCAGCGTTGGAAACAACTGGCTTTTTTTCAAATACTGGCCCCAATTGACCATCGCACTTGTTTGCAATCGATTACAAACCTATGAACGGGTACGAGCAAGCTAGACTGGTTCCCTGACCTTACAATTCCCCAATGTATGTAAACTGCTCTCTTTCTTCTTATATGGAGTCAGGGAACCAGACTACAGGAAAATGATCGTTTTTCTTGGTTTTTATAGCATTTTCGAACCCAAAACCTCAAAAAAGTCAGTGTAACTATATTTGCTATATATTTCCAACCCCCCAATTCCATCCATTTCTGAAAATTACAGCAAAAGCAAATGATGTATATTCCCTTTAAAGGGAAAATACAACATTTGTAAACATAAAAAAACAAAATGATCACATTACCACGAAATACCTTACTGAATTGTTAGGGACGGACAGTCTAAAGCATCCTTTAAAATCGTGGCTTCTGGTGGGCTGACATTTTCAAGAAAAACTGTATTTTTCGGACGCTGGTCGGCCGACCAGCGATGGATAAAACTGGCTTTTTTTCAAAAACTGTTTTTTTTTTCATATTTAGTTATTCTGACTTTTCTTTGCAATTAATCACACACCTGTAAAGGGGTACAAGCCTGCTAGACTGATTCTCTGACCTTACAATTCCCCCAGAGTGTATTAATTGCTTCGTTTCATCTTAAGTGGGGTCAGGGAACCAGACTACAAGAACATGATAGGTTTTCTTGGTTTTTCAAGCATCTACAAGCCCAAAACATGAAACAAGTCAGTTTAACAATATTTTATATAACATACTACTCCTCCAAATCCATTTATTTCTGAAAATTGCAGCAAAAGCAAATGTTGTACATTCCCTTTAACGGTTTGCACGTTTTAAAGAGCTGCCATTGTCATTTTCCGTACCTTTTCTTTAACACCATTAGCGGTAACAAAATGCAATGTTTTTGTCGATAACATTTTGTGTTTTCCTAAGACAAAAGGAGCTTTTAAGTACATATGCAGAGAAAGTCAATGAAGCGGTGGCTAGGGAAACAGGATGGCCAAGGTACAAGTGAGGCTCGGGTACTATAGGGTGGCCACGGCACTATAGGGTGGCTAAGGTGCTAGGATGGCTAAGGTGCCAGGATGGCACGGGTGCATACCTTTGTTCCGTAATACCTATGTTTCCCAATACCGATTTCCCCGAAATCCTTACCCCATAACCCTAACCCTAACCCTAACCCTAACCCAAACCCCAATCGTAAGGATCATCGGGGAACATCGGTATTGGGGAACATAGGTATTGGGGAACATCGGGTAGACCCCAGATGGCACTGATATCTGTAATTGCAGAACACAACGCTGTAGCTAGTCATCGGGAAATAAACGACTATTGGACTGCAGGCGAACCAGCTGGCGTGGGAGACGAGGCTGTTTAGCAGCGGGCCACTTCACCTCGTCCACTTGAAAATACATTATCATCAGAAATCCCCCATTACAGCGCCCATCTCAGGCCACTTACGCATACATTATCATCCCTCACATATCACGACCGGTAAACATGCCAGATGTGATAGCCGACCAGCCCGTGGCCTTTGAGGCCGGTTATACCTTTAATTTCACTGGATTATTTTCGCCACTGATGACATTTGGTTTCAATCGAATTAGTAAACAAGGAAACATGGCCTTCACATGGTTGGCTCATTTCAAGGCATGGATTCTCGAAGGCTTATATTTGCAGTATTAAATGCAAAAGTGAATTGATCATTGTGGAATGCGTCTGGGTACATCATATTGAAGAAAAAAAAGATGGACTTCACTAAAGCCATAAGAGCCTGAATACTCTCGCCTGCAAGATACCATTGTATACCTCTTGAGTTTAGTGTTCGGACAATTAGGTAAAATATGTAAACAGGTTAGATGACCTATTAGAGATACAGTTAACCGACTGTTTCTTCCTATAAAACAGGAAAGAGCAACGACCTCTCTCGATGAATTGCGGAACCAAACAAGTTTCGTTATATCTGGCATTTTCCTAGCATACCTTTAATAGATACAAGTCTACAAAATGGATCCATTAGGTGTAAAATACACGTGACTAAAGTAGAAAATCTGCAGTATAGTTGAAAACCTGTAGTTGAAAACCTGTAGTTGAAAACCTGTAGTTGAAAACCTGTAGTTGAAAACCTGTAGTTGAAAACCATACAAAGCACAGGCCTGCTACAACGACCGCCATTCCCGTACATAATATATCCATTCAGTGCATCAGAATAATTTATTCATCAAGGAATGCAAATATATTCTTGAATGCATTTTTCAAATCTACCGATTCCTCCGTAAATGCCAAATCTATTTTTTATGCATGCATCCCTGTGTATATACCCCGAGACATCCGACGGCAGTTTCCGACTGTACCCACGTGAACTCGTGAGAGTGGTACAGAACTGGGAAAATCGAAAATGCAGCATACTCGGCTGAGTTGTTGAGGGAAACGAATCCAGACGAAAAACAATTTCATCCCCGACGCCCATGAACCCTGCTTGGGAATTCAAAGCGCGCGTGTCTCTGGGTTTCCTTCCGCGTGATGTGTGCACTGATATTTTTGTCATCGGCAGCAGCCGGCGGGAGATTCCTGCATATTTTGCCTGGCCGAGCGGAGGCCGCGCGGATTCAGTTTCGGGGAGACAAATTACATCTTGATGTTCCACAGCGAGGGAAAACAAGCGAAGGCGATCTTCGATGCCGGTAGATTTCCTACAATGTGTGGCGTACACAAGGCC